TCCATCCATCCATCCATCCATCCATCCATCCATCCATCCATCATCCATCCATCCATCCATCATCCATCCATCCATCCATCCATCCATCCATCCATCATCCATCCATCATCCATCCATCCATCATCCATCCATCATCCATCATCCATCCATCATCCATCCATCTATCCATCCATCCATCCATCATCCATCCATCTTCCATCCATCCATCCATCCATCCATCCATCCATCCATCCATCATCCATCATCCATCCATCATCCATCCATCTATCCATCCATCCATCCATCCATCCATCCATCCATCCATCCATCCATCCATCCATCCATCATCCATCCATCCATCCATCCATCCATCATCCATCCATCCATCCATCCATCCATCATCCATCCATCCATCCATATGCGGTTCTCACAGATCTGCACCTTTTTAAGTCCAGATTAACACATTTTTTCAAACTGGTTTTTACTTCTTAGGACACATTGTTTTATGTTTCTGATTTTAGTTTTTTTTTTATATTTTAATCTTTCTCTAAAGCACTTTGGTCTTCCTGGTGTTGTTGTAAAGTGCTATATAAATAACCTTTAATTAGAGATATAATTCTGTAACATGTGTTCTGCCATCTTTGCTGTTATAAATTCTACATCTGGAAATCAAACAGCTCTTGCATGTGGTCAACACTCAACAAGTTTAGTTTGTTATAAAACTATTTACATAATAGCAGTATGCATATATATATATATATATATATATATATGAATATATATATATAGCGTGGCCATGTTTGTAATGCCCGGGCCAGGCCGTTCTGACTGCTGTCGTTCTTACATATCTCGCTCCAAATTGCCATCATGGCTTCATGTCAAGCTGCTGCCTCCCTTTGTGAAGCAGGAAAAAGACTAAAACAAAGAGAATCCAGCAGAACTTTTATTGCCTACCTGGAATGGGAGACAATAGTTGAAGAAACTTTTGGCTCTCACAGCTCAGGCTGTGGAGGCAGCGCCCCCTGGTGGTGCCTCCTGTTACAGATGAATGTTTTAATGTTAATGATAAAGTTTAAAGTTTCTGTCTTTCCTTCAGGATCCTCTGGGTTTGAAGAACCGAATGCAACTGTGACAGTTCTGACCACAGGTAAACATTTAGGGTTAGATTTCAATTCAAAACACAGATCAATAGATTCGTTATGAACATGTTTTAAAGCTGGGAATGTTTTTAATGAAGTGTTTCTGTTGGTCCCAGTTCTGATGACCTCCAGTCCTGCATATGTTCCATCTCCAGAACATCTCAGCATCATGGTTCTGTCTCTGGCCCTGCTGGTGCTTCTCATCCTGAACTTGGTTCTCTGCTGGCTTCATAGACGCCATCATAGTGAGTTCAGTCTGTTAACGGCGCTAACTTAATATTTAGTTTGAAGCTAAATATTTATTTTGCAAACTAAAAAACAAGCCCCTCATTTTTCTCTTAAAACACGCTAAATAAGTATTGCTCCTAATTTTTCACTGCTTAACTTTACAAACGGCGCCGCAAACACTACTGTTCAAAAGTTTGGGGTCACCCAAACAATTTAGTGTTTTCCTGAAAAGTCACACTTATTCACCACCACACGTTGTGAAATTAATAGAAAATAGAGTCAAGACATTGACCAGGTTAGAAATAATGATTTGTATTTGAAATAAGATTTTTTTTACATCAAACTTTGCTTTCGTCAAAGAATCCTCCATTTGCAGCAATTCCAGCATTGCAGACCTTTGGCATTCTAGCTGTTAATCTGTTGAGGTAATCTGGAGAAATTCCCCCCACGCTTCCAGAAGCAGCTCCCACCAGTTGGATTGGTTGGATGGGCACTTCCTGCGTACCGTACGGTCAAGCTCCTCCCACAGCAGCTCCATGGGGTTCAGATCTGGTGACTGCTCTGGTCACTCCATTACAGATAGAATACCAGCTGTCTGCTTCTGCTCTAAATAGTTCTGCACAATTTGGAGGTGTGTGTAGAGTCATTGTCCTGTTGTAGGATGAAATTGGCTCCAATCAAGCGCTGTCCACTGGGTACGGCATGGCGTTGCAAAATGGAGTGATAGCCTTCCTTATTCAGAATCCCATTTACCCTGTCCAGATCTCCCACCTTACCAGCACCAAAGCAACCCCAGACCATCACATTACCTCCACCATGCTTAACAGATGGCGTCAGGCATTCTTCCAGCTTCTTTTCATTTGTTCTGCGTCTCACAAACATTCTTCTTTGTGATCCAAACACCTCAAACTTCCTCTGTCCAATGTCTGTGTTCTTTTGCCCATCTTAATCTTTTTCTTTTATTGGCCAGTCTCAGATATGGCTTTTTCTTTGCCACTCTGCCCTGAAGCCCAGAATCCTGCAGCCGCCTCTTCACTGTAGATGTTGACACTGGTGTTTTGCGGGTACTATTTAATGAAGATGCCAGTTGGGGACCTGTGAGGCGTCTGTTTCTCAAACTAGAGACTCTAATGTACTTCTCGTCTTGCTCAGTTGTGCAACGCGGCCTCCCACTTCTTTTTCTACTCTGGTTAGAGCCTGTTTGCTCTGTCCTCTGAAGGGAGCAGTACACACCGTTGAGAGAAATCTTCAATTTCTTAGCAATATCGCGCATGGAGTAGCCTTCATTTCTAAGAACAAGAATAGACTGTCGAGTTTCAGATGAAAGTTCTCTTTTTCTGGCCATTTTGAGTGTTTAATTGACCCCACAAATGTGATGCTCCAGAAACTCAATCTGCTCAAAGGAAGGTCAGTTTTGTAGCTTCTGTAACGAGCTAAACTGTTTTCAGATGTGTGAACATGATTGCACAAGGGTTTTCTAATCATCAATTAGCCTTCTGAGCCAATGAGCAAACACATTGTACCATTAGAACACTGGAGTGATAGTTGCTGGAAATGGGCCTCTATACACCTACACTATATTGCCAAAAGTATTTGCTCACCTGCCTTGACTCACATATGAGCTTAAGTGACATCCCGTTCCTAATCCATAGGGTTCAATATGACGTCGGTCCACCCTTTGCAGCTAGAACAGCTTCAACTCTTCTGGGAAGGCTGTCCACAAGGTTTAGGAGTGTGTTTATGGGAATTTTTGACCATTCTTCCAGAAGCGCATTTGTGAGGTCGCACACTGATGTTGGACGAGAAGGCCTGGCTCTCAGTCTCCGCTCTAATTCATCCCAAAGGTGTTCTATCGGGTTGAGGTCAGGACTCTGTGCAGGCCAGTCAAGTTCATCCACACCAGACTCTGTCATCCATGTCTTTATGGACCTTGCTTTGTGCACTGGTGCACAGTCATGTTGGAAGAGGAAGGGGCCAGCTCCAAACTGTTCCCACAAAGTTGGGAGCATGGAATTGTCCAAAATGTCTTGGTATGCTGAAGCATTCAGAGTTCCTTTCACTGGAACTAAGGGGCCAAGCCCAGCTCCTGAAAAACAACCCCACACCATAATCCCCCCTCCACCAAACTTTACACTTGGCACAATGCAGTCAGACAAGTACCGTTCTCCTGGCAACCGCCAAACCCAGACCCGTCCATCAGATTGCCAGATGGAGAAGCGCGATTCGTCACTCCAGAGAACGCGTCTCCACTGCTCTAGAGTCCAGTGGTGGCGTGCTTTACACCACCGCATCCGACGCTTTGCATTGCACTTGGTGATGTATGGCTTGGATGCAGCTGCTCGACCATGGAAACCCATTCCATGAAGCTCTCTGCGCACTGTTCTTGAGCTAATCTGAAGGCCACATGAAGTTTGGAGGTCTGTAGTGATTGACTCTGCAGAAAGTTGGCGACCTCTTCGCACTATGCGCGTCAGCATCCGCTGACCCCGCTCCGTCAGTTTACGTGGCCTACCACTTCGTGGCTGAGTTGCTGTCGTTCCCAAACACTTCCATTTTCTTATAATACAGCTGACAGTTGACTGTGGAATATTTAGGAGCGAGGAAATTTCACGACTGGATTTGTTGCACAGGTGGCATCCTATCACAGTTCCACGCTGGAATTCACTGAGCTCCTGAGAGCGACCCATTCTTTCACAAATGTTTGTAAAAACAGTCTGCATGCCTAGGTGCTTGAATTTATACACCTGTGGCCATGGAAGTGATTGGAACACCTGATTCCAATAATTTGGATGGGTGAGCAAATACTTTTGGCAATATAGTGTATGTAGATATTGCACCAAAAACCAGACATTTGCAGCTAGAATAGTCATTTACCACATTAGCAATGTATAGAGTGTATTTCCTTAAAGTTAAGACTAGTTTAAAGTTATCTTCATTGAAAAGTACAGAGCTTTTCCTTCAAAAATAAGGACATTTCAATGTGACCCCAACCTTTTGAACGGTAGTGTACATCTTAAATATCAGCATATATTGTCTTTGTTAATCTATAAGGATATATTAGGTGAAATCGTATACATCCATGCGTATCGTAACGTTAAATTCCTGCTTCTTCATTAATAAGTAGCTGTTTTTTAAAGCTTGTGTTTGTTTTTCTGTGCTCAGTGTTCCCTGTGCAGCAAACTCGCTCCTACCAGAGATATTCCCACGAGAATCCCCAGAACCGCAACAAGGAGAACCTAAACCTGGTTAAAGTCGGTTCTGACCCGCTGCAGGCAGACGGTGAGTCTTCTAACAGCTCCATCCAACAGCTGCTTCAGATACTAATCATGTCTGCGCTTTTCCTCCATTATAACCTGTTTTCATTGGTTCCCTGTGATGGGAGGTTGCTGACTGATGCAGGATTCATTCATGATCACCCAGCGGTTCATTCTGTGTGTTTCTGTCTCAAAAAGTCCCCTCCAGGATTCTTTGGACCCAGATTAGTAGCGTTGACAGCGCGTCAGTAGATACAGACTATGAGCAGTATGACCCGAGCAATGACCCGTCTGTCAGGCTTTCAACCTTTCAGAGTGAGCTGCTCTCTTTTTCTTGCTCTTGCTTTGTCTCTGGGCCATTTGCTTGGTTTGGTTTCTGTTGTTGCGGTGGAAGATGCGCCGCAGTTCGTCTTCAGCCTCTGCAGATTGATGCATGTTGCACGGAAACTGTGCTGAAGGCTCTGTGATTGGACTGATGCAGCGTGCTGTTCCGTCTGCAGATTCTCAGAGATACAGAACCGAACCCAATGCTTCACTGAAGCCTCCAGCTCTGAGCGACCTCGCTGAGGAAGGTGAGTCACTGCAGAGATGCAACCCTTTGCACTTCTTACACACAAGGCTGTGGTACAACATTCAGCAGATTGTTTTTACTGATTTGATTTTAAGCTGTTATCAAAGACCAAAGTGAGAGATTTTAAAAAAAGATGAGAACCCACTGAGCAGCTGAAGCATCACATCATGAAGCAATTGTCCATAAAAGACAATTCTACATGTTTCTAGGTAGATTTCCAACCCCTATCTGGAATTAATAGTTTAATTTATATCTAAACCTTAAATCTAAATATTGGATCTAAGTATATGTCTTTTAATCAAATCTTTTATCTTTAAATCTACAGAGGGATTGGTTTTTAACCATGCCAAAACTCGTGGCTCCTCCCCCAGCGTATGGGGGACCAATCAGAAGGGGAAGATTCATGCGCTGGGGGTGTGGCCAAGAGTTAAGATAATAAAGAGTTTGGTAGATTTTTATACCTTCAAGCTTGCGATTTAAGATTTAGATTAAAGATATAGCTCTATATAGATATAGATTTAGATTTACATATCGCTTAGGCCTATATATTTAAAGATTTATATCTAAATTAAAATGTGTATGTAGCTCTAGGGTGTAAAAATAGATCTATTACATGCATACAGGTGTAAGTTTTAGATATGAATTAACATTTATAATTTATATTTTCCTTGAAATGTTGGAAAAGAATATTTAAATGTTAATAAAGAGCAGAAAACAACAGATTGGAAGTTTTTTGCTGAATTTTTACATTTTGGCGCCAAAATCTTAGCTGATTTCATCAGAGCCGTTTTTCTTCTCTGAAATAATCAAAGATCTGATGCTGTTGGCCTTCAGACTTCCTGCTCGGTTACAATAAGTATTCTTTAGAAGATGGTGCAACACAGTCTGGTTCCTGTTTGGTTTGCTTTCATGTTGCATGAAAACTTTGAAATGTCTCAGATATTATGTGGGCCCTAAAATCATTAATCCTGCTGAGTCTAAAAGGTTTTAACAAAACAAAAACATTTTTAAAACATGTTTCATCTGCAGAATAGAAATAGGCTTCCGTTAAAAAGGGACAAAAAGGAGCCGCAGCAAGAAAACAGCAAAAAGCTGTTAAATGGTTGAACATAAAAAGGAAATAAACGTTTTGTTTCTGTTTGAGGCTTCATGGTCCAGTAGAACACATCAGCGGAGATTTGATCGTCTTTGTTGTTTTTCTGGATCCTTAAGTTTTATCCAAACATGTTGCATCAGTCCAGTTATTAGAAAGTCTGGTCCAGCCATGCAGAAGTCCATTAACGGGTCCGTTAGCCAGTTCTGGTCTGAGTATCACTGCACATACAGCAGTTAGTCAGGATACTTTACAGCAGTGGTTACTAAAGGTTTCCTGCTGGGTCTCTCCCACCAGAAGCTTTATCCTATAAACAATAAAAGTTTTTACTCAGCCTGTTTCACCTGCAAGGCCACACAATGCCTGAGTGAGGATGATTGTAAACAAGACAAACTTCTTCCCATAACAATCCAGATTCTTCCTCAAGGTTTATTCATAACATGTTTCTGTTTAACCAAAGTTTCTGTAATTTGCTTTGACTCTGAATAATTTAAGTAAGTGAGGCAAATGCTGTTGAGATCAGAACAGGTCTGATTACCGTGCAATAAGGGCCGTTTGATGAACTGTTCTCTCTCTGCAAAGATAAAATAAAGTGCCGACTGAGTGAAATACATCAATCTCTGTTTATTTAACTGGAGTGTTGCGCTGAGAGGTGTGGAAGGAAAAAAACTCAGCAAAGTTGGTTGGAGCAAAAACAAAAGGTCATTTATTAAGTCTCTTCCATCAGAGCATTGTTATACTTAGAACAACATGGCAGCTTTCCCATCAGACTCTTACTATAGCCAGCAGTCCACCTATATACTGCTATCCCCGCCTTCTCAATTTACCCACAGCCAATCAAAGTTCAGCCATCATGGCTCCCTCTATAAGAGAGCTGGGTTTGAGGCGGGCCTCCTCCTTAGCAAGGTTCCAAGATGGAAACACCCACAAAGGTAACAAACAATTCAAAAAACAAAAGAATCACACACACACACTCTAGAACCTGAACATTACAGAAAATCTTATTTCTTCTTAACATGGAGTGAATAGTTGAGTAATTTTTTCCCACAACACTATGCTTGAGTCAATTTTGTTTGGGGGTACTTGTAACTATTTCTCCATTTCCAGGAAGCTGCTAATTCCTTGTTCTTTCTGGTTCAGCTCAGCTTTTTAATCCTCTGCTGCTGTTTTTCATCCATCATGGCGGATAGCAGCCCTTAGGACTGAATCTGGACGCCACTGATCTACAGATTTAATGACGTTCCACAGATGAGAGAAACTCAGAGCAGATATTATTAATAGTTTATCATTTTATTAAGGTCTTATTTGTTGCCATGTGGTCAAGTTGTTCAGTAGAATGAGTCTCAGATCAGAGTCATAGTTTCTTTGTGGTCGTAGATTCAACCTTAAAACTTTATTCTATATTTAAAGAATGAGGAGAATCAAGACTCTCCTGTTTTTTTATAGTTGGTTTGTTTTTGAATAATAAATAATAATCATAATAATGCTCCTTATTTTGTGGCCTTTTTACGCTGAAGTTCTTTCCATTTGGTGTGGAATCTATAACAGGTGGTTCTATGCATCAATACATCCGATTGTTTCTGAAGGTTAAAGGTTCTTTAAAATTATTCTGAAAATTACACAGAAAAGTATTAATATTAGAAAATGTAGAGCAAGAGGCACATTGCTGCATGCTTTGTGGGAATGTCCGCTGATTTCTCCAATATGGAATAGTGTTATAAAATACATGGAGGGATGGTTAAGAGTAAACTGCCTATTTCACCAAGACTGTGCCTGTTGGGGGACAGGTTTGGTTCCAGGTGTCCATAAAGCAGCTTTCAGAGCACTGAACACTGGATTTGTTACCTGTGCCCGTCTCATTTTGACTCTATGGAAGATACCACAGACTCCAGCTTTCAAAACATGGAGAGAGAGAATGACTGAAAATACAGCCTGTGAGAAAATGCTTGGAAGACTGAACAACTACTCTGAGGCTGTAACAGAAGAATGGGACAGTTTTAGTGCCTATGTTTCTACTACATTGCAACAGTGATAACTTGGAACAACATTTAGGTTGCATTCGCATTTACACATAAACATATTAAATTAGGGAGTACCAAGTTCTGATCCGAACCTGGACAAGACCAGGATCGGTCAAGCTAAACGGGACTTAATTAGGTGTCGAGTCTGTATTTAATTGGGTGGAAACCAGGACAATGTGTGATGGATGTAAATGCGGTCTTACAATCAACAATGTTTACCTGACTGGTTTTGTTTTTTGTTTTTGTTATATGTTCATAAAACAAAATAAAAACTTTAATTACAAAAAATATTAGAAAATGTAATTAGTATTTTTGAATACTTAAGTACTTTTAACGTGAGTACTTTAGTACTTTACTTTCAGCAGATGTTTGACTTTACTTGTAGTTTACTAACATGTGACTACAAGTATCAATACTTTTACTCAAGTACTACTGCTGAGTATTTCATCCACCTCTGCCCAAATAAACTACAATCTCCCTTTAAGTAAAAAACTACCTCCAAACGGTCATTAAATGTGTGGTGGAGGATGTTGTTTCTTTGGGTGGATCATCTCAATCAGTGGTCCTCCTAACTGTCAATCATTCTGGTGATATGTTTATTTAAGGCCGTCCTTCGACCTCGTCCCCATTTCCACTAATCGTGGTCAGTCTGACATTGTGGAAAAATTGCAAATCTTCTTTCGGAAAGGAAGCTTATATGATCGATGCACAATTTTAAACAGAGTGTCCATGAGGAAAAAATGGTGTGTTTGGTTTGATTGTTACAATTTGTTTAGACTTATTACTGTTAGTTATTTTCATAACATTACATATTTTCTTTTGTAATTTGATGAATTCATTTTAAGTTGAAAGAGATACATTTTTGTTGGAACCATAACTCAGTTGTAATGAAATAAGGAAATAATAACAGTTCATAAATAAATAAATCTGTCGGAATTGTTCCTCCATAGTAGTGGATCTGAGATGAAATCCTGCTGATAATCTGGTATTAATATTTATAATCTAATGCTAAAGTTCTGTAAAGATTAGATTTGAATCTCTTCTGGTTGTTTGGATTATTTGTTCTGAATTGATGTGAAGCTGATTTTCTTTTCTCCGTTTTGGGTTTTTAGTCTGAATGAATAATTTTCCCTGTGAGATCTGGAAAAGGTCTAATATCAGAACATCAGTCCTTCTTCCTCTGCTTAGCGGAGACCCGGGTCTGGTACCGATGGTATCGATGGTATCGATGGTACCAACGGTTCCGATGGTACTGATGGTATCGATGGTACCGTTGGTATCGCTGGTACCAACGGTATCGATGGTACTGATGGTATCGATGGTATCGATGGTACTGATGGTACCAACGGTACCGATGGTATCGATGGTACTGATGGTACCAACGGTATCGATGGTACCGACGGTATCGATGGTACCAATGGTATCGATGGTACTGATGGTACCAACGGTACCGACGGTATCGATGGTACTGTGTGGGAAATGTTCTTCCTCTATCAGATGTTCCCAGTCTATTGCGATTCTGGTTCTGGGATGCCCCCCTCATGGGGGGCAAACCTAGAAACCCTCCAGGAGGATCATGTGACTGATGACGGAGCTGCCTTTGCTCCTTATTGGTTGGATGATCACCATCCTGAACCTAGAAGTGTGGTCAGAACGTTCTCTGTTTTCCTCCTTGTTCCAGGTTCTAGATCTCCAAACAAAGACTCTGCAGCTGCTGGTTTTCCGTACAGCAGAGCGTCAAAGATCTCCCAGGATTCCTTCGACTCCTCCAGCACCTCCTCCGGTGAATGCTACGAAAACGTGAACCCGAGCCACAAAGCCGACTTTCCTGGTGGGTCTGAGCCACGTCTCCCAGCAGAGGATTCATCAGCTTCCTCCTGGTTCATCTTTTAAAATCAAATCTTTTCTTCTAGATGAATATTTCAATGTTTCTAAAGAAGCTTTTAAAATCTGTAATATTTTCATATGTTGGTCTTATTCCCCTCTCTGTGGGGGGGTTCATACAGCGTTGCAGTTTATAATGACTCCATTATTCCTATTAAACTTAGAACCGGGCCAGAACCAGGCTGCTTCTAGCCCTCCGCTGTACACCAACTCTGGGATTGGAGCAGGAGGACACGCGTGTTCAGGTAAAGGTCGGCGGGGAGGCCACGCCCACACAGCAGCAGCACCTTCCCCCTGTCTAACATTTCTCTCTGCTGCCTGGACTCTAGATGATGATGATGATGATGGTGATTACTGCCCTGTGAGCCCAGACTAATGATGATGACGGTGATGATGATGATGGAATGAGATGCTGGCTGCTCTCAGAAATGGAGGAAAAAAACAAACTGCAAAAGCTTAAATCTACAGGTTTGACGTTAAACTGAGCTGTGAGTGAAAAGCACTGAGGAGAAAAAACTTAATAAACTCCAGGATGCTGAGGGGAACAAAAGTCACTTTGGACCTGAATCAAACTATCTGAATGTTGGAGGAGATCGTCAGTCTTCCAGGTCACAGTCATTCTAAAAAGTTGAAAAACAAACCACTGGACTTTGTTTTCCAAGTCTGAAGACGTTTCGCTTCCCAAGATAGAGACTAGTTGATAGGGATTAATAACTGACCCCGTATTGTCCTAAAAATGAGACCAACACAGCACACAAGCAGGAAAGGAGAGCGACCAGACGCACTGAGAAGTCTGTGGTCAACGCTGCTGGGACGTCTCAATGGGCCAGTATCGGTTGTTGCTGGCCAATAACGACTCCCACTATCAACGGAGTGGAGCTGATTTTCCAGCTTCAGTCTGCATGTTTTCTAATCCAGTACAAGGCTTCTGTTTGGCTACTCTATAAAGCCTGGAACTCAATGCTAATCCAGACATTTGGAATTGAGAAAACTTCCAGGATGGGAAGCGGAACGTCTTTAAACTTGGAAAACAAAGTCCAGCGGACAAACTAGCTGAAGCAAACTGAGCACGCTCAGTCCACCAGGAGGAGGAGGAGCTAATCACACTCAGTCATGATGAAAACGAAAGTCCACCGCCTGTCAAAATAAAACCGATCCAGTTTCAGTTACTCCAACCTGAACGGAAACAAACTCATGAATAAATCCTCGAGTCGTTTCCACAATCTGTCATTAGTTATTCAGCACAGATGGAGCCAGAATGGAAAACGGCGTCCATTTTTCCCAAATAAAGGCTAGATTTTCATTAAACTCTTGGTCATAGATAAACACTCTTATAATAATACATCTTTGCTGACTAAATGAATAATTTTTGGTTCTACATCATATCCACATTAAATAGGTTTTAATCAGTTACTCCTAGATGACTGGGAGAACTTACTTTCTCCCCATAAACCACAAAAACTGATCCCGAAAAACATAAACTCATTTTTTTCGCTTTATTGCACTGCAAAAACCATCTAGAAATAAGTAAAAAATATCTTAAATTAAGTGTATTTACCCTTCATTTAAGCAGATAAGATGATTTGCCAATGGAATGATTATTTTTACTCTTAAAATGAGATAATTAGTTAATATGCTCTTGAAATAAGACAAAGCTAATTTTTTTTCTTATTTTAAATGTAAATGGTCTAGTTCCATTGGCAAAGTATTCCACTTAACTCCTCATTTTAAGAAAAAATGCGCTTAATTCAAGCAAAAATTACTCATTTAGATTTCCATTTTTTGCAGTGTGTTGGAAAAGCTTTATTGCGTTATGGTTAATGCAGGCTAATAACTCTCAAATTTGAAATCAGTCAGGACCTTTCTACTGCTCCACCCTCTCTATTAGAGGAGAACCATTGGTTCTAGAAACGGTGACTAACCTCCGCAAACGATGCATCACCTGATAAGTGGCGGGTCACCCTGTAGCTCTGTCCCTGTAGAGAGATGAAGCTACTATGACGCTAAAAAGGAAATATAAAGTTAGAAGTTAAACTAAGAATAGAGTTAGAATGAAGCAGAATGATGAAAAAGGGGTCCCTATGTCCTCCAGCAGTCTAAGCCTATAGCAGCAGAACTATAGAGATCCCTTTATATAGATAGAGATAAGCTTTTAGCTTCGTCTTAAAAGAAACTTTGCAGCCGGGGAAAACTTCTGAGAAACTTCATGGCAGAACTTAATCAAAGCTGCAGAGCTTATTTAATTTACCTGTTACCGTTACATTTTTTAATGAAGTTAAAACTGTGAAAAAACACTTCTAATGTCAGCAGAACAAAAACAGAGGAAGCACTTCAACAGCAGCCGTTATCGGGATGCTGCAGCTTCGTCACTCAGATGTGATGAATATCAGATCTGCTTGAAAATGCTACAGGAACAGAGTTATCAACCTGGGAAAGGCCGTCAAGTCACCTGCAAGGAGAGCAAGACATCTTATTCAGCTCCAGGTCGTCCCAGGAGTGGACGTCCCACCAAAATTCAGTCCAAGGTCAGAGTGTGAACCTCAGAGGAATGACCCCACAGCTTCACTTCAGACTCTATAGCAGAGGTCACGGATTAGTGGACCGCGGTCCGGATCCGGATCCACCTGCTGGCTAATCCGGACCCAACCTGATTTAAAACATTTATAAAATACCGCATGTTGTACGATAACAGTGTCTAATTTCACTTGCTCTGCTTCTGCTGTTAATACGGTAAAGCCCTGGGGAGCGCCCGGCTCCAGGCTGCACGTGATCCAATGAGCCAATGAGCTGTCAGTCTGGGTTGCTGCTGCTGCTGCTTTTAAGACTCATTAAGACAGAAAAAAGAAAGAAAATAACAAACGCTCAGTTCAGGTGTTTTATTAAAAATGGGATTCAGGGAATTATCTATAAACCAAACTGAGCGATTGTTGTTCTCTACTTCAAAAAACACTTTAGATTTTAAAATGGAAAAATGTTCTATTTTTTAATATTTTTTAGTTAGAATCTCAATGTATAACATGAAATGTTGAATAAAAACCATGATTTTCTTTATCCGACCTGCTGATTTTTAACTGGTTCCCCTGATCTAAAGCCTCAGTTAGCAGATTCAACATTAGAGGTTGTGACCCTGAACCAGTCTGACCCACTGAAGGGTTGAAAACAAGATGGCGGCTCAGTAACTGTCCAGCACGGTAGTGGAGGGAGGATGGTGAGGGCTTGTTTTCCACTGTGGCTTCATCTCTATTCATCAGATCATGACTTCATAAAATCTGTTGACCTTTTTAAGATTATTTTGGTTTAGAATCATTTTTTTAAAAATCCTGTGACTTTATTTAAATTAAAACTTTGTACAGTTCTGCTCCTGGCTCTGGTCCACCCCCCCCAATATGGAGGAAAATTCACTGTGATGTTGGTGTTGAAGGTCGGTCTGACTGCTGATCTGTGAATGTCTCTGTCATTTAAAGCTTTTTGTTCGTATCGTTATGATGCCACCTACTGGTTTGTGACGTCACGGTGCGGTATCGGCTGTTAGCTGTTCTATGAGCCCTAATGCCGCCTGGTTAAAAGCCCTAGAATGAAACCACAGGTTTCTTCCTTTTATGGTTTGATCATGAATATTTAGATGAGCTGTGCTCTGATTGGTTGGTTTACAACGAGCCAAGCTGCTGAGCAAAGACGCATCATAGCAACAAGCACTCACTCACTGAAACATTGAAGTTGTTGATATGGTAGGGGGACCAGACGTCCTCCTTTTCCTGGACATGTCCTACTTTTTATACCTAAAAAATGTCCCATGGGACATTAATATTGTCCGAGATTTTGGTCGACTACGGCGCAGCAGAACCGAGCCGTCAGCTCCAGGGCCGGTCCAGGAACCCCGAAGGACGGGGGCAGGGAGCCAGCGGGGGACGGAGCGACTAAACCCGACCCTTTTCTTTTTTCTGTCAGAAACCCAAATCTGGTCACCATAGATCTGCTAGCATTGCTATCAACAGCTTAGCGACAGATTCATCCTTCCAGCTGCAGTTGTGACGGCCTCACGGTGGGAACAGCTCCTCGTTTCAGGAAAACAAGTTTAGCAAATCCTGCTTTGAACTGTCCAACATTTTGAAAGCTGTCGTCAGTAAAATGAACATCTGAGCATCAAACTCTGCAGGGATCTTCTGATAGACAATAATAATCCATGTCTGTCGAGTCTTTGGATCCTTGAAGACTGTGAAAATGTTCCCCTTTCTCCGCCTGGAAGGCTGCATTTACACCCGTGGTTCATTTTCTATAGAGAAGCTGCCTGCTTTGGAATTCATGTAATTCTTCGTAATTCCCAACTGTCGGATAAACAGACCTTCAGGCCTGATGGGGACGATCAGAGCAGCTGGAAGTCATTTTGAACAGGGGCTGCTGTGAAAGTAATTTTTGGACTAAAGACCAATGAGCCTATAGGGCTATTTAAACTACTGGTAGTGCTGCAGCATCCTCAGAGGAAGATGAAGAACAAAGATGAAAAAAAACTGGACTCCAGCTTTCTGTACCATCAACAGAGAGACGCCAACAGAAGCAGAATCCTTTTAAAGTATATTTAATGTGAAACCATCAGTTAAAGTGCCAAAGTTTAAAACTTCATTTTCTTTGAGGTCAGTTTAATCTCAGAATTATTTCATTCCTTCATTTTAAATTGGCAAATATTTTACAAAATGCTGTAAAAATCAGGTAATAGGAGCCGAAATCTGAAGAAAAACATTAATAGAACCGTAGAAAGCTTAAAAAACTGGTGACCAAGATCCCTGGAGCCTTACTGACCACAGACTGGATCAGAACCCCCCTCCCTCATCTTTAGATAACCTCCACCATCCAATCAAACCCAGAAGAACCGGAGTAGAGCACCGGCTAACAGAGCGGGATGCTGGTGGAGCAGCAGGCCGCCTCATAGATGACGCTGATCAGACACAGGCTGCCTGCAGACAAGGCCGTGCTGGAACTGAACACGCTGTCGTCGCCAGTGGTGGGCGGGCTCTCCGTGGTGGGGACATTCTTCACAGAGAAAGATCTGGACTGGGCGCCCCAGTCCTTCAGAGTGAAGACCATCGTCAGGTTCTCCCCTGCAGAGAAGAGACGAGTCGTTAGAGGCTCAGACTGCAGCAGGGATTTACCATTAGGCAATACTAGGGCCCCAAGTTCCTGGGGGCCTCATAAAACTCTGTTTCCATGTGTGGTTAATACAACTATTCCTTATTTCTGCACATTAATTATGTTTCTGATAAAAATCCTTTGTCTAAAATGCCATCAGAACGTTGATAATATTAAGTGTGTCTCACCCCCCCCTTCAGTGTCCACCATATTGGATCAGTCCATTTGCTGCACATGTTCAGAAAGGTCCAAACAGACAGCAGCAAACCATTTGAAAACAAACCATGCAAAGAGCAGTGTTGCCAACTTAGCGCTTTAGTCGCTATATTTAGCCACTTTTCAGACCCCTCTAGCACTTTGATTTCTAAAAAGCTCCTAGCGCCAAATCTAGAGACTTTTTTCTGCTACTGGAGACTTTGGAGACAACATCTAAAAGCAGCGAACTCTGCTCTCCAGAGCAAGTAGATTGGTAGCCCCGCCTCCTGCTCTCCTCTATCTTGTCTGCTGTCATGATTCATGCAGCTATTATTTCATCCAAATGAAAAATGGAGAACAGATAAGCAGATCATGGCTTGTCTACAGTGAAAAGAAGGACTGGGTTATTTACTTTGGCCTTTTTGGAAACACAGGAAGGAGCAATCAGCTAAGTGAGCTTAGTGCTTGGAAAAAATCTTTCATTCCTTTAGAGACAGCATGAAAAGTCAGCTGAGTACAAAACATAGAGAGGAAAACAAGAAGAAAAGGGACAAGAAGAGAAGGACACAACCTAGAACAGATCATGGATGTCTATTCTATTAACATTTCTCTATCTGGAGAATGGGGCTGTTTTATGTGTTGTCTTCTCCATTCAGAGGGGCCCCTGCCTGTCTTTGCCTAGGGCCCCAAATGTCCTAAACCCCCCCTGCGTCTAGAGCAGCGCCTCATGAGCTTCACAAGCAGCTGCTGCTGGAGTTGGAAAAATTGAAATTTTGCTGCTGGACGCGCCGCATCAACCAATGAGAGAAGCTGATCTGGGAGCTGGCAGGGAGTCAGACGCAGCACTGCTGATGCAGAGCGCTATGATCACTCCTCTGAAACAGTTTATTAACGCCTAAATTAACTTCAAATGTAGAAACCTGCCGGCAGAATATGTTGGCTTTTATTATCCTGCTGCCTGCAGTTTGTAGCACAGACCTGAAAAACGCTAACATCTACTTCCAGCCGCCACCAACAGGAGGGGAAAACCCTGGAGAGGCGAGCGGGCCTGAGGCAGCTGCTGCTGGGGATTCCCAGTGACAGCGCAGCGCCGGTATGTGGGGGTCTGAGCGGCTCCCACAGAGAAATAATCTTTGAAGGCAGGATGGTAATCTGGATGAACTGACTGCACAGACCATGTTTTCAGGAGGACTTTCTCACTTCAACATAGATTCTAACTACTTTCTACCCGCTGATCACAGCTAATATAGCAAAGCTGCTCTCTGGCATCGAACACAGGAGCAGCAGAAGCATCTGGACTCACTTTACTGGACCTTTGACCTTAATGTGGATCAGAGATGAAGCAGCAGAAGCTTCTTTGATGGCGTTAGCTGTGAACGTAGCATCAGGCTGAGAAGACTCACCGCTGTTAAGGATGGAGAGGTCGCTGAAGTTGGCCCAACAGCCGCTGAACAGGATGGTGGTGTTTCCTTCCAGTCCGCCCACCGGATCTCCGCTGCCGTTCTTCAGGCTGGTGCTCACGGTGAGCGTGGTCACGCCCACAGACACACAGTTACCCTGAAACAGCAGCACAGGCCCGGTTAGCGAGCAGGAAACGCTGCCGCAGGACTTCATCAGGTCCTCCGCTCCTCCATGCTGACACTAACTTCTAACCAGATGTTTGGGTGCAGCTGCACCAAGCAGCTACGTTAAAACCTGCTGTTAATCCATCAGATTCAAGCTCTTATCTCTTCACCTTCTGTTAGGATCATTTCCTGAAGTGGAGAAACTGGGACTTTTGCAAGAGAAAAATGTATTTTAGGTCTTTAGACGGAGAAAAAGGCTCTGACTGGAGTAAGCCCCGCACACACTCTCCATGGGGACCATCCCACCCCCTGCATAAAGAACTTTCTCACACATTTGGAGGAAAACAACTTCAGTTCATCGAGGACATTAGGTTCATATATCTTTCACTGCCCAGATAAACATTTCACAACAACTGTTTCTGTTCACGGCTTTAGGGAGCCTCTATCTACATTTCACGCTTGTCTGGAGTGAGGAGGCTACTGCTCTCTGCCCCCCCTACCTTAAATATTTCAGCATAGAGACTGGCAGGAGGTTTCTCTACAATAACTGAACAGTTTAATAATGATTGCGCTGCTAAATAAAGGTTTAAGCCCGGTTTATGCTCAGAAATCAGATCGTCTGCGTGTGTTGCAGTGAACGCAGATATGCCCCGCCCCCCTTCCACTGACACTCTGCTGCACCTCTCCCAAATCGTAGCGCGAGAACGCTGGGACCCTTTTTCCACCTGGATCCCCGCTCTTTTTGGCCCTCATGTCCCTCCGTTGTTGCACAAACTGGCCCCACTTCCTCACCGCCTCGGCCGTATCTAGACCCACAGCTAGCTCCTGATTGGCCCTCTGGCGTTGTGACGTGGAATAACTTAGCACAGACCACGCTTCAATATTGAGCATGAATCAAAAATATCTGCGACACGCTGCTGCAGGACAATAAGCAGACCTTTGTAAATCATTTATTATTATCTAGAGACTGATTAATAACAGGAGGTTAAATCAGGTCCAGATGTGTGGTGATGTCACGACTACGCTTCTGTTGAAGCTGAACCCTCACCTGCTCGTCCACGGCCATGAGACGCGGCTGCTGGAGCAGCGGCCCCACGAACTCTCCGGCTATCGGGTCCTCCACCAGCAGCAGGCGCGACACGCTCGAAATGTAGCTCGCCTTCGGTTCTTCTCTGGACGCTTCCTTTGCTGCCACCTGCAGGTGAAATGTGGAGGATTTAAGTTGCTCTTCAAGTTCAGCAACGAGCCTCGGCGTCTACAAACAGCTCACCTGGCTCCAGGTGGGGTCTGAAGATGAAGGAGGAGGCGGGATGATGCCGATGGAGGAGACGTTGTAGCCGATGGACTGACTGAGGTTCCCAGAAACCGCCGCCTGACCCAGATCATCTGCGATGCTCCTCAGCAGCGCAAAGTCTTCCTCATCTGAAAGAAAGAGGATCAGTTCATCTACGTTTCTCTGAGAGCATCCAGACGGCGAGCTGGTTCCAGTACCAACCGGTGCTGGTGTTGCCGGTCTGCTGAAGTGGGGGCTTTTTGATCTGCACCTCCACCGTTAAGCCCGTGGACCTCTTCCTGCGCCGCACGCCGCCATCCTCCCTGATGATCTTGGTGATGCGGATCATGCTGGGGGGAACTTTGAGGAACGTGGCCAGGTTCTGGATCAGGTTTTGACCGAAGAACTCGTCCTCGGTGAGGGCGGGCATGTTGAAGGCCACGACGATAAGCGGAGACGTCCTGATCTCCACCGGCGTGGAGCCTCTCACCAGGACCTTCAGCAGCTTGTAGTCCTGGTCGAAGTAGTTGGATCCCATGGAGGCGTTCATCAGAGGCACAAACTCATCTGGGGAAGGAAAAATAAAAACATTTTCCTGAGAAAACGACGGAAAAGGATGCAGCCAGGTAAGGAAAATCTATCGAAGGATTTCACTTCCATGAACACAGCTGCTGGAACATGGAGCGTTTTTCAATCGTACGGCTTGAACAGATAACATGAAGTAGGATCCAGCTTTTACTGTTGGTCACTGAATCAGCCTCCTTCATGCTGACTGAGATTCAACTGGAGCCCAATGCTGACAAAGGTACAAAGTACATCATCATCCTGCAGGGATGCATCAAACTAACTCACCTGTTCTGTTCTTGTTGGAGGTCTGGTTTTTAGCTAGCAATGCGGACGGGCGTAAATTGTGTGACCTGTTTTTGGAACGTCTAGCTTTGGTACGCCCTAATTTTCCCCTGGAAACCTTTCAGCTTTGTTGTCAGTCAGGTGAAACTTCATCGGTCATTAGACACGCTAACGCTACAGATGCTACCGACTCGACATTATCGTTTAGCAGCAGCTGAGACCTTATCTCCTGGTTATGAGAAGAGATTTCATAATTAAGAGATAAGCTATCTGATTCTTTGCTGAATGCAATACGCTCCATAAATACTGAATCAATAAAGAAAAATATGTTTTCTGACACATTAAACGTATTTATCAGATATGACAAAACTGGAACATCCCTGAATAAAAAATATAAACAAAATATGTGAAACTTCTGATTTCCAATGAACAGAGATGTAGATCTATCATTAATAGACAGGGTTTGCTGTCAGACTCGTTTAAGTATACAGGACGCTAACTGTGAGCTAGCTTAGCCTCTTGAGACCATCCTGATCTCGCAAGCTTTCCAGGTTTCACTCGCAGATCAGTCTGGAGACTCGATTAAAGAAAATGTGGAGCCGTTCACCAAACGAACGTCCAATCAGCGTTGGCTTTGAGGCGGGTTGAGGTGTGACGCAACGAGAAGCGCAACAGTTCAGTCTAAAGAACATGGCGGCTTCAGCCGATGAAACTAGCGTTAGCGTGGCTATCGAGCGAGTTTGATCGGAATTACAGAGTATTTCTTCACTGAAAGAAGAGCAAAACACTGCTCTGGAGGCTTTTCTCAGAGGAAAAGATGTTTTTGCTCTTCTCCCGACTGGTTTCGGCAAGAGTTTGATCTATCAATTGGCTCCTCTTCGTCGTCGCTCTGTTAGTACGTCTTATGCTTCGTTGATCTGATTGGTTTATTTGGCCCGTCTATCACCAACATAGGCCAATCAGCTAACCTGTATTTTCACCCCTTCCCAAAATTACTTCAACGGAAGGTTTCCAGATGGATATGCGGAGCAAATCCATCTGGCGGGGTCAGGTTAGAGCTAGCTCTCTGTTTTTCAGAGCTGGGAGAGACTTTGTTCTGTTGGCAGAGCTTTAAACAGGCGGTTCTTGGTTTCTTTCTGAGGAACGTTAGAACTTTGGTCAAATGTTTTTTCTGGGTTTTAACTTCATATTAAACGCCAACATTGATGATTTTTTGACGTCTTTTAAAAAGTTTTTTTTTATTTTTCTTTACTTTTTTATTGTCGTGATCTCGGCGCTGATGGTTTGTTTTTTTTCCTTTGCTCCTTGCTCTCCTGTCTAATTAGTTCTGAGGCTGATTATCGCCGATCATTTCCACCTGGTTCCTCTACTATTTAGGTTGTTTGTTTGCCTCCCATCAGCGCCAGGTTATTCGTGAGTTTTGGTGAGACGTTTCCTAGCATCCTTTAGTCTGTCTGTTTTTCTGCTTTTGACCAGTTTCTGCCCTGAGGATCTTGAGTTTCTCCTTGCCCCTGTCTGCTCTGTTTGGCTGTTCTGATCCTGGATTCTACTGGCTTCTGAACCTGGAACAGCCTTGGATTTCCCTTCTGGACTCGGTTGCTGCTCGGCGTCGGCTGGCGCCCGCTCCGCTCACTCTCTAGGAACTCTGGGGGCGTTGCCCGCCACAACTGCGGTCAAACCTCCCTCCTGGATTCTACTATGTTCTCCGTGAACGGACTGAACTTTGAATCAGGTCAGTGGCTATCTTCAAGTCATATTCAGCTCTACATCCAGTCACTGACCTGTATTCTCCTATCCCTGCGGAGATCCACCCCGCAGCAGACGAGCAGCCCTGCGCGCCTGTTTGTTTAATAAACGCTTTAAACTCTCGCACTGCCTGTCTCGCCTTGAATTCTGGGTCCAACATTCTGACATCATTACATTTATTGCATTTTTACCTCTGAATGTCGGCTCTTTCAGGACGTAGTCGGTTCTGTCGTCGTTCCACACAGCGTTGGTCGGAGGAACGAGCCTGTTTTCCACGTAGACGTCCAGCTGCTGAGGGTTGGAGTAGAACACGGAGACCAGGACGCTCTGCAAGAGTCAAACAAGCAGCCATCGGATCGGGAACAAAGACGACCCAAATGACTGAACGCTTAGAGCTGCACAGACCTCAGTGGGGTCGGAGTTCAGCATCATGAGGCGGAGCTTCTGTGGGCTGACGCTGGTGAAGTAGACCTCGAAGGCGTGTCCAGTGGCCATGATGCTGTGGAACAGAGACACTCGCTCCTGGCAGGTGTACCCGGCGCACCAGCCGTGATCCTGAGGCCCTGTGCAGCAAATCCTGGACGTGAAAAAGGTGTTCCACCTCACCTGGCCAGGGAGAAACTGCCAGAACCTTACCGTTAATCAGATCCACAAAGCCATCTCCAAAGACAGCCACAGGAGACAGACGACGGGTCTCTGTGTCCAAGTCCAGACTCTCGATCACGACCATCCTGTAGTTGAGGCCGAAGCACTCGTAGCTCTGCCAGGAGCTCATGTAGGTGCAGTTCTTCCTGATCACACCTGAATGCAGCAGGTAGAAACCTCAGCTTCTGATAGAACCTGAACTATCAGGTCTGACTGAGGCGGAATAAAGGATCCGGAAGCTTGAAGTTCTCGCTTCCCGCCCTCCTTACCTTTGTGAGGAGCGACCTGCTCCACAGGGATCCGGCTGCCGTTCGGGAACGTCAGCATGACTTTGGGGATGCGATAGTCGCCCAATCCCCTCCTGGGATCTCCTCCCCACTCGTACTCGGACTGGGGCACCACGGTTCCGGGAGCTCCCAGGAAGGACCCGTCCAAGTCCCTCAACAGGGTCTTCTTCTTGGCATCACAGTCCATGTCCACGCAGTCGGCTGGATTCGCTTTGCTGTGGAGCAGGAACATTAAATGCTCAATCAGACAGAAAACAAGACGGTTCGGTTCCAGGTTCTGTCCGAGTGGAACTCACCCCACATCCGGCCTGTGAATAAACACCTTGGCGTCCTCGGTGCTGTCCACCATCCTCATGGCTGAAACGTGCACCGGGTGCTGCAGGTCCTCGTTCAGGGGGTTGGTGATGAACATGACGTTCTTCTGCCCAGAGCAGACATCACGGAAGCCAACCAGCGTCGTGCCTGAAGCAGAAGAACCAGGAATGAGTAGAGAGTCATGGAAACAAGCAGAAGAAGAAATCCCAGAACCCACCTGTGACCCTCATGAGGCCTTTGATGGCGTTGTAGTTCATGTTGAGGTGGTGGGGTTTACCGGGCGCCATGTTGTGACCCGACTGGAGGTTCGGCCAGCAGATTCCAGATCGGCCTCCTGAACACAGCAGATGGTAGTAAATCTGGAAGTTCCTATTCCAGGAACATTTGTTTCCAGTCCTGTTTCTTCTCCATCTCTGTTTCTAATTGGCTAATCACTGCTAGGTGATGACTCCTCTGCACCATAGACATGAATATGTTCACACCTCATTAGAAGCAGCGGGCAGCGAGGTCGATGTGCCTACAGGGCGGCCATCTTGGGTCAGACCACAGTTCAGGCTGCTGCTGTCAGAAATCTGTTCTGTTCTGACTCTTGAAGGAGGCGGTCGCATTTTCCTGCTGCTCTGCAACGCCCTGCTCTCCCTGCTGTCCCTGCTTTGCTGTGTCTTGTCCTTTTCTGAGCTCTCCAATCAGCCAAACTCAATCAATGGATCTGGTCAGCTGGTCTCTCAATGCAATTGATCAAATGTTCTCAACTTGAACACAGGTAAAAGGGGTCCTGCTGGGACATACTTCGTGGGATACACCATGGACTCCTGGAAGGCTTGGAGAATGGTGCGTTTTGCAATGCTGTCAGTGGAGGATATCGAAGATGTGTGGATTTTCGGAGTTATGATACTCGGATTTGTCCTGTTTGGATACCTGAGCATACCTGTATCTACAATTACAAAGGATGTCTGCGGCAATTTGGGCATTGATCAGGCTGTCGGCAGTGGTTGATGCACCAACAAGGACCGTGAGCTGAGCCGTATGCTGGGTGCGATTGAACGCAGGCTGGCTGCACTGGTTGAACTCATAGGTGAGATGGGATAATATGCTGGATGTGCACGTTTACTTCAAGGCAGAAAAGCCCAATAAATTTGGAATATTGGATTTCGCCACGTAGAGCCAGAAAGAAAAGATTCAAGGCTGATGGAATATTCCTGTGCAGCCTGCTCTCAAAACAATAAGTGCTATCCTGGATTCGGCCTCCCCCCCCTTATCAAAACCCCCCCTGGATGTTATGGCGGAAGGGCCCAGAAGAACTGCTCCCTCCTTCAAATGTCAGATTGACCTTCATGTGGCTCCAGCCTCCGATATTTTCCTTCTGCTGAAATGTTTGTCTCGTGTTACATGTGCTTTTTTTGTGCTGACGTGTTTTTTTGATATCTAAAACTGTTTCCTGTCAAAGATAAAGTGTAAAATATGCATTTTTTCCCCCTCTCAATCCCCAATGTGGCTCCTATCCTTCCACAGAGATAAAGGCAGCGCTATAGGGAATCGCCTCACGGTGGCGCCCTTGGCCGACGTAAGAACACGCCAAAGGCAGCATTCAGCGGCACCTATTGCCTCACTAAATAGTTCTCCCTGTCAGTACGGATGTGATGAATGATTTGTCCTGAAACGGAAATCTCGATTACAATGTAACTTGTATTTGACAATAAAGAATTGATTGATTTTATTGATGAGAATGAATAGGAGACGCCTTAGATTCCAATAATCTCTTACATGTCACCATCCCTTAAAAGACCAAAACAAATTTTATAATTATCATTCGGTTAGATTTAAACATTTTTATTCAGATTAAAAACTATTTAAAGGTAAAGATGATGATCTTTTATTTCCGGGTGGATCATCTCAATAAGTGGTCCCCCTAATGTCAATCATTCTGGCGATATGTTTATGTAAGGCCGCGTTTATAGGCTGTTGATACCTGACAGCGGCGCCTAAAGCAAAGTAACTCCTCCTACGTCTCGGTCATTCATCTGTACTTTTATATCTGTGTCTTAGTTTTCCAAAGTTGCAACATTTTCTTTCTCCTATGTTTGCACCACCGTTTGAACCTGCTGTGAAATCATTCATTTGCACGGCGTTAGCACCCCTCAGAAACCTCCACACAAAGATTCATCAGTATGACTCTGAACTCTGACCTGTTGATAAAAAAGGGTAAACCAAATACGTTCGGCGGTGATAAAGTCCTTGGAAACAGGAAGCAAAGCATCACCTTGAGGAGGCCTGGGAGCTCGGTGTGAAGATGAGGAGGCGACGTTGAAGTCGTCGGAGCTCAGCGTTTCAGAACAGTTGAAGTATGGGCTGCTGCCAACAATCAGGGAATTCTGGGAAAAGACAAAAGTGGGAATGAATGTAAAAGCATCCAGGCTGAGCAGCTGCAGGCATCACTCAGACATCCTGGACCGGCTCACCTGAACGTCCACAGTTTTATCTGCGTATGCATGTGAGAGAGAAGGAGGACCGTAGATGAGGGGCATGATGCCCATCCCGTTATCTACCAGCGTCACGTTGGAAATGACCACGTCCATGGTGACCTGAGGAGGAGAAGAGGGTCAGTTCATCGGTTCACCAAGCTTTCTTTTTTTAACTTTTTTCTTTAAAAACTGCTAAAAAGGAACAATTAACATGAAGAAATGAGCAAATGAATGAGTCAGGACAAAATAAAGAATCATTGTGGTTTATATAAGTGAGCGTTTCTGATGAGCGAAACGAATGATTCAACGAATTAAATAAAATGTCAAACATCCGGTTTCCCAGGTCGAAACATCAGGATAACTGGCCCTCACTGGTGGCTAACTGGCCCTCACTGGTGGCTAACTGACCCTCACTGGTGGATAACTGGCCCTCACTGGTGGCTAACTGACCCTCACTGGGGGCTAACCGGCCTTCACTGGTGGCTGACTGACCCTCACTGGTGGATAACTGGCCCTCACTGGTGGCTAACTGACCCTCACTGGGGGCTAACCGGCCTTCACTGGTGGCTAACTGACCCTCACTGGTGGCTAACTGACCCTCACTGGTGGCTAACTGGCCCTCACTGGTGGTTAACTGACCCTCACTGGGGGCTAACTGACCCTCACTGGTGGCTAACTGGCCCTCACTGGTGGCTAACTGACCCTCACTGGGGGCTAACTGACCCTCACTGGGGGCTAACTGGCCCTCACTGGTGGCTAACTGACCCTCACTGGTGGCTAACTGGCCCTCACTGGTGGCTAACCTGCCTTCACTGGTGGCTAACTGGCCCTCACTGGTGGATAACTGACCCTCACTGGTGGATAACTGACCCTCACTGGTGGCTAACTGGCCCTCACTGGTGGATAACTGACCCTCACTGGTGGCTAACTGGCCTTCACTGGTGGCTAACTGACCCTCACTGGTGGCTAACCGACCCTCACTGGTGGCTAACTGGCCCTCACTGGTGGATAACTGACCCTCACTGGTGGCTAACTGACCCTCACTGGTGGCTAACTGACCTTCAGTGGTGGCTAACTGACCCTCACTGGTGGCTAACTGACCCTCACTGGTGGCTAACTGGCCCTCACTGGTGGATAACTGACCATCACTGGTGGCTAACTGGCCTTCACTGGTGGCTAACTGACCCTCACTGGTGGCTAACTGACCCTCACTGGTGGCTAACCGGCCTTCACTGGTGGCTAACTGACCCTCACTGGTGGATAACTGACCCTCACTGGTGGCTAACTGACCCTCACTGGTGGATAACTGACCATCACTGGTGGCTAACTGGCCTTCACTGGTGGCTAACTGACCCTCACTGGTGGCTAACTGACCATCACTGGTGGCTAACCGGCCTTCACTGGTGGCTAACTGACCCTCACTGGTGGATAACTGACCCTCACTGGTGGCTAACTGACCCTCACTGGTGGATAACTGACCCTCACTGGTGGCTAACTGGCCCTCACTGGTGGATAACTGACCCTCACTGGTGGCTAACTGGCCTTCACTGGTGGCTAACTGACCCTCACTGGTGGCTAACTGACCCTCACTGGTGGCTAACTGACCCTCACTGCTGGATAACTGACCCTCACTGGTGGCTAACCGGCCCTCACTGGTGGCTAACTGGCCCTCACTGGTGGATAACTGGCCCTCACTGGTGGCTAACCGGCCTTCACTGGTGGCTAACTGACCCTCACTGCTGGATAACTGACCCTCACTGGTGGCTAACCGGCCCTCACTGGTGGCTAACTGGCCCTCACTGCTGGATAACTGACCCTCACTGGTGGCTAACCGGCCCTCACTGGTGGCTAACTGGCCCTCACTGGTGGATAACTGGCCCTCACTGGTGGCTAACTGGCCCTCACTGGTGGATAACTGGCCCTCACTGGTGGATAACTGGCCCTCACTGGTGGATAACTGGCCCTCACTGGTGGCTAACTCCCTCACTGGTGGCTAACTGGCCCTCACTGGTGGCTAACTGGCCCTCACTGGTGGCTAACTGGCCCTCACTGGTGGCTAACTGGCCCTCACTGTTGGCTAACTGACCCTCACTGGTGGCTGAGTCTCTAACAGACTAACTGTAAACAGAACCAAAGACCAAAGAGCAGAATTCCTTTTATCACGATCATAAGGTGGAGTTTTCCTAGACCTGGAAGTAGATGGCGAAATCGAAGGTTTTCCAGATGAAGAATCCTCGGATGAAGCTGCATCCGGGCAGTCCATCCTTGTTGAGGTAAACTCCGTACAGCCCGCCGTGCGCCTCGTTCTGGATCCAGGCCTCGTTAGGTTTCGGGAAACCTGCCGGAGCAGAGGAGACGGTTCGTTCTGCTCCCAGAGGAAAACGTTCCGGTTCAGGATGTCATTTTATTTACCTGGGCAGGGTTCTCCGTCGATGCGGTACGCCACCCTCTCGTAACCCGCCACGATATTATGCTGCAGCACCACGTTGGTCCCCTGGTTCACCTAAGGAAAGCAAACAGGTTGGGAATGCTGGGAATTCTTTGGGAAATCCCAGCAGCGAATGGTTTGTAGGAGAGGAAGAACCTCGATGGCTGCGTTCCAATCGAAGTTGAAGGGTTCCTCTCTGTCTTGATACGACCCAGGCCACAGTGACATCATCACCAGGTTCCTCCTCAGCGTGATCCTGTCGCCCCAGATACGGATGCCTGCAGACACGGAAAAAAACCAGCAACCCTCAGGGAAGTCTGGAGGAGCAGGAGCGTTTACCCGCGCTGTCAGTGAGGGTGTGATCCGCTGGGTTACCTTCTCCCACGGTGTGATGGATGACGTTGTCGTCGACATTCAGGCCTGAGGTCCCAAAGACTCCGATGGCAGGAGAAAAGCCGTCATGGAAGGCACATCCCTGGATGTATGAGTCGTTCCCGGAAACCTTTAAATTATAAACCGAGTCGGATCAGAATCTGCAGCTTTTCAACAGCGGAGCTGCAAGAAAGAAGCAGCCGAAGTCCAAAGCTAGAGATCAGGAACATCTGAGCTTCTTTAAATCAATCTAAAAATGTTTTCAAATGTTTGTACAGCAGACGTGTTCATTCCTATATTTAAATAATATTAAGGAAAACTTCAAAAGGTCACCAAAGATCAATCAGCCTGAAAAATATCTATGCTTCTTTTTCTATGTCTGCTTCTGTCTCCTTGAACCCCAGTGGGCCTCAGCAGATGGCCGCTCACACTGAGCCTGGTTCTGCTGGAGGTTTCTTCCTGTTCAAAGGGAGTTTTTCCTCTCCACTGTCGCTACAAGCATGCTTAGTGTGAGGGATTGCTGAAGAGTCAATGAGTCGATGCAATCAGCTGGTTTTCCTTAGATAGAAAACTTTGAATCAATCTGACTGGATGATCTGGTTGATCTGGATCTATAAAGTGACCTGAGATGACATGATGGGAATTGGAGCTATAGAAATATTTGTTTTCTCTATTCAGAGGCCCCCCCCTGCCTGTCTTTACCTAGGGCCCCACATTTTCTATTTCCACCCCTTGTTTTGGGATGTCTTAATGCGTTAATGTGAGCGCCGCCGTACCTCTCCCAGGTTCAGGAACGCCACGGAGTAGCGGGGGTCGTAAGAGTCGGTCCAGCCTTCCTGGCCGGAGCGGAAGAATTCCACGTTCCGGATCTGAGCTTTTCCTTTAGGAGAAAGAAAACCAGGAGAAGAAGGTCTGAGAGAAGCGCTCCATCAGAACCAGCTACTGGGAAGAAACCAACGTGAGCGCTGCGGATTGGGAAAGCTGTGGGTTTGGTGACTGCTTTCTCCCACGCCACCTGCCAGCGTGCCTCTGGGCAAGGCACTTTGAAAGTAACCATCAGATCAGCGTATGGAGGAGGAATGTGGCTCTAAAGTAAATGGACCAGAAAAGATCTGGAGAGGTCAGAACATTTATGATCTATTTTACTCGTATTGTTAATGTGTTTGTAAAACGTTATTGAATCAAACTGATCTCTCGTAAAAAAAAATAGATTGTGGATATCAGTAAGATTATATGAATAAATAAAGATGAAATAATCTAAAATCTATGGCGTCAGGATTATGCCAAAATTCCACACATGCAATAAATCCTCTGAGCAGCTTTATGTCACACAGACGCTCATTAACTCTTCCTCAAACGCGTGTTTAACATAGATAAAACATGGAGGTCGTTCCTTCTCTCCTCGGTGTGGTTTGATTTCCCAGCCTGCTTCCTCCTCCTGTGCACCGGTTTCTGCTTTCTCATGTCAACTTTTGCTCCTTTGAAGAAGTTACCCATCGGAAAAAGCAACCCGCCTGTGATTGGCTACTTTTTAGGAAATTTGGCATCTTGAGATGTGATGTGTTGCCTAGGTACGGTGGCTGAGAAGTGCAAAACACATTTAGAATTCAAAAACACATTAACAAATAAAAAACAAAATAACATTTGAAGAAACAAAATTATATTTTATGAAACAAATGTATTTTTGAAAAAAAAGTTACAATTTTTAAAAACAAATTTACATTTTAGGAAACAAATTCACAATTTTAAATAAGTTAGATTTTAGGTGAGAGAAAGTTTAATTTTAGAGAAAATAAAATACATTATAGTGAAACAAATATACATCTAAAAAAAAATTGACCGTTCTGAAACACTTGTACAAGTGCAAAGACAAAACTGCAAGCGGCAAAACACAGTTACATAGCCAAAAACAAATGAACAAAAGACGGCTACACGGAAAGGGAATGTCCCAGTGGCCGGATGTGACGTCACCATTACCCTGACTTGTAGTACAAACAGCTCAATCTGTAGTCCTCCTGCTTAAAATTCCGAATTTGTTTCCTAAAATGTAAATTTGTTTGCTAAAATTTTAACTTTTTTTTCAAAAATACATTTGTTTTATAAAATATAATTTTGTTTCTTCAAATGTTATTTTGTTTTTTATTTGTTAATGTGTTTTTTAATTTTAAATGTGTTTTGCACTTCTCAGCCACCGTACCTAGGTAACCAGCGTAAACAATCTCCCCGTTTCAAGCTAAAATTTGAGCTGCCAAAAACTATCGGACTATTTCACCTGAACTTTTTTTTTTTAGGTGTCCTATAACCCTGATTAACGGACGACCTACAGCCAATCAGAATCCACTATTCATCCAGACCATTTCATATCTATGCAGGGATTAAAGAAAAAAAAAATCCTGAGCCTGAACTTTTTCGACACAGGCAAGAAACTCATATATATATATATATATATATATATATATATATATATATATATATACACTCACTGGCCACTTTATTAGGTACCCCATGCTAGTAACGGGTTGGACCCCCTTTTGCCTTCAGAACTGCCTCAATTCTTCATGGCATAGATTCAACAAGGTGCTGGAAGCATTCCTCAGGGAGTTTGGTCCATATTGACATGATGGCATCACACAGTTGCCGCAGATTTGTCGGCTGCACATCCATGATGCGAATCTCTCGTTCCACCACATCCCAAAGATGCTCTATTGGATTGAGATCTGGTGACTGTGGAGGCCATTTGAGTACAGTGAACTCATTGTCATGTTCAAGAAACCAGTCTGAGATGATTCCAGCTTTATGACATGGCGCATTATCCTGCTGAAAGTAGCCATCAGAAGTTGGGTACATTGTGGTCATAAAGGGATGGACATGGTCAGCAACAATACTCAGGTAGGCTGTGGCGTTGCAACGATGCTCAATTGGTACCAAGGGGCCCAAAGAGTGCCAAGAAAATATTCCCCACACCATGACACCACCACCACCAGCCTGAACCGTTGATACAAGGCAGGATGGATCCATGCTTTCATGTTGTAGACGCCAAATTCTGACCCTACATCCAAATGTCGCAGCAGAAATCGAGACTCATCAGACCAGGCAACGTTTTTCCAATCTTCTATTGTCCAATTTCGATGAGCTTGTGCAAATTGTAGCCTCAGTTTCCTGTTCTTAGCTGAAAGGAGTGGCACCCGGTGTGGTCTTCTGCTGCTGTAGCCCATCTGCCTCAAAGTTCCACGTACTGTGCGTTCAGAGATGCTCTTCTGCCCACCTTGGTTGTAACGGGTGGTTATTTGAGTCACTGTTGCCCTTCTATCAGCTCCAACCAGTCTGGCCATTCTCCTCTGACCTCTGGCATCAACAAGGCATTTCCGCCCACAGAACTGCCGCTCACTGGATGCTTTTTCTTTTTCGGACCATTCTCTGTAAACCCTAGAGATGGTTGTGCGTGAAAATCCCAGTAGATCAGCAGTTTCTGAAATACTCAGACCAGCCCTTCTGGCACCAACAATCATGCCACGTTCAAAGTCACTCAAATCACCTTTCTTCCCCATACTGATGCTCGCTTTGAACTGCAGGAGATTGTCTTGACCATGTCTACATGCCTAAATGCACTGAGTTGCCGCCATGTGATTGGCTGCTTAGAAATTAAGTGTTAACGAGCAGTTGGACACTTTATTAGGTACACCTGTACTGTGCGTTCAGAGCATCTCTGAACGCACAGTACGTGGAACTTTGAGGCAGATGGGCTACAGCAGCAGAAGACCACACCGGGTGCCACTCCTTTCAGCTAAGAACAGGAAACTGAGGCTACAATTTGCACAAGCTCATCGAAATTGGACAATAGAAGATTGGAAAAACGTTGCCTGGTCTGATGAGTCTCGATTTCTGCTGCGACATTCGGATGGTAGGGTCAGAATTTGGCGTCTACAACATGAAAGCATGGATCCATCCTGCCTTGTATCAACGGTTCAGGCTGGTGGTGGTGGTGTCATGGTGTGGGGAATATTTTCTTGGCACTCTTTGGGCCCCTTGGTACCAATTGAGCATCGTTGCAACGCCACAGCCTACCTGAGTATTGTTGCTGACCATGTCCATCCCTTTATGACCACAATGTACCCAACTTCTGATGGCTACTTTCAGCAGGATAATGCGCCATGTCATAAAGCTGGAATCATCTCAGACTGGTTTCTTGAACATGACAATGAGTTCACTGTACTCAAATGGCCTCCACAGTCACCAGATCTCAATCCAATAGAGCATCTTTGGGATGTGGTGGAACGGGAGATTCGCATCATGGATGTGCAGCCGACAAATCTGCGGCAACTGTGTGATGCCACCATGTCAATATGGACCAAACTCCCTGAGGAATGCTTCCAGCACCTTGTTGAATCTATGCCACCAAGAATTGAGGCAGTTCTGAAGGCAAAAGGGGGTCCAACCCGTTACTAGCATGGGATACCTAATAAAGTGGCCGGTGAGTGTATATATAGCACCAACCTGTTAAGGTTTAAAGCGTAAAGTTGGTCATGCAGAGACACCTAGTGGAACAAACACCAAACTGCAACATGTAGAAAATCTAAAAGCCAATCGGCTGCTCTAATCATAGGCTGTTCATCGTTTCAGCATAAAAAAAAAGACATTCAGGGGAAAATGTCAATAAACTGGAAAACATAAAGCTTTAAGGAGCTTTTTGGACAATCCTGAAATGCAAAAGAAGAGATCCTGGTACCTTTATAGCTGATTCCCTGACTGGAGAAGGTTCCGACCAACAGCCGGGCCCCGAAGGACTCCGCCATCATGGCCGGATACTCCTCACCGATGATCCGGATGTTCCTGCTCAGGAGACCAACGTCTGCAGCCAGCGTGTAGGAGAAGGATGTTCCTGACACGGAGTGGGTTCCACCTGCAGGAACCGCAGAAACAGGCCGTTAGAAGGTGAGCCGGGTGGAACCGATGCTTCCTGGATGCTGCTCTGTCCCTGGAGGTGGACGTACCGACGTGAGTGTGGCTCAGAGGCTGGCTCAGGGTCAGGATGAGGCCGTCGGCCGACACGGCGGAGATCCGGTGTTTTTCTGTCTCTGAGGCGCTGTAGCTGGAGGTGGAGACGGCCACCTGATCTCCCACCTGCACAACCGTCACAGACATGACAGCGAATAGGTGAGGAGCAGCGACCGGACAGTACCGAACCACTGAGCGCCGATCGAGCTGCTGTGGATTCCCTACTGGAAAAGCATCAGACCTAAAACAAACTCTCTGGGTCTGCCTAAAGGAGACAGAACATCTACGCTACGTCTCTACATGTCCTCTAGCTGTGGTCCTGAAAGGAACTGGATCAGAACCGTGATCACTTTCTAAGCTTTCTGTGGACTAAACAAAATCCTCCACTTAAGCTGTCATCAAACCTTCCACAGACCTTCCAGTCCACGGCCTGCGTCAGAACCAGCGTCATGGACCCAGCGGCGGCGGTGGCGGCGAGCTTGGTGTGGTAAACGTTGGGAGGCTGTCCGTACAGGTCCAGAGTTCCAAACACGCCTGCAGAACAACCACAGAACCAGGATGAGGCTCAGGATGAAACATCTGAACCAAACCGACACCAGAAGAGCTTCCTGGACCCTTCCTGAAGAACCAGACCCTGATGGTTCTGAACGAATCAGGTCCACATCCAAACTGAAACTGCTTTTAAACTACAGATTCTGCTATAAGTAGCAAGGAAAATGAAAACTCTGTCTTGGCTTAAGCCTTTTCCCCCCAAAAACCTTCACCAATGGCAAGAAAGGTTGAAGAATGTGTTTAAAATGGAGAAGATAAAGCAAAATGTGAAAATGGACGTATTCTTGGGGGGGTGGGGCCCCCGGCTACCGCCTGCTTTGGATGGTCGCACGGATAAAGAACGCCATAGCCTAAAGAAAAGGGTTCAGCCCCCATTATATGCATCTCTCCCCTTTTATGGAAGCCATTAGACAGGTACACCCCCCCTATCCCCCCCCCCCCCCATTTTATTTTTAATTTTTTCTCTTCTTGGGTTTGATATTATTTGCAGTTGCATATATTAGTATACATATGTATACATGTTGGATACAGCGGCGGTTCTACACCAAATGTTCCAGGGGGCCAGGAGGGGGCCAGGAGGAGGCCAGGAGGGGGCCAGGATGGGGGCCAGGAGGGGGCCAGGATAGGGCCAGGACGGGGCAAGGAGGGGGCCAGGATGGGGCTACAAGGGGGCCAGGAGGGGGCCAGGACGGGGCCAGGAGGGGGCCAGGAGGGGGCCAGGATAGGGCCAGGACGGGGCAAGGAGGGGGCCAGGAGGGGGCCAGGACGGGGCCAGGAGGGGGCCAGGATGGGGGCCAGGATGGGGCCAGGATAGGGCCAGGACGGGGCAAGGAGGGGGCCAGGAGGGGGCCAGGACGGGGCCAGGAGGGGGCCAGGAGGGGGCCAGGATGGGGCTAGAAGGGGGCCAGGATGGGGCCAGGAGGGGGCCAGGACGGGGCCAGGACGGGGCAAGGAGGGGGCCAGGACGGGGCAAGGAGGGGGCCAGGAGGGGGCCAGGATGGGGCTAGAAGGGGGCCAGGATGGGGCCAGGAGGGGGCCAGGATAGGGCCAGGACGGGGCAAGGAGGGGGCCAAGATGGGGCAAGGAGGGGGCCAGGATAGGGCCAGGAGGGGGCCAGGATAGGGCCAGGAGGGGGCCAGGATGGGGCTAGAAGGGGGCCAGGATGGGGCCAGGAGGGGGCCAGGACGGGGCCAGGAGGGGGCCAGGATGGGGGCCAGGAGGGGGCCAGGATAGGGCCAGGACGGGGCAAGGAGGGGGCCAAGATGGGGCAAGGAGGGGGCCAGGAGGGGGCCAGGATGGGGCTAGAAGGGGGCCAGGAAGGGGCCAGCGTGTTTTCATAGGCGAACAGAAAGGCATGAAATAAAAAACAGGGAAAGGGATTCAAATATATAAAGATCTATAGTAGATCACCCTTTATCACTGCCTGTGGAACTGCCCTAAATTTAAGGAAAAGGTAACAGAATGAGTCTGTGACATCAGCTCCACTCGTCTTTCCTATGTTTTTCATTCATGGACTTTTAACAACAGACTTAAGATTGTCGAATGCTGAGAAAAAGATGGAATATTTGCTCATTTCAGGCTAAATCCTGTGTTGCTATCCATTGGAAAGCTTTGGAAGCACCGTCGTTTGGTCCAAGACTCTAACACTCTGGCCACGGAAAAATTGACTTATGCTTAAAAGTGGAAGCTACAAAGTTCCTCCAAAATATTGGAACAATTAACAGACTTCTTAGAAAGCCAGCAAGATGTACAAGGTTCATAGGCTATATTTCTACTTTCTGATTTTGTATTTTAGATATTCTAAGTGTTTTTTTCCCCTTTCTTTTTTCCAATGTTGTTTGTTTCTATGTTGCTAAATGTGTATTTTTGATCTATGTTGTTGTTAAAGTTGGAAAATGTAATAAATGAGATTCTAAATATATTTCGACAGCTGCGTGAAGAGAAATTTCTATTCAATTAGGTTTAAATTAAAATGTATTATTAGGTCAATATAAGTTCAGAATTAAGGAATTTTACATATTTTTTTCTTTATTTAAAGCTACAGTGTGTAATAATTACAGGGATATACAGTCAGAAACGTAATATATTATACATAACTATGTTATTTATCATCATCTACGAGCTCAGCCTCTTAACCTTAATATTTGCGTTGCCTTAGAATTGGTTATTTATAATTACATAGGAGCGGGTCTCGCAGCCATGGAGGCAGACATCTTTGCGCTACGGCAGCGCAGAGCCAACAAACTAGCGATTGCGAGATCGCCAAAACGTCACAACGATGTAGAAAAAATAACGGGTATATTTATTATCTTAAGTCTACATGAAATCTATACCCTACACAGACTAGTGAAATACTATCTGTAAAATTATCTATGTAAACAAACCTCATCACTTGAGAAGGTAGGTGATGCGGACGTCGTGGAAGACATTTTGTCCCGTAACGCTCGCCGTACTGTTGGGGGGGAGAAGCGGTTGGGGGGAGATGTTTATGTTGCTGCAGTCTGCAGTCTGACCGCTAGATGTCGCTAAAAGTTACACACTGTAGCTTTAAGTTAAAATGACCATTTTCTATAAAATCTGAATTAGAACTCAAGAAAAACTGATAAATTTAGCCATTAAAAATTAGAGTTTTTTTATTTATTTATTTTTTTAGAAAAGTATTTAGCAGATGAAAACTGGGATCCTGTCTCAATGCCACTGAATTTATCACCTTATTGTTTTTAAATAATTAGTAAAACAGAATTTATAAAGAAAAAAAATGACATAGTTCCAAAGGACTCATCAGTGACGATGCCTGTTCCAGCGCAGATCATCATTAGAACATCTTTGAGTATCATGTCTTCAGTAAAGGGGCCATAACAGGGGCCAAGATGTAATCTACAGGGGCACTGGCCCCCCCTTGGCCCCTGTCTAGAACCGCCCATGGTTGGAATTTTCAAAAAAAAAAAAAAAACTGGTTTTAACCTTCTATTATAATTCTTCCCTTTTCTCATAAAGCGAACCAGAACCGTGTTCAGTCCAAATCCAGAGAAGAACCTCCAGAGTTCTAGGTTAAGATCTGAATGTTTTGATCCTGAAGGGTTTCTCACCCAGAACCTTGGATCCCTGGTTGGGTCCGTTGGGCAGCACCCAGTCCGGAGTGTTGTGGTTCCCTCTGAGTCGGATCTGCAGCTCTCCTTGGAACGGCTCGTGTTCCCATCCGGCGAGCAGCCTGCCGGCCTGCAGACATTCCCACACATTCCCTCAGACATCCCATCATTCCCAGCAGCCAGAACCTCCATGTTCTCTAAAGTTCAGAGGTCAGGAGGAGGATTTAAACACGATGGACCGGATCCATTTGCTCACCTGGACCAAGATGTAAACAGCATCTATCACTACGGTTCTGTTCAAGGTGTCGGGAACCTCCAGGACCCCGATGATGGTTAGCTTGTTGAGGGACGGAGTGTCGGCGTCCAGAACAATCCACTTCCCTGAGGAACAATCAACAGAGCCTTGCTTTGATCAAAACATTTACTTAAAAAGTCTGTCTACTTTTAAGGCTAGGCTTAAAACTTTCCTTTTTGATAAAGCTTCTAGTTAGAGTGGCTCAGGTTATCCTGATCTATCTCTATAGTTCTGCTGCTATAGGCTTAGACTGCTGGAGGACATAGGGACCCCTTTTTCATCATTCTGCTTCATTCTATCTCTATTCTCCCACTCTGTAGAATCTGTTAGTTCAATCTCTAACGTTCTGCTCTCTTTTTAGAAAATAACTTTTTATCTGTTTATAAATGTTAGTTTAAGATGGACCAGACCAGACTGAGGCTCACCTGTGGGGATGACCACGTTAGCTCCATCCGCTGGCACAGTGAAGTTGTTCTCAGCAGAGCTTTTCCAGAACGATGCATCAGACCACAGACTGAGGAAAGCAAAGCAGAACCAGTTCAGTCAGATTCTGGTTAGCGGGTTTAGATCAGGTGCAGCTGGACCTACATGAAGTCGTTGGGTCGGCGGTCCGGTATGGGGGCGAGGGTTGGTGGAGCCGGGGGGATGCATTTATGGAAGAAGCAGCGGTGGACAGCTAAGTTGGTCACGACGTCCCGCATGGAGCGGTCCACGCTGTCACGGCGCCTGCGATGGCCCGCCTTCCCAGACACTGCAGAAACAGAACATCTCAGTGATAACAGCCAGCGGTTCTGGACGGTGGTTCAGCCTCAGGCTTGGTCCGGTTATCAGAACAAGAACAACAGAAACGGTTCAAAAAACAGATTTCTGGAACATTTAAACGATTTAAACTATTGGGTTTAATTTTGATCAGTAAAGGATGTTTCTGTTTGGCTCTTTATTAGATACCTGGATGTCTTGGAGTGTTGGGAAATAAATGAGCCCCGGTGTGATTTAAAGGACAGAGCAGGTTTGATGTTGCATGACACGCTTTATAATTCAAGGTTTTTTCCATAAAGGGGAATATTTCTGTTATTTTCCTATTATTGTAGCCAGAAGAATCAAACTGGAAAGTTTCAGGCCTTAATTTTGCTTAATAAAATCTGAATCAAACACCCTGTCTACTTTTAAGGCTAGGCTTAAAACTTTCCTTTTTGATAAAGCTTCTAGTTAGATTGGCTCAGGTTATCCTGATCTATCTCTATAGTTCTGCTGCTATAGGCTTAGACTGCTGGAGGACATAGGGACCCCTTTTTAATCATTCTGCTTCATTCTATCTCTATTCTCCCACTCTGCAGAATCTGTATCTATGCTTCTTTTTCTATGTCTGCTTCTGTCTCCTTGAACCCCAGTGGGCCTCAGCAGATGGCCGCTCACACTGAGCCTGGTTCTGCTGGAGGTTTCTTCCTGTTCAAAGGGAGTTTTTCCTCTCCACTGTCGCTACAAGCATGCTTAGTGTGAGGGATTGCTGAAGAGTCAATGAGTCGATGCAATCAGCTGGTTTTCCTTAGATAGAAAACTTTGAATCAATCTGACTGGATGATCTGGTTGAATTGGAAAGTGACCTGAGATGACATGATGTGAATTGGAGCTATAGAAATAAACTGAATATAATTGAATTAAATGATTGACAGGTTTTAATGCTCTATAACCACTAGGGGGCAGAAATGCAGCAAGTTTTGCACATAGTTCTGAATCGTTTAAATATAACAGCTTACATCACGTTCTCTATATGACATCAGCAGGAAGAGGTGCTGATGATCCCACCTCTAAAGAGTTATCAGCCAATCAGAATCATTTTAGATAACCTGTCCGGACTTTTAATCTGAAAACAATCCAGGCTATGTGGTCTTTAAAGATAAGCTAAAGCTGAAGGTAAAACCTTCTGAGCTCAAACAGTGAGTCTAACCGAGGTAGAAGAGGTCATTGGTGGTCTTGTTGAAGAACCAGTCTCCGTTGTTGTTGTCGCTGAAGCTCAGCGGCGTCGACGAGCCGTTCCTGTCATCGATGATGCGGAAGCTGTCAGGACTCTGGGTGAAGTTGTGCCTGATGATGACGAACTGATCCGACTGCAAGGTGAGGGGAAATCAAACCGTCAGAAGGAGCGGGTCGGACCGTCTGAGCCTCCCATCGATTCTCACCTTGAAGCCGTAGAACTTGGCATCGTAGGTGATGTTGGTGATCTGGCCGGCGTTGTTGAAGAACCAGTTGTACGTCTGTCCAGACGGCAGCAGGGCCATCCAGCCAAACTTATGGGTCATCCTCTTTTTCAGGAAGGGAACCACACTGGTGCCTGAAATAAACCAGCGCATGGTGTTGATCTGCTGCAGTTACTGCTCAGCACCAGCAGATGGCGGTAAAGGCTTATAAAGGCAGGTCATGGTACCATGAGAGTTGGTCAGGATGACATCTTTGGCCTTCAGAGAGGTCGGAGTGGGGTTGTTGAAAGCCAGACGATGGAAGCTGACGGTGTGATCGCAGACCGCTCCTGGAAAACCGACGCTCCACTCGGCACTCAGTGAACAGTGGGCCGGGTCCAGCAAGCTGCTCATCGGCACCACTTTATGGTTCATATTACCTGCAAAAAAACATGGAGCTTTAAACATCCACTGCTGTTCTAGATAATCACCAACTCTGTGGTGGGACACCTGGAGAACATTTGCTTCATTCTAAGACTCTTTAATCTTCCAACGTGGTTTTGATCAATATTTCTCCAGGTTTTCTTTTCCCTCTAACAAACAAGGAGGGTTTTTTTCAGCCCTTCTAGATTAATAGATATGGAGTCAGAAAGGGGTCAAAATCTTGTCAGGATTCCTGTCTGTGTGTTTTTATGTTTCTGTATTTGTCTCCCTTCCTCCACCAGGAGGCGCCTGGTTCTGGTCCGCCTCCACACACACCTGCAGAGGGTTACCTCGTTAACGGAGTGTTCTTAAGCTGCTGACTGCCACTACCTCGACGCCAGTGTTTGCTAGTTTTGGGTACTCTAGCCAAGCTGAGTTTTGCTGAGTCAAACTGAGTTTTTGTCAACCTGAGTCTTAACCTTGTTATTTTGTCTTTGCCTCTTGGCAGGAAGTCATCCTGCAAAGTGGATTTGTCGGACCTTCTCTCCCTGGAAGGATCATCTGAGCTTCAAACTGAGCTGAGGATTCAAACTGGAGGTTTGGATCCACTTCCCTCCAAGAGATCGTTTGAGCTTCACACTGAGCAAGGGATTCATCTGCACCACAGTCAGTTCAAGTACCGCAGGAAATCTAAGTGGCAGTCAGTTTCTCTGTTCACCTACAAACAATCGCATTCTGGGTAAACCCTGTCCGCCCTCCATCGTAAGAGACAAACACTGGAACACGCCCACACCGACTGGAGTCAAAGAGTCAACTACTTTTCTGGAAACCTGAGTCAGCAATCTATTTCTCCTCTTCAAGTTCGGGAATCAAATTTCCCACCGAGCCTGAACTAACCGCAGCGTCTTCCCCTCACCTTTCAGGTCCGGTTGAGCAGTGTTCAGAGCAACACTGGATTCTTCACAATCTCCTAAATAAACCTGTTAAACTTTTTCCTTGATCTCTCTGTGTTGGTTTACTGCTTTTGGGTCAGACAACAGTTAAAATCATGACAAATCTTTGTAAACCTATAAATCCTATTTAAAACAAAAAGTTTTACCTTATGATCTGAGAAACTAAAAGAGCAAACAGAAAATAATAAGAATATAATTTAAATCTTAAATCATAAAATCGAAAACTGCAATAAAGAAGAAATAAAAAAAGAGAAAAAGTGTAATTAAAATATTAAATTGAATTTAGATTCATATCTTATTATTTTATGTTTGCTTTTTTTAGTTTTTCACATTATAAGGAAAAATATGGTATTAAACATCAACTTCTATTTTTTTCTGTTTGAATTTTTTCAGTTTCAAGTAAGATTTATAAGTTAACAAACATTTTGACCCCTTTCTGACTCCATAAATGGACAATTATTGAAGAACTATAGCCCAACTAAACTAGAATCTAACCTCTTAGCTTCAGACTTATAAAGCTGTTGCATAATTTTTATTTATTCTCTCCAACATTTTAGGACCTCCAACCACTGCTGAAGACCATTTCAAGGAGGAAGGTGCAGCTGCTTTGGAGGAGAACCGGAGGAAATGATGGTTGGTTCTGGAGTTCTGGGTCTGAGGTGTTTACCTGTGAGGGAGCCGTCAGCATCCACCAGCTGGACTTCGTGCTCCCACCTGAATCCGGCCTTGTTGGGGGAGCTCCAGTACCGGATGCCGCTGAACCTGACGGCCCAGCCGCCGCAGCGATCTGTACACGTCCCCACGATGGACGTCACTCCGATGGCCGAGCAGTTGCTGCGGTCAAAGTTGATGAATCGAGTGTTGAGGACACTCAAGCCATCGTCGAAAGGCGTGATGACGCCCCGGTGCGTGCAGTACTCAGGCCCCAGTCCCAGCTCGTCCACGTGGGCCACGATGGTGCTGTTGGACACGGTGGCCCCCCCATCCTCCCCGAAGCCGCTCACGGCCCAGCGGTAGATGCGCTTGGCTTCAATGCCGGCCTTCTCGTTGTTGACCATGACGAAGCGGTTGAACTGCACTGCGCCCACGTTGACCCACTCGGCGCCTTTCTCACAGTTCCAGGTGGTGAGGGAGTGGAAGACGGCGGGCTCTGGAGTCCTGGAAGTGCAGCCTCCGTCCTTCATGGGGTAGAATTCTTGGAAGATCCAGAGTCCGAACCACCCCTGGGAGTGCACCGTGTTGTTGGAGAACTCGCCCAGAGGAACCCTCTTCTGGCAGATGTTTGGGTCGTAGGACGGGCCGTCGGGGTGGTCGTGCATGCGGTACCAGAACCCAAAGTGGGTCCCTCCTGCTGCGGCGTTGTGTCGGATGATGTTGTTGGGATTGGTGACCCAGTAGGCAGCAGGGGTGACGTCATCATTCAGGAGGCTGGTGCTCTGCTTGACGAACACAGCCAGGTTGTACTGCAGGATGTTCTCCGTCTCGATGCCGTCCTCGATGAAGAACGCTCCGCCCATGATGTCGTAGATGACGTTGTGCTCCACCAGCAGCCGGTGGGTGTCGTGGATGGTTACGGCCCTGTTGAAGGTCTGATGGATGGCGCAGCCTCGGACGTACGACTTGTAGTTGATGTCTCCCATCAGATGCCAGTGGATGGGATACCGGCCGAGCCTGAAGGCCTGACCGGCGTGGAAGATCTGACCGAGTACAGAGGAGTCGATGCTCAACAACATAAACAAGCGTTTATAGTATGTGCCAGAAAATCAGGAAAGCTTTCAGGCATCTTACCTCCACGTATTCCAGTCTTCCCATGGCGAGGTTCTCCCCCGGCCTGGGAGCGTGGAACATGATGCAACCACCAAACTGATCGCTGCCCATTTCCTCTCCGAAGCGGCCTTGGAAACACGTCTGAGTGGCAAATTCACCTGCGCCAGCCAGAAAGGATGAGAGTGACTCAGAAAGCACAGCAAGATGGCAGACTCCAGAAAACAACTCCGGATGAAACCAGGAAACAACCACAGAATCTAAAAAAACAGTTTTTAGGTTCTGTAGTTCTGTTGAGTTCTGCTTCATCCAGCCGGTCCCTCACCTGTGTCGAAGCCGTCAGGACAGGCTACGATCTCGTCACTCCACTCTAGGTTCTGGGAGCCTCGGACCACGATGTTCCTGGTGAGGAGACCCACTTCGGCTCTGCCCTCAAACATGGTGCCGTCGGGCAGCGTGACCGATACTCCCAGGTGGGTGAATGTCAGCGGCTCGGTCAGTGTGAGAGTTTTTCCGTTGGCTGACACCGAGGCGATCGTTCTGACTTCGTTCTCTCTCTGACTGTGCCTGAAAACACAAAAATTCAAAGGAGCTCAACTCAAAAAGCAGCTCATCTGTCAGGCGTTTCACCTAAAAACAGACGTGGAGAACCAAAAGCTCTGCAACATTTCTATCTGTTTAAGGAAGACTTTGACTAGGCCATTATAGCAGGGTGACCTTTTTTAGCCGTTCTGTTTGAGTTCAAAGTTCTGTGGATGACCAGCTTTCGACTGTTTGACAGACGGACACATTTGAATCTAGGGCAGGGTTTCTTAACCCGGGTCCTCAGGGACAAGAAGAGAGGGACAAAACCTAGAACAGATAATGGATGTCTATTCTATTAACATTTCTCTATCTGTAGAATGGGTCTGTTCTATGTGTTGTCTTCTCTATTCAGAGGGGCCCCTGCCTGTCTTTGCCTAGGGCCCCAAATTTCCTAAATCCACCCCTCCCTGTACCTGTGGCCGGTGGAGGCGATCACGATCTCATCTCCAGGTTTCCATGTCACTGCCTTCATCAGAGTCAGCGTGATGGCGCCACTTGTAGCGGTCTGGGCTAAATGTGTCCATGGGACGGGAACAGGAACACCTGGAGAAATAGGACGTCAACAATGAGTCATTTTTAAAAGATGAGTTCCTCATAATGTGGATGCTAGAGGGTTGGAGACTCTGATTACTGGTCTGTGTAACAGGAGCTGGAAGAACAAGACACGCTCTGAGTTTCTGGGACATTTAGGTCACGTCGGTATCAGCTGTCTGTCGCCTGAAGACTGATCCCCCTGAGGGGGCGGAGCCGTCTCCGCCAAACATGGTTTACATTTAAGTCATTCATTTCCACATTTTAACCTTTTTTAAAAGAGCTCAGAACTGGAACCTGGTTCTGCTCTCAACCTGACCCGTCATCAGACATGGACCTGGATCCGTCCAGATGAGATGGACGATGATGATAAAGCTTCTAGTTAGAGTGGCTCAGGTTATCCTGAGCTATCTCTATAGTTCTGCTGCTATAGGCTTAGACTGCTGGAGGACATAGGGACCCCTTTTTCATCATTCTGCTTCATTCTTTTATTTTATCTTCATGATAGAAGATATATAATTTGGAATTTGTAGGAGAGTTATGGTCAGTTGGCCTTTTGAAAGTTGTTATGCTGCTTAACCAGTATTTTGGCCAATGTGACAAAGATTGGTTGGTTTAACCAAAACATTGCTTTAAACACATAACTGCCAACCCAATTAAAACCAAAGACTTTGTAAAAACTATAATGTTTGAATAAAAATGACTAACACCTTTCGTTTTGCTTTCACTGTCTGCTTGAGCTTATTTCACTAAAATTTGTTCTTAACGTAATTTCTTTTTGTTTACACCTGCTAAAACAAAATGACAAAACAAAATCTGTCCAAGTCTAAAACTAAAATAACAGAAAAACAGTTTAACTTAAAATATATATATAAATATAACTCTCTTCTAAGACATTTTCAGAAGAAAAAAAAACTTACAAAGGATTTTATTATACACACACCAATAATTAACAATTTCAATGGAACTTAAAATGGGAAAAAAGAAAAAGATTTATTGCAAAACATCCCAGATTATACCACTAACTGTAGTTCTGTACTCCACCAGTAGATGGAGACATCTTCATGAACTGTGGGGATCGTTGAAGCAAATATATGTGTATATATATATATATATATATATATATATATATATATATATATATATATATATATATGTGGAAGTGTGTAAATATTGCCTGAGAGTCTTTAAAGGAGGTAAAAGTTTGCGTTCCTACCGTGAAGATCTAAGACGCCCTCCCTGACAGCCAGCGTCTTTGCTCCGTAAACAGGAAGTTCAGGTGAGCGCAGGTTTCCATGGAGGGTGATGATGGCTTTGTGCTGGAATGGCGCCCCCTCCTGACCGATCTGGAGCCGCCCTCCGTCGGTGATCAGGATGTTTTCTGCCTGCAGTTCCAAGTCGGCCTCGTCGAACACCAGAGTTCCTCCTGAGGACCATTAAATGTAAACTGAGTTTCTTTAGGAGTTTAAAAAGAAAAAGATTTTCCAGCATGGCTGCAGAGAAGCTTCCCACCCTGAATGAGGAGCATTTTGAGCACCGGCGTGCTGGTGTCCAGCAGGATGGTCTGGCCTTCACTGATGACGGCAAACGAGCCCTTCTCAGGGGGAGACTGCCCCCCCCAGGTGAACCTGGACGACCACACGTCGATGTAGAAGAAGTCTGCGTTATCCTGCAGAGACAGACCAACGGGATAATGTTTCCTCTAGCGAGATGGTGGGGGGAACCTGTGTGGGGGGAGGTTTCTGGTTACCATCTTGGCGATGCCGCGGTCTCCAACGCTGACCCTGACCTTGGTCTCCTGAGACCGGCTCTGAGCGTTGGTCACACAGACAATGTGTGTGCTGTTGGAGGACTGAACGTCGCACGGCGAGCCGGCAATCGTCACATTGACTTCATTCACACTGGTGCTGGAATTAGAGTTTGGGGGGCAAATACTTTAGAGGGAGGAATAATCTAGAGGGAGACGTCAGTGAGTTTGGATCAGAACACGATGCTGGACAGTTCTGGAAATCCATCCTACTTCATGCAGTCAGACCCTAATCTTTAAACTTCTTCCTGTATTTACTCAGATTACTTTGGACTTTAAAAACAGCACAAAACGTTTTCAATCTAACTATGTTGTTTCTAACTCTAGATGTGTCTGAGGAGGGAAAATGTCCTTCAGGGACGTCCACAGGTGTCCGCAGGAAACCCGGTGCTCAGGGGGGACAGGGCGGCTCGCACACACCTGAAACCGGAGCCGCTGATGGTGAGCCGCGTGCCACCAGCGGTGCCTCCCCGTCGCGGCGCCACCTCAGAGATGACGGGAGTCAGAGCCGATCGGTAGGTGAAGCCCTCTGAGATGTTGACGGCGTCTAACGGGTTGACGACAGAAACCAGGCAGCTGAGGTCCGACTGAGAGGCTGAGGAGACAAGAAGCAAGATGGCAGAGATATGAGACGTCTGGGGGACGGCGTCTGTCCTCTATGAACTTCAGCAGCTTCTGTCTCTGCAGCAGAGCAAAGAGTCAGAGAGTTGGCTAACAGCAGGACCAATGGAAACAAAGTCTCGGTCTGTCCTCTGACGGACGGAGCCTCGGTCTGTCCACTGACGGACGGAGTCTCGGTCTGTCCTCTGACGGAAGGAGTCCTCAGTCTGTCCTCTGATGGACGGAGTCTCAGTCTGTCCTCTGACGGACAGAGTCTTGGTCTGTCCTCTGACGGACGGAGTCTCAGTCTGTCCTCTGACGGACAGAGTCTCGGTCTGTCCTCTGACGGACAGAGTCTCGGTCTGTCCACTGACGGACGGAGTCTGGGTCTGTCCTCTGATGGACTCTAAGTTCTACTGTAAAGCTTCTAAAGTCACCTTAAGGACACTCGGGTTTCTATCGGGACACGCTGGCAGAACTGACCGTTGTTGAGTGGAGACTGGCAGTACAGCTTGGTGGACGTGGACGTTTCCCGGACAACAGGACACTCCTGGTCACAGATGAGAACCGTGGAGTTGATCGGATCGAACCCGGAACCAAGGATGGACAGCAAAGCTCCGCCTCCAAAACTTCCTGATTCAGAGGACAATGAAAGGTTAATGGGAGCACAGGGAACCAGGAGAAGACTTCGTGTGGATCTGCAGACGGACGAATAGATCAGAACATAATTTCCCTGAGAACTCTCATTTAATAAAATGTTAACTTTTAATATTTTCACAAAAGAACCTTAAATTTCCTGCTTTACTTGTTTTTCAATGAATGAACGTTTTTCTGCAGAGGAATCAGGAAGTGGCGTTAACCTCTCACCCTGGTTGGGCTGGACGCTGCTGAGCGTCAGTTGGTACGTGAAGCGGACCTCTGACTGGGCGTGACCTTTGACCCGGTGGTGCATGACGACCGGATAGCCGCCGCCCGGGTTGCTTCCCGTCGTGCAGCGGACCTGAGCGTCGGAGACGGACAACACCTCGCAGGCAGCGCCGTTCATGGTGACGGAGAGGAGCTGCGAGTCAGAACCGAATCCTGATCCGGTGAGCGTGACGACGGTTCCGCTCGGACCTGCGGGAAACAAACCATCTTTTCTGATCATTCCACACAAAGTTTATTTAAGGGGGGGTGATCTGATCTATTTACCGGTGGGGGGGCTGATGGCGCTGATGATGGGGGTGTGGCCTGCAGAGTAGTTGAAGCTGAGCGGAGGATAATCCACGCCCAACACCTGGATCCTGACGGCCACCTGCTCCTCGCCGTGAGGAGGCGTCAGGCAGAGGAGCCGACCGGGACTCTCCTCCTGGATCGTGCAGGGTTCCCCGTCCACCGTCACGCTCGTGTTCCCCGGAGCAAACCCGTTCCCTGTGAGGGTGAGCGGCGTTCCCCCGGCCACGCTGCCTACGGCAGGATGCAGGGCCGCCAGCGCGCGGCTGCTCAGGGTGACCTGACCCGAAGCGAGACCTCTGCTCCTCACAACCACTCTCACAGCGTGGTCTCCTGCCGGCAGGGCGTGGACCCTCGCTGTCACGTTCTCGCCGCTCACAGCCATCACTTCCAGCTCCGTGGCGCCGATAGAGACGGACACGTCGTCTATGATGCCGCCGAACCCGGAGCCCGAGACGACCACGTCTGTCTGACCGCTGATGCTGTCGGGGGAGATGCTGCTGATGGTGGGAGTAACGGAGGAGGAGAACTGGAAGGAGCAGTCTGAGCGGCAAGAGCTTTGGATCAGGCCGCTGCGGAACACGACGTCTCCGGAGCGCTGCTGGGACGCAGCCGTGTCACACAGGATGTGCGTGTAGTTCACCATCAGGATGCTGCAGGTCACGCCTGCCGCCGCCACGCTGCCTTCAGAGAACCCAGAGCCGCTGATCAGCAGCCTGGTGAGTCCGGTGGTGCTGCCCACAGCGGGAGACACCGACTCCACCACCGGCAGCACCACGAAGCGCCGACTGAACTCGTCAGCGATGGCGACCAGAGCGCCGCCCAGGTTCTTCACTCTGACTGATACAGAGAGAGCCACGCCGATGGGGAGCGTGGAGGTGGGGCTTAGGCGGCAGCTGAGCTCCGACTGGGAGCTGTTGGTCACCTGACAGGGAGCGCCGCCAACCGTCACCTGCAAGGAGAGACAACCAAACAGATCCGTTACCAACTGGATCTAAGGTCTGTAGATCTATAACCAACTGGATCTAAGATCTACAGATCAATAACCAACTGGATCTAAGGTCTGTAGATCTATAACCAACTGGATCTAAGATCTACAGATCTATTACCAACTGGATCTAAGAGCTGTAGCTCTATAGCCCACTGGATCTAAGATCTACAGATCTATAACCAACTGGATCTAAGATCTAAAGATCTATAACCAACTGGATCCAAGATCTACAGATCAATAACCAACTGGATCTAAGAGCTGTAGCTCTATAACCAACTGGATCTAAGAGCTGTAGCTCTATAACCAACTGGATCTAAGGTCTGTAGCTCTACAACCAACTGGATCTAAGAGCTGTAGCTCTATAGCTCACTAAATTCAAGATCTATAACCAACTGGATCTAAGATCTACAGATCTATAACCAACTGGATCTAAGATCTACAGATCTATAACCAACTGGATCTAAGATCTACAGATCTATTACCAACTGGATCTAAGAGCTGTAGCTCTATAGCCCACTAGATCTAAGATCTACAGATCAATAAACAACTGGATCCAATATCTAAAGATCTATAACCAACTGGATCTAAGATCTACAGATCTATAACCAACTGGATCAAAGATCTACAGATCTATTACCAACTGGATCTAAGAGCTGAAGCTCTATAGCCCACTGGATCTAAGATCTACAGATCTATAACCAACTGGATCTAAGAGCTGTAGCTCTATAGCTCACTAAATCCAAGATCTATAACCAACTGGATCTAAGATCTACAGATCTATAACCAACTGGATCTAAGGTCTGTAGCTCTACAACCAACTGGATCTAAGGGCTGTAGCTCTATAGCCCACTAGATCTAAGATCTACAGATCAATAAACAACTGGATCTAGGAGCTGTAGCTCTATAGCCCACTGGATCTAAGATCTAAAGATCTATAACCAACTGGATCCAATATCTAAAGATCTATAACCAACTGGATCTAAGATCTACAGATCTATAACCAACTGGATCTAAGGTCTGTAGCTCTATAGCTCACTAAATCCAAGATCTATAACCAACTGGATCTAAGATCTACAGATCTATAACCAACTGGATCTAAGATCTACAGATCTATAACCAACTGGATCTAAGGTCTGTAGCTCTACAACCAACTGGATCTAAGGGCTGTAGCTCTATAGCCCACTAGATCTAAGATCTACAGATCAATAAACAACTGGATCTAGGAGCTGTAGCTCTATAGCCCACTGGATCTAAGATCTAAAGATCTATAACCAACTGGATCTAAGATCTAAAGATCTATAACCAACTGGATCTAGGAGCTGTAGATCTATAGCCCACTGGATCTAAGATCTAAAGATCTATAACCAACTGGATCCAATATCTAAAGATCTATAACCAACTGGATCTAAGATCTACAGATCTATAACCAACTGGATCTAAGATCTACAGATCTATAACCAACTGGATCTAAGGTCTGTAGCTCTATAGCTCACTAAATCCAAGATCTATAACCAACTGGATCTAAGATCTACAGATCTATAACCAACTGGATCTAAGATCTACAGATCTATAACCAACTGGATCTAAGGTCTGTAGCTCTACAACCAACTGGATCTAAGGGCTGTAGCTCTATAGCCCACTAGATCTAAGATCTACAGATCAATAAACAACTGGATCTAGGAGCTGTAGCTCTATAGCCCACTGGATCTAAGATCTAAAGATCTATAACCAACTGGATCTAAGATCTAAAGATCTATAACCAACTGGATCTAGGAGCTGTAGATCTATAGCCCACTGGATCTAAGATCTAAAGATCTATAACCAACTGGATCCAATATCTAAAGATCTATAACCAACTGGATCTAAGATCTACAGATCTATAACCAACTGGATCAAAGATCTACAGATCTATAACCAACTGGATCTAAGGTCTGTAGCTCTATAGCTCACTAAATCCAAGATCTATAACCAACTGGATCTAAGATCTACAGATCTATAACCAACTGGATCTAAGATCTACAGATCTATAACCAACTGGATCTAAGGTCTGTAGCTCTACAACCAACTGGATCTAAGGGCTGTAGCTCTATAGCCCACTAGATCTAAGATCTACAGATCAATAAACAACTGGATCTAGGAGCTGTAGCTCTATAGCCCACTGGATCTAAGATCTAAAGATCTATAACCAACTGGATCTAAGATCTAAAGATCTATAACCAACTGGATCTAGGAGCTGTAGATCTATAACCAATTGAATCTAAGAATTGTAGATCTATAACCAGCTGTATCTAAGGTCTGTAGATCTAAATCCAGAGCTAGACCCATAATCATCCAGACTTATATTTCAACGCTAATCTATAATCTGAAGATGAATGACAATAAGATCAAATAAAATTCAATATTAATTAATATCAATAGTTTATCAGAGGCTCAAAAAATTACATCAGACCAACAATTATAAATAAAAATAAAACTGAAGAATTTTTTCCTTCCACTGAACTTTCTCTGAATGTTCTTGCCAGCAGCAGCATGAAAATGACTGAACTGTTGCATCTTCAGTAATTCCTCATGTTTCTGTGGGTCAGACTGAGACCTGAACATGAAACTGAACGTTTCTCTATGTTTATACATCTAGGCTTGGATGGATCATTTTATTACCTGCAGACCTGCTATTGCTGTATATTTGTAGAATTTCTATCTATTAATTTATCATCTTCTGCATCTTTAAAATCTCATTTTTACAAACTTTGCTTTAAAATAAACCAGTACCTTCACTTCCCTGCATCAAGACAGCTTTTACCAAATCCTTTATTACGGAATTTAGTTTTAATTCATCAGCAGACAGTTCAGCTTATTGCTGAATTTCGTTAATAATATCGTTTCCTGAACAGACAGGAAGGAATCTGAAGCAGGAAGCTGCGTGTTTGTCAGACGCCGCGGCTCGCAGCTGACTTCCTGAACTAAATAAAAGCTGCGCTGCACGATGCTAATCTGCAGTTAGCAATAAAAACAGATGGACGGAGATCAGGGTGATTGGAAGGATAGAGATCTGAACCAGAGCAGCTCACACGGTGGTGGCGATGTCATGGTTTGGGCCAGGAGGGCTGAGAATGATTAAACTGAACAGTTAAAACATGAGAAGTTCTGCAGCCAATCAGCTGATTTCCCTCCAGAACATGATGATGATGATGATGATGAACCTCAGGCCCTGGCTGAAGATCCTGGCTGTCAGGCCGTGTTAAAGTTCTCACATGTAGGAAGTGAAATGTCTGCAGAGGACGCTAATCTAAGTAGCGTGTGAGGATTTCTTGGCTGCAGGCGTGACTCTGCTGACCTCGTTAGCACAGGTGACGTCACTGAAGCCTCCTCCCTGGATGCGGATCTCTTGGTGATAGGAGCCCTGGTTGGGGGAGATGGTGTGGACCGTGGGCGTGGAGCAGGCGGCGAAGCTGAAGGACAGACTTCCTGAAGTCTGATTGGCCGGCTGGCAGCGTGTGGAGGCCACGCAGTCTGCTGCTGCTCTGGAGACTCTCCTCGAACCTGCAGGTCACGCAGTGACATCATCATCAGAGTTTTTTCTAACTTTCCTCCTTTTTTACACCCAGTTTTAATTTCATCGCTTTCCTGGTTTGATCCCTTTGAACGCGTTTACCTGCTGGTTCATATGTGGCCAGAACCCCTCCCACACTGACGGAGACGTCGCCGCTCTTCTCCTCCCGACTCATGACCTTCACTGCTCCCTGCATCAGGATGGAGGCGCCGACGTAGCCGCTGCTGTAGTAGTACGTGCCGGGGACGGTGAAGCGGTAGCTGTAGAACCCTGAGGAAGTTTTAAAGGGTTGATTCCAAACATTTAACCTTTAACTTGGTTTTAACGTTAATCCCTCGCAGGGGCGGAGTTAGGAAATGTGGGGCCCTAGGCAAAGATGGGCAGGGGGCCCCTCTGAACTGAGAACATAAAACAGCCCCATTCTACAGGTAGAGAAATGTTAATAGAATAGACATCCATTATCTGTTCTAGGTTGTGTCCCTCTCTTCTTGTCCCTTTTCTTCTTGTTTTCCTCTCTATGTTTTGTACTCAGCTGACTTTTCATGCTGTCTCTAAAGGAATGAAAGATTTTTTCCAAGCACTAAGCTCACTTAGCTGATTGCTCCTTCCTGTGTTTCCAAAAAGGCCAAAGTAAATAACCCAGTCCTTCTTTTCACTGTAGACAAGCCATGATCTGCTTATCTGTTCTCCATTTTTCATTTGGATGAAATAATAGCTGCATGAATCATGACAGCAGACAAGATAAAGGAGAGCAGGAGGCGGGCATCCATGGGCTGTGAGGCCCAATCAGGGGGCAGTATGGGATACCCGGGAAAATAAGGAAACAATAAATTCTAATTATCTTCTTAAAAATGGGGGTCAGGACCCCGCTGGTGGAGATATTAATAAAAGTGACTATATTTACTTCAATGCATATAAATATAGATGGAATAACTGTTCTGGCTCCGTCATCCAAACATTCTGCTTTTCGCCATAAATGCGTTTTTTCACCTTTCGCCGTCTCAGTCTGTCCGCTGTTCAGGGGTCCTCCTTCATACTTGGTGCCACTGGGACTGGAAACACTGAAGACTCGGTACCCCACCCTCTGGAAGGCAGGCGCCTCCCATCGCCACGTCACCGTGTCTCCAACAAACACTCGGAGAGAGGATGGACTCCAAGCGTAGCCGAGTCCATAAGCTGAAAGCCAGACACACACATCAGCCCGGTCCAGTTACCCGTCAGGGACGGTGAAGGTGGAGGTTCTGTAGGACCGTACTCAGGTGAGAGCCCTGGTTGGTGACGGCGTGCGTCTTCTCCTCTGACTGAATGATGCACTGCAGCTGGTTCTCCGAGGCGGACACCACGGCGCAGCTTCTGCTTCCTGTCTCACAGCGAGCGTGGACTCGTTAGTTAACCGTCGGCTGCTGTTTCTGCAGCGGTGAGGATGTAGAGAGTTACTCACCAACAGAGACCTGGTTCTCAGAGGTGATGTTGCTGAAACCAGAACCAGAAAGCGTCAGCGTGGTTCCGCCCATCAATGAGCCGGACTGCGGAGAGATCTCGTTCACTTCCAGGATGTACCGGATGGTCGGGCTGACGCCGCTGCTGAGGGACAGGATGAAAGATCAGGTTCAGCTGCAGCGAGTGGAGAACTGTGAGCGTCATCAGCCATGATGTTCCACAGAGAAGATGAGGAACATCTACCCCTGATGTCTGGAACATTAACTAAACCCAACCATACAGACAAGATTCAGCATTTTTCCTCTTTTATATTTCATCCCCCTCATCCTCCCTCCTTTCTTCATCATCCCCCTCATCCTCCCTTCTTTTCTTCAGCACCCCCCTCATCCTCCCTCCTTTCTTCATCATCCCCCTCATCCTCCCTCCTTTCTTCATCATCCCCCTCATCCTCCATTCTTTCTTCATCACCCCCCTCATCCTCCCTTCTTTCTTCATCATCCCCCTCATCCTCCCTTCTTTTCTTCACCATCCCCCTCATCCTCCCTTGTTTTCTTCATCATCCCCCTCATCCTCCCTCCTTTCTTCATCATCCCCCTCATCTTCCCTTCTTTTCTTCACCATCCCCCTCATCCTCCCTCCTTTCTTCATCACCCCCTCATCCTCCCTCCTTTCTTCATCACCCCCTCATCCTCCATCCTTTCTTCATCACCCCCCTCATCCTCCCTCCTTTCTTCATCACCCCCCTCATCCTCCCTCCTTTCTTCATCATCCCCCTCATCCTCCCTTCTTTTCTTCACCACCCCCCTCATCCTCCTTTCTTTCTTCATCATCTCCCTCATCATCCCTTGTTATCTTCATCATCCCCCTCATCCTCCCTCCTTTCTTCATCACCCCCCTCATCCTCCCTTGTTTTCTTCATCATCCCCCTCATCCTCCCTTCTTTTCTACACCATCCCCCTCATCCTCCCTCCTTTCTTCATCATCCCCCTCATCCTCCCTTGTTTTCTTCATCATCCCCCTCATCCTCCCTCCTTTCTTCATCATCCCCCTCATCTTCCCTTCTTTTCTTCACCATCCCCCTCATCCTCCCTCCTTTCTTCATCACCCCCTCATCCTCCCTCCTTTCTTCATCACCCCCTCATCCTCCATCCTTTCTTCATCACCCCCCTCATCCTCCCTCCTTTCTTCATCACCCCCCTCATCCTCCCTCCTTTCTTCATCATCCCCCTCATCCTCCCTTCTTTTCTTCACCACCCCCCTCATCCTCCTTTCTTTCTTCATCATCTCCCTCATCATCCCTTGTTATCTTCATCATCCCCCTCATCCTCCCTCCTTTCTTCATCACCCCCCTCATCCTCCCTTGTTTTCTTCATCATCCCCCTCATCCTCCCTTCTTTTCTACACCATCCCCCTCATCCTCCCTCCTTTCTTCATCATCCCCCTCATCTTCCCTTCTTTTCTTCACCACCCCCCTCATCCTCCCTCCTTTCTTCATCACCCCCTCATCCTCCCTCCTTTCTTCATCACCCCCTCATCCTCCATCCTTTCTTCATCACCCCCCTCATCCTCCCTCCTTTCTTCATCACCCCCCTCATCCTCCCTCCTTTCTTCATCATCCCCCTCATCCTCCCTTCTTTTCTTCACCACCCCCCTCATCCTCCTTTCTTTCTTCATCATCTCCCTCATCATCCCTCCTTTCTTCATCATCCCCCTCATCCTCCCTTGTTTTCTTCATCATCCCCCTCATCCTCCCTTGTTTTCTTCATCATCCCCCTCATCCTCCCTTCTTTTCTACACCATCCCCCTCATCCTCCCTCCTTTCTTCATCAGCCCCCTCATCCTCCCTTCTTTTCTACACCATCCCCCTCATCCTCCCTCCTTTCTTCATCATCCCCCTCATCCTCCCTTGTTTTCTTCATCATCCCCCTCATCCTCCCTCCTTTCTTCATCATCCCCCTCATCTTCCCTTCTTTTCTTCACCATCCCCCTCATCCTCCCTCCTTTCTTCATCACCCCCTCATCCTCCCTCCTTTCTTCATCACCCCCTCATCCTCCATCCTTTCTTCATCACCCCCCTCATCCTCCCTCCTTTCTTCATCACCCCCCTCATCCTCCCTCCTTTCTTCATCATCCCCCTCATCCTCCCTTCTTTTCTTCACCACCCCCCTCATCCTCCTTTCTTTCTTCATCATCTCCCTCATCATCCCTTGTTATCTTCATCATCCCCCTCATCCTCCCTCCTTTCTTCATCACCCCCCTCATCCTCCCTTGTTTTCTTCATCATCCCCCTCATCCTCCCTTCTTTTCTACACCATCCCCCTCATCCTCCCTCCTTTCTTCATCATCCCCCTCATCTTCCCTTCTTTTCTTCACCATCCCCCTCATCCTCCCTCCTTTCTTCATCACCCCCTCATCCTCCCTCCTTTCTTCATCACCCCCTCATCCTCCATCCTTTCTTCATCACCCCACTCATCCTCCCTCCTTTCTTTATCACCCCCCTCATCCTCCCTCCTTTCTTCATCATCCCCCTCATCCTCCCTTCTTTTCTTCACCACCCCCCTCATCCTCCTTTCTTTCTTCATCATCTCCCTCATCATCCCTTGTTATCTTCATCATCCCCCTCATCCTCCCTCCTTTCTTCATCATCCCCCTCATCCTCCCTTGTTTTCTTCATCATCCCCCTCATCCTCCCTTCTTTTCTACACCATCCCCCTCATCCTCCCTCCTTTCTTCATCACCCCCCTCATCCTCCCTTCTTTTCTACACCATCCCCCTCATCCTCCCTCCTTTCTTCATCACCCCCCTCATCCTCCCTTCTTTCTTCATCATCCCCCTCATCCTCCCTTCTTTCTTCACCACCCCCCTCATCCTCCTTTCTTTCTTCATCATCTCCCTCACCATCCCTTGTTATCTTCATCATACCCCTCATCCTCCCTCCTTTCTTCATCACCCCCCTCATCCTCCCTTGTTTTCTTCATCATCCCCCTCATCCTCCCTTCTTTTCTACACCATCCCCCTCATCCTCCCTCCTTTCTTCATCATCCCCCTCATCTTCCCTTCTTTTCTTCACCATCCCCCTCATCCTCCCTCCTTTCTTCATCACCCCCCTCATCCTCCCTCCTTTCTTCATCACCCCCTCATCCTCCATCCTTTCTTCATCACCCCCCTCATCCTCCCTCCTTTCTTCATCACCCCCCTCATCCTCCCTCCTTCCTTCATCATCCCCCTCATCCTCCCTTCTTTTCTTCACCACCCCCCTCATCCTCCTTTCTTTCTTCATCATCTCCCTCATCATCCCTTGTTATCTTCATCATCCCCCTCATCCTCCCTCCTTTCTTCATCACCCCCCTCATCCTCCCTTGTTTTCTTCATCATCCCCCTCATCCTCCCTTCTTTTCTACACCATCCCCCTCATCCTCCCTCCTTTCTTCATCACCCCCCTCATCCTCCCTTCTTTCTTCATCATCCCCCTCATCCTCCCTTCTTTTCTACACCATCCCCCTCATCCTCCCTCCTTTCTTCATCACCCCCCTCATCCTCCCTTCTTTCTTCATCATCCCCCTCATCCTCCCTTCTTTCTTCACCATCCCCCTCATCCTCCCTTCTTGGTGGAGAACCTCAGGATTCAGACAGATGTTCTCCAGAGCTCAGACTCTGTACCTGGTTTGGGGGAAGCCTCTGTTCCCGACCTGCACATCCACCCTGTAAACACCAGGTGGCATCACAGGAAGATGGCAGCTGATCTGCGTCTCCGTCCACAGCGCGGCGACACACTCCTTCTCTCCGACCAGAACCAGGCTGTCGTTATCTTGGCCTCCCAGGTTAGAACCCTGGATGATGAGAAGTTGATCTCCTGAACAAAAGAGAAAGAGAGCAATCACGCCGCCGCCATCTTGCAGAACCTTCTGATGCTCTCCGCCAATCGCCACCTGCCGCTCCGCAGAGCTTAACCAACGCATCACTCAGGCTGGCAGGTGTTCTCCCTGGAAAAGGTGTCGAGCTTTTACAGGATTACCTGTTCGTCTCCTGGGATTTCAGCTTCCATCTCAACAAAAGGCAGAAACCTGCCGTTACGCAGCTGGAGGAGAAAAACTGCTGAGAGCGAAGTGGTCGTACACGGAAACACTGAGCGATGTTTGATTTCGGCCAAAGTACGGTGGCCTGTGAGGCTGCTCAGAGGTACTGTGGCGTTATGGGGCTCAGCGTCTCCTCGTTACTGACCTGTCACAGACACAGTCAGAGGACTCAGGCCAGAGATCTGAGGGGTCAGGTTATTATCGTAGGTGAAGGAGGTGTCGGCGGTCTGACTCGTGTTTCCCACCGTCACCATGACGACCTGCGATCCCACAGCTCCCTGGAAGAAGGGAAATCATGACAGCGAGTTAAAGGGAAATCAGGCCGACTTTCTGAAGCACTGCAGGATTTAACTTTAGCTCCTCTATCCGTCAGGATTCTGCACTTTTTGGTTCTGTTTAAGTTTTCTATTTGAGTTTCACCTTGATTCCGGTTTTTCTGTGTTTTATTGGTTTCATTCCCATTTTGTGGTGTTTTCTGGATGTATTTGAGTTCTTAAGTTTAAAAACAAAAAAAGTCTGAGGCCCGTCTCACACTTTGACGATTTAGACCAGCAGATGCCTGAAGTAGGAAAAATCTGGCAAAAACGCTGCCATACGTTGGATAAGTTATGAGAACATTAAAGTACGCTGAAAAACACCAAAACACGTGGACACATGTTGTCGATGTACCAACGTACACCATCCGTGGTCCGTCAGTTCCAGGTCAGTTATCTGATGGTCGACATCCGTTCAGTGTCAGTTCCTTATCAGTCGCAACATATTCTCATTATCAGTTCGTATGAAATAGTACGAAAAGTTATGCACAGTATTTCGTACGTTTTGGACGTTTTTCCTCAAAAAACCAGATCAGTGCGCATGCACGGACGTAAAACTGGGAAAAACAGCGCAAAAATCACTTATTTATGTCTCTAACTATGTTGCTTGCTGTTTTATATCTTAGGGTCAGGGTTAAGGCTAATTGTAATTTATATTCTATGTTCTTGAATGGTGCGTAAGATGCGCATGTGCATACAACGAAAAAAACGTCCAAAACGTACGAAATTACGGTGCATAACTTTTCGTACGATTTCATACGAACTCAAAACGATAGAAATAATAGACGATTCACTTCATCTGTCCTCCAGAGAAGGAAAAACATTTATTAAAAAGTTGAATTCCAACTAGCAGCAGCAGCAACCCAGACTGACGGCTCATTGGCTCATCTGGATCACGTGCAGCCTGGAGCCGGACGCTCCCCAGGGCTTTACCGTAATAACAGGAGAAGAGGCGCAAGGGAAGTTAGACACTGACGTCAGACAACATGCGGTAATTTATAAATGTTTTAAATCAGGTTGATTCCGGATTAGCCAGCAGGTGGGTCCAGATTAGCCAGCAGGTGGGTCCGGATCCAGACCGCGGTCCGCTAATCCGTGACCTTTGATCTAGATAAACATCCTTAAGAGGTAAAAATCTATCTCAGGATGTTTCATGGAGCCTGATCCTGCTGTTCTGCAGCTTTAAGCAGCGCCCTGCAGTTTGAAACTTACTGCTGGCGTTCTGCATTTCAGCTCGGTGGCGGTCGCATGGATCAGCTCACATCCTGCACCGCCGACGGTAACTGTGGCGTTCTGACTGAGGCCAAAGCCTGTGACAGTCAGCACGGTGCCACCTGAGAAGAAAGACAGAATTAGGACTTTAAAGATCTTTGTGGTCAACGTTCAGGTCAACGTTCAGAGTTCACCCCACCTGCAACACTTCCAGACTGCGGAGAGAAGGAGGCTACGATGAGCTGGTAGGTGAAGTAGAGGACGCTGTCGTCAGCGTAGCGCGCGTCGCCCAGAGAGGGGAAGTTCACAGACACCGGGTAGGTACCTGCACTGGCTCCGCCCACTCTGCACACCTGAGTGGAAGCTGGACACCAAATACCCGTTCACTTACTGGAATCAGACAGTTTATGCTGGTCTAAACTGGTTCTGAATGGATCAACCCCATTAACCTTACTGGAGATGATGTAGAAGAAAAACGAAACACTTACAAATTTTGCCTTTTAGGATGAGGATTTAAAAAGAATAAATGATCAACGTTTAATATATGACATATAAAAAAAACAAAACTTTACAAATAAGTTTATATCTATTTATATATATATACATAAAATCTTTATATAGATATAGACAGTGGTAGACAAAGTACTCAATATTAGTACTGGAGTGAAAGTATTGATACTCGTCGTCACTTTTTAGTCAACTACAAGTTAAAGTTACTCAAAGTATTGAAGTACTCAAGTTTGAAAATACTTACGTATCAAATAATTAAATGTTCTAATATTTGTAGTTTTCTGTCTAATTTTCAGAGTAATTTTAAAGAAGCTGTAACTTTCAGAAACCACCTGATATATTGATGCGTAGAACCACCTGATATAGATTCTAAACCACCTGGAAAGAACTTCAGCATAGAAATGACACTAAAATTAAGGACAGATATTATTTATTACTCAAAAACAAATAAAATTCTCCTCATTCTTTGACTATAGAGGCTTAAGGTTGAATCTACGACCACAAAGAAACTAAAACTCTGCTTTTAGACTCCTCCTACTGAACAACTTGGTCACCTGGCAACAACTAACGACTTAATTGAGTTATAAACTATTAATAATATCTGCTCTGAGTTTCTCTCATCTGTGGAACGTCATTAAATCTGTAGATCAGTGGCGTCCAGATTCAGTCCTAACGGCTGCTATCCGCCATGATGGATGAAAAACAGCAACAGAGGATTAAAAAGCTGAGCTGAAACAAAAATACTCAAAGTAAAGGAAAAAAGTACTTAAGTACATCAATCAAGTAAATGTACTTTGTTACTTTTGAATAAAGATATAATGGTTATAATAGTGGTGAGTAATTAGGTAACTAGGGGAGCGTTAGCCTAGTGGTCAGAGCAGCGCTCTGCGCTCAGAGAAGGTTGCAGTAGCCGGTTTGATCCCCACAGACTGCCCCTCTGGGTCCCTGAGCAAGACCCTTAACCCCACCCTGCTCCCCAAGGGGAGGGGTTACATGCAGGGAGGGAATTTCCTCATTGTGGGAAGATAAAGGGATTTACAATAATTGATTCATAACTTCTACTTTAATGTTTAAAGTGTTATCAAAGTGTGCAAATTTAAGTTTAAATTGTTTAATATTAATTGAAGTAATAAAGTAAGAAAATATTAAGAAATAACATGATTACAAAATCCCAAATTTAAGCAGAAGGAATAATTTTCAAATAAATGTTTTAATGTAAACCTATAAAACTAATATTTATAGTATTATTTATAATATTTACAATGTTTTCAGAAAAGATAAAGAACAATAACTAGATTTTCAGCTGATATCTAAATATCAACTCGTTGTGCGTAAAATAACCTGATATTTTACTCAAGAAGTAAATTTATACATAGAATTTATAAATCATATGTATTGATTATAATCTATTTAATTTTATCTGTATTTCGACCAAATCAATTCTCTTTATATTTGTTAGTTCTATAATTCTATCTATCAGTTCATGCGGGTAAATTAATAACTGCTGTAACAGAATCATTCCTGATAATCTGATCAAATATTATTTTTATAATTGCAAACATTAAAGAGGATGTTGCCATCCGAGCTACAGGAAGTAACAACTTCAGGTGTTTCCCCACCTGTGACCTGCTGAACGGCGCACCAGGAGTTTCCCACCATGATGGAAGCATTTCCCAGTCTGAATCCGGTCCCAGTGATGGTGAGCAGGGTTCCCAGTCCGTCGGATCCTGGAACGATTGGCTGCAGTTAGAGGTTCTGTCCCGGTTCCTCTCAGCAAAAGTTTTTTAAACAAAAATCTACCTGAAAGAACATTTATAAAATGGACCAGAAGCAGCTTATTGCTGAGAAAAAATCTGAGCTTCTGGAAAATTCCTTAAAGGAAAAGTCGCTCATATTCAGAATCCAAACTTCTGAAAGTTCTTTAAATCTGAAATGATTCCATCCTGTTCAATAAATGATCAGTGTTTTTAATTCAGAGTAATTTTCATGTGAATGTGCTTTACTGGAGGCATCCATGTTTGTCAAAGAACACTACTGCCACCTACTGGTTAGTGACATTGTCACGGTGCGGTATCGGCTGTTGATCGAGTCCCAGTGCTGTATCTGGTGTTTGTCAAAGAACACTAGCTGAGCGTTTGGCTCAGCAGGTTCAGCAGATGTTGAACTGATGTTCAGAACTGCTGGCGGCGCGTTTTAGGCGGAGTTTGCATCTTATAGGATGGCGTCAGACTTTAATCAGTTTATTTCTATTTGGGGAGGAGGAGATGTTTAATGTTGTGTAAATAATGAAATGCTTATTCTCAGGTTTTGAGGCGGTCGACGAACGTCTTTAGTTTTTTTCTTTTTGGTTGTTGAGTATGAGTATGTAATGTACTTGTGTTTATTGTAATTGAAACATTGGACAAATAAATGGAGTCCATGGTATCCGTCTGTCTGTCTGTCTGTCTGTCTGTCTGTCTGTCTGTCTGTCTGTCTGTCTGTCTGTCTGTCTGTCTGTCTATCTTTGGTCCATTTCCTGAGAGAGGGCTGTTCGTAGACAAGACATACTTCTGTTTGGCTGTGACTCCATCCTGGAGAGAAATATCAGCTGTGCTGCTGCCATCAACACCTTTGTTTCTAGATGTTGGAGCTTGGCCTGTTTTCCAGTGTAGTCCTGTTTCTCTGACTGTGACTAACTGGATGTGCTCTCTTCATCCTCTGACATGGGAGCTGGCTCGGAGCTCGTCTGCCTGGCTGTGTGTTTCCTGGACGGGGCCGCCTGTGGAGCTGGTTGACCTTTTGTATCTATGTTTCTTTTTCTATGTCTGCTTCTGTCTCCTTGAACCCCAGTGGGCCTCAGCAGATGGCCGCTCACACTGAGCCTGGTTCTGCTGGAGGTTTCTTCCTGTTCAAAGGGAGTTTTTCCTCTCCACTGTCGCTACAAGCATGCTTAGTGTGAGGGATTGCTGAAGAGTCAATAGCTACGTTTACATGGACACAAATAATCAGATTGAAAGCCTGATCAGATCAAAAATGTTTCATGTAAACATGTCAGACTGAAGATTCTAATCCGATTCGGTCCGATCGGAAATAAATTTAAGTCCGAATGAGAGAGGTGGTTTTTGCCGATCGCCATTCTGATTGGCGTCCATGTAAACTCCCATTCGGATCTTAAGAGTAAAATAATCTTCACTGCGCATGTGTGCGACGTCAGCGTGACGTTTTTCCGCCTTGTCAACAACAGGAAACCACCGGTCGCTCTCGCTCTCGCTGTGAACAACATGGCGGGAGGAGTCTAGGAACGCCGACTTATACACTCAAGTTCATTTAAAGCTGCAGGAAGCAGAAATTTATCCTCCTCCTCTTCCTCTTTTCTCTCTCCACAGCCCACTCGCTCTCCCACGCCGGTTCAATCGCTCATTCTCTACATTTTCTCTCGGACATTTCGCTGCCAAGCGCTTTTTTCCTCCTCTCTCCTTTTTTCTTTCCGCTCGCTCCGATGATCGGATCATTTCATTTAGTGTCCATGTAAACGTACTTGTACTCGTACTCGTACTTGTCGTCTCCCGCTTTATCCAGAACCAGGTCGCGGGGGCAGCAGACTAAGCAGAGACTCCCAGACTTCCCTCTCCGCAGACACCTCCTCCAGCTCTGTTGGGGGAAGCCCTAGGCGCTCCCAGGCCAGCCGAGAGACATAGTCTCTCCAGCGTGTCCTGGGCCGTCCCCTGGGCCTCCCCCCGGTGGGACATGCCTGGAACACCTCCCGAGGGAGGCGTCCAGGGGGCATCCGAAGAAGATGTCCGAGCCACCTCAACTGACTCCTCTCGATGTGGAGGAGAACCGGCTCTACACTGAGCCTCTCCCGAATGACCGAGCTCCTCACCCTATCTCTAAGGGAGAGCCCAGCCACCCTGCGGAGGAAGCTCATTTCAGCCGCTTGTATCCGGGATCTCGTTCTTTCGGTCATGATCCAAATTTCATGACCATAGGTGAGGGTAGGAACGTAGACCGACCGGTAAATTGAGAGCTTTGCCTTTTCGCTCAGCTCTCTCTTCACCAGGACAGACCGGTGCAGCGTCCGCATTATTGCAGCAGCCGCACCGATCCGTCTATCGATCTCCCGCTCCATTCTTCCCTCACTCGTGAACAGGACCCCAAGATACTTGAACTCCTCCACTTGAGGCAAGGACTCCCCTCCAACCCGAAGGGGACAAGCCACCTTTTTCCGGTCGAGAACCATGGCCTCGGATTTGGAGGAGCTGATTCTTCTTCATCCCAGCCGCTTCACACTCGGCTGCGAACCGCCCCAGCGCACGCTGTAGGTCTTGGCAGGAGGGAGCCAGCAGAACTACATCATCCGCAAAAAGCAGGGACGAGATCCGCTGTTCCCCAAACCAGACCCCCTCCGGTCCTTGTCTGCACCTAGAAATCCTGTCCATAAAAGTTATGAACAGGACCGGTGACAGAGGGCAGCCCTGTCGGAGTCCAACATGCACTAGGAAAAGGTCCGACTTAATGCCGGCAATGCGAACCAGACTCCTGCTCCGCTTGTACAGAGAACGGATGGCCCCTAATAAAGGGCCCCCGACTCCATACTCCTGGAGCACCCCCCACAGGGCAGCACGAGGGACACGGTCGAATGCCTTCTCCAAGTCCACAAAACACATGTGGACTGGTTGGGCAAACTCCCATGAACCCATGTAAACGGAGATTTTGAATTTCCGATCAACCAAGGTTTGGATCGGATCAGCGAAATTTCGATGCAATCAGCTGGTTTTCCTTAGATAGAAAACTTTGAATCAATCTGACTGGATGATCTGGTGAACTGGAAAGTGACCTGAGATGACATGATGTGAATTGGAGCTATAGAAATAAACTGAATAGAATTGAACTTCTTCCCTTAACAATCCAGATTTTCTCTGAAGGTTTATTTATAACATGTTACTGTTTAATCAAAGTGTCTGTAATTAGGTTTGATTCTGACTACTTTCCATTATTGTCAGTAAGAGGAAACGAACGCTGCCCAGATCAGAACAGGTCTGATTACGGTGCAGTAATGGCGTCATGATGAATTGTTCTCTCTCTGCAAAGGTAAAATAAAGTGCCGACAGAATGACATCCATCGATATCCGTTTATTTAACTGGAGTAAATAGTTGAATACTTTTTTTCCCACGGCACTATCTAAAGTGCTTTGGATCTGAAATTCTATCCTTTTTTTAATAACCTGCGCTTTATTTCAGTAGAATATTTAACTGAACTCGTCTGTTTTATTCGAACCGTATCCATATTCTGCTTTAGAACATCTTTAGAAGGAAGGATCAGAGGTTGATGGTTCTCAGAGGACACGTTTCTGCTTGACTTTGGTTCATGAAGGGACCTTACAGAGAAGATCTGAGGACCATGTGAGTCAGGAGGGCTGGAGCAGAACCACCTGAAATCCCTCCCCTAAGCTCAGCACGCACCTTGTGACGGACTGATTCCAGTCACCACTGGAGTTTCCTCCTCAGACCACTGAAAGCTGCAGTTCCCTGAGCAGTTGGAGGGAATGCCGTTAATGTAGAGCTCCACCTGCAGAAGGCAGCATGTTATGAGCGTTGGTGAGGCTGGAAGGGCTCAGGCAGACAGAGCAATCAGGACGTACCTGCGGTTCTTCTTCCCAAACCCGGAAAAAGTCTCCAGTCAGGCCTCGGATCAACTGTCCTCCCTTCGTTGTCTCCTGAACCTCAAAGTTGACATTATTACCAACAACCGACGAGTCGTTGACCTACAGGGAGAAAATTCATCAATCGCCTCTGCAGGAACTTTAAAGCATTTCCTGACTGAACCTTTAGGACCAAAACCCCGTGCAGACAGACCTTCATCAGCGGCTGGGCTCCAGGTCTGTTCAGCCAGGTGACCCTCCACTTGGGACGTCTGCAGCTCCCCACTTCCTGCACCTCCACCTGGCCCATCTCTGGGATTCCCTCCAGAGCGTACTTCAGGTCCTCCCTGCTGATGTTCACAGGCAGACCTGATAGACACAGAGAAGACGCTCGGTCAGCATCATCCAGGCTGGGAAGGATGAGGCGGCGACGCTAAATTCATTAAATCACCACGATTGTATTAGTTTTAGATATAAATAATGATCCACTGATTATTCCTTGATGGACTTTTCCTTTAAACCAGAAGAAATGAGGCGCTTCAATCAGAGCCTGAAGCGATGGTGACAGAGAGGATTAACACCGTGTTTAAATGTTAAAACAAGATGTGCTAAATGATTAAAAAAGTCTGGCTCCTGGTGTGGCTCAGATCCAGCTCCTGTCAACACGTTGTGACCTTTAAGAATCTCAGACTCGCTCCTCCTGTTCTGCTCTTTGTCTTCTGACAGGAGGAGGATGAGCAGGAATCTGGATGATTTGTTTTGGAAACCTTTCAAAGAGCTCACAGACGTCTGCCCGTCACCTCCACAGGCCCAGCACCGCCCTGGAATCACAAACAGACCCTGACTGGCGCCAATTTACCTTCAGCTCGGCCTCCGTAAATCTCTACGTCAAATGTGCCGCTAAGAGGGGGCGTGGCGCTCTGGGGGCGGGTGACAGAGATGGCGGTGCCTCCGGTAACAAACTCTGCGGCGTCCTCGCTGCGGTTAGACATCTTCAGAACAAAAAGCATAAAAGGTTTATTTCAAAAAATTAAGAAACAATCCACTGGACTTTGTTTCCAAGTTGGAAGACGTTTCGCTTCCCATCCACACTGCGAAAATCATCTCGAAATAAGTCAACATTTCTTAAATGAAGAGTATTTACCTTTAATTTGAGTAGATAAATAAGATGATTAGCCTATGGAATTAGTATTTTTAATTTTAAAACAACACAAGTAGATAATATGCGCTTTATATAAGACTATGCAATTATTTTTTCTTATTTTAAATGTAAACAGTCTTGGTCCAGTGGCAAAGTTTCACACTTAACTCTTCAATTCAAGAAAAAATGACTTATTGAGATTTAAATTTCTTCCAGTTCAATTCAAAATGTCAGAAATAGCGTTTAGTTCCAGGTTTTATCCAGCAGCCCAACAAAGCCTGGTTTTGGTTTAGAAAACATGCAAATAGAAACGGATGAACGGGTCCCCCCCTCTGGAATGGGGGTCATTTGGTTCATGATCTGGCCTGTTTGCTCCCCCTTAATTGGATATTTCTTTCACCTGCCGTTTTCCCTCCCTGCCTCAATTATAATTTATTCCTCTCACCTGTTTCTTCTGGGTTATATTCTGTTCAGCCTGAGCATTCAGGGCCAGATCATTATTTGTTTTCTGTTAGTCTGTCTGTTCAGTTTTTGACATGGTTCTTGTCCTAGATCCTGGCAGCCAGGGGAAAGAGGGTTTTAGTGTTTGTCTCGTCTCCTGATCGTCCACTGTTCCTCCCCCGCGGAGTCCTCTGGGTTTTGGCTCATTATGTGGGGAGGTTCTCAGTAAGCCTGGCTCCAAGGTGGAGACCAGTTTAAAGGTCCTGCATCAAGTTCTGGTTCCACGTCCTGTCCCTGCTACCCTCTGCCACTGAGCCTGCCTGTCTGCACCTGATCCTGTCTGCTCCTGTGCTGGTCATGCTTCTGGTCTCAGTCAGACTCTGAACCCGCCTAAGAGCTCTATGATGTCTGGAAGCCTGGATCCTGCCACCTGTCTGTTCCTGCCTGATCTGGATCCTGTTCTGTCTGTTCTGGATCCCTGACCAGGATCGGTTTCCTGCAAGACCTCTGGAACTGCAGCTTTGGGGACATTCTTGGACTGGACTGTTAAACCAGGTAAGTGACCAACTCAGATAACCATCTTCTGTCAGATGATCGTGGTCACTTACCTGTGTTTCTCCCACAGAGTGTCTGAGATTGGGCTGTACCCCGCTCCCCCTCCTGCAGTATCAGCGAGCCACAGCTCCACTTTAGTTTTCGTCTTGATATTTAATAAATGTTTAGAACTTTCCTACTGACTGTCTCTCCTTGAATACTGGCTCCCTCTGTCCTCGGTTCATGACAGTTTGGCTTCTTTGTTAGCCTGCAATGCCCCGAAAACAAACAAAAGAAATTCTCATTCCGTTGGCAAATCCTCTTGACATGAGAATGCACACAGAGATGGTGAAACGGCTAAACTCATATGGATTGTTTTTAAAATTTTTTGGAATGACTTTGACCTGCTTGCTGAGAATCTTCACCAGCATTTAGAGATAATAGTCCGGACTCACGGGGGGAGAAGGAATGAAAATCTTCTAAAAGGTTAGGAAGAAAGAAGACTCCGGGAAAGAGGACGGGCAGCGGATGGCGTGACGCGGGTGGAGAGAGAGGTAGGTGGTCAGACCTCATATGTTACCTGCATGAAGCTGATCTCCATTAGCGGGAAACCAAACGCACAATCCAGCGGCGTGGCGGTGATTTCGTATGTGATCTGTGAAGGTGCAGTTTGCAGTTTGGTGACTGAGAACGCTTCGATGGACCTCCCAGAGCTCTCGAACGGGGGAGGTCTTCTCCTGAGAGGAACAGCTGAGAAACCAGAAAACAAAAGAAGTTGGTTTGCGACTCAACACAGTGTTTCTCACAGAGTTCACCAATGGAAGCCCGATTTAACCGACGACAGATTGACAGATAAGGAACCCAGGATCATGTCTAAACAGCACCGTTTACATCCATGGTGGTTGGAGTCTTCCCGATGTGAACCACATCCACGTAGTAATCAGCACCAGGTTGGTCGCCGTAGAGATAAAACTCCTGCAGGCTGAACCTGCTTCCCAGGAACGCTGTCTGCAGAGCGCTCAGAAGGTCCAGGCACCCATAGCTCCATCTGCAAAGAAACGCTCAGCCTCAAACTCTGCAGAACATCCAATCACAGCTTTTAACTCGCGCTCTACCTACCTGTCCTTGCTTTTGAGCAAAGCGGGAATTCTGGTGTTTTCTGACTGAGTCTGACCGCTGCTGTCGCTGTAGGTGAACTTCAGCCCAAGTTCGTCCCTCAGCGGCCCTTTGTAGGCGAAGCAGAGCTGAGGGAGGAGACAGACGTTAAAAGGTTGGAGGTGAGCGGACTTTAGGACGTCTCTCAGGCCTTTACCGTGGGGTGCTGGTCCAGGGGCAGCGGTCCGTACTGCTCTCCTGACTCTTTGGTGAAGGACTCCCTGAAAAGATGGCCGGCGTTCTTCAGAGACCAGAACCCACAGAAGCCAGAGTTGCCCTCAGGAGTCCCGCTCTGAGCTCCTGTGAACTGCGGAGGTCAGGGGACAGTTAGCTAGACGTCTCCATCACACAATCGTCCTCTTCACTCTGCCATCACTGACCTCAGAGTTTTCAAAGTCATTGAAGTATTTCACGTTCAGGCCTTCGGTGGTCAGAACTTCAGAAGGACAGTCAGGTTTCATCAGGTCCTCCAGGGCCGCCTGCACCTGTTTGGAGACACAACCTCAGACGTCTCAGAGGGAAAAACATGAAGACCAAATCTATACGCGACAGTTACAGACCTCAGACTCGGTGGCGTTGAAGGCGATAGGCGCCGTAGGAACCCCGGCCCAGCTCACAGTGAAGGTCGCCATGTTGCTTTGACCTTTGGTGACCTCAGAAACAGAGATGTTGGTGTCTGAGCTGAAAACCTCAAAGTAAAGAGCCGCAAAGTCACCTAGTAAAGGAGAAAAGACGGCTTCATTCAGTTTGGCTGATCTATACGACGTGTGAGTCTTCTCCAAGTGTGGCCCTGTTTCTTCGTGTCCCATCACAGGCTCTGTATCTTAACAGGGTTTCTTCAGCTGGGAGGGTTCTGTTGTGACCCATTGCCAGCAACGTGTGCAACCATTCACTGCCTAAACCACTGTGTCTACAGTCCCTTTATGCTCCGTTCAGAACTACTGCCATCCACTCATCAAAAATGTGTCCAATGCCTCAACTTGGAGATAAGCGCAACACCAGTTCCAGGCGTATGTCTAAAATGTTGAGCCGGATGGGAAACAGTGTTGGGAAAAGCCGCTCTGCTTCTTTACCTTTTCCTGCCCCTGTTCTACAACAGCAGATAGAATCAAGTTGTTTTGCTGTGATGAGAAGGAAAAAAGGAGTTTTGAGAAGTTTCTAATCAAGAAAGTCCACCTCAAGACGTCATCTTTACAGTCAGTTCAGCGAGATCAGGATCCATTCTGTTGTAGTCGTCGTAGCGTAGGTGCTAGGCTAACTAAGCTCCTCTGATTGGTCGAAGCGTCCAGCTGCAAATGTTCAGATTTTCCAACTCTAGCATCTGGACATGCTTGACACAGGTCAGGTGTTTGAAAGCTTGAGACTTCAACACTGCCTGGACCTGTACCCCCCTCTATAGCTCACTATGGAGAGGTTAGGGAAGGTTTGGGTTTGGTTGGACCAATAAAGAGTTGTGGATTTGGGCCAACAGGAATATGTTCCTGGGAAACTGGACTGAATGGATGGGATGGTTAGGAACACCTAGAAGATAACTGGAAATGATCCAGTTGGTTATATTCAGTGGGCCTTCAGAGCTTTCGGTAGTGAGTGAGTCCGTACCTCTGTCAGAGTTGAAGGTGATGGTGTAGTGAGACCCCTGACCGTCCTCCTGTTTGCTGACCTCAACAGTGTCGGGGTTGATGGACCACAGGTTGTTCAAAGCTGCTTCCAGCTCCTCTGCTGAGGTGCTCACAGGAAGTGGTCCTACAGGAGACAGAAAAACACCAAAGCTGTACTCTGAGCTGCACTCGACCCCACCGACATGTGGAGGAACCTAGATGTTACCAGTCTGGGCGCTTCCGTAGCTCAGCTGGAAGAAGGTGCTTCCACATAGATGGGTGGCACAGCCGCTACTGATGCTGACCTTCTGCACCTCCCTGACCGATGGGGCCCCCGAGGGCCAGTTGTCAAAGGTGAGCACCTGAAAGAGGGCAGAGATGAGTCAAAGTGAAGCAATGATGAAGAACTGAGGCAAAAACCACGGTTGGAGAATTAAAGAAGTAATTCCTGTTAGATATAAAAACATTGAATGATGTGATGCTTTGGGTTTTAGCATCTAACGATTTTATGCTACGTTCACAAAAAAGCTTCTGCTTCATTTCTGCTGCTCGTCCACATTAAGGTCAGATGTCCAGTAAAGTCCAGTAAAAGTAGTTAGAATCTATGTTGAAGTGAGAAAGTCCTCCTGAAAACATGGTCTGTGCAGTCAGTTCATCCAGATTACCATCCTGCCTTCAAAGATTATTTCTCTGTGGGAGCCGCTCAGACCCCCACATACCGGCGCTGCGCTGTCACTGGGAATCCCCAGCAGCAGCTGCCTCAGGCCCGCTCGCCTCTCCAGGGTTTTCCCCTCCTGTTGGTGGCGGCTGGAAGTAGATGTTAGCGTTTTTCAGGTCTGTGCTACAAACTGCAGGCAGCAGGATAATAAAAGCCAACATATTCTGCCGGCAGGTTTCTACATTTGAAGTTAATTTAGGCGTTAATAAACTGTTTCAGAGGAGTGATCATAGCGCTCTGCATCAGCAGTGCTGCGTCTGACTCCCTGCCAGCTCCCAGATCAGCTCCTCTCATTGGTTGATGAGGCGCGTCCAGCAGCTAAAGTTACATTTTCCAACTCCAGCAGCTGCTGGTGAAGTGCATCATTTCCCTCTGATGCTCAAACTGCTGCTCTAGCTAAACCCATTTACACCAACAGATAAAATCTTTCAATAAACCAAACATTACAGGCGTAACTTCCTGAAGGTCTGGTGGGAACAGTCCCCACCAGTATTTAACGTTTTTATTCTCCTTTCCACTGATTTACTTTAGCCAAATGAAACAGATGTTGGGTGCAGCTAACGGTGTTCAGAGCGTTTTGAGTCAGGGTTCGGTTTCCTCTGTCGCTCTGCTCCTATGTCCCGCCTCTTGGTGTAACATCATCGGATCTGTCGCTTTGAGACATTTGATTTGCAGTCGCATTTCACTGACGTACAGAGTAGCTACGTGGTTGGAGGAGAGACACAGCAGCACTCAGTGAATATTAACCAGCAGCTACTTTGATGTTTAAGTTACAGTTAGGAGACAGTTGGTTAAACAAATTAGAGATACCACGGAAAAATCTGCTCATTAGACATACTAGAAAATACATAGTAAAAAATGGCAACAGATAGTAAGTTTATACAAGTTAGTATTATAATGCAAGAAGCTTGAGAAAACAGTTTAAATTTAAACATAGTTTAAATGTTCTTCTTTACTAGCTTGGCGTCTCAGAGGACCATCAGTTACAGCTTAAAATTAACACGTTTTCTCATTGTACAGACAGAATCAGACTGCAGAGCTTCTACAGATCTAGAAATGTTGTTTCTGGCATCATTATCTTAGTAAAGAGGTTGATAAATCTTTTTAAACAGAGGGAAGTAGGGAGAGCTGCAGATTTAACAGATTTACTGGGATATGCAACACGCAATAAGATATATCTCCAAGTTTACCAGAAAGTTTACAAGAAAAAAAATATGCTATATTTAAAATGCTGCATATACTTTTTTTTCCAGATGGATGGAATTTAAATTGTTCCTCATGGTATATCGATTTTGGCATCGGAATCGGCTGTTCTTCGTTATTTTTTCATACATTAATGTTGTTGGGCCCTATGTAATGCATTAAAATGCATCTTTCTATTTATAAATATAAATATCAGTGTATTATTGTTCTCTTTTGTTCTCAACAATAGGAAAGCATTAAATAATAGATGTTTGAGCTCATTTTTGTAAAATACAAAAACCTAATGAGAGCGTTCAGATGTAACTGTAGGTCCATCAGCCCCCCACCCCCCGAATGTCAACACGAACTTTCATTACAAACTTACAACAACTATTTTCATTCATTTCAGACATAACTATTCACATACTTGGAATATATTAAACTGCATTTCCAATATTCACCACTGTTTGGCGCCATTTTGCTTTTTTCTCTGATCACGGAGCAGCCAGCTAGCTTGGACTCGCAATGAATCATGGGATACCCAAGGCTACAGAGGATACGGCAGACCCAGGCTTCAAAACAGGCAAAAAGAAGGACGCATTAGTCGGCCGCATGAGGAGTCTTCCAATCCGAACAGGCCTCAGCGCCGCGCTATGATGTCATCGGCTGACAAATCTGGCCTTTAGAGGAGGCAGCCGCAGAATTAATCACTGCTGTACATTCTGACCTTTTCCTTTGGGTTCAGCTTGCTATTATCCTTTAGCTGTAGATTTGGATATAATGCTTTACAAAAGTTCATTTTATTATTTAAAACCTTAAAAAAAAGTTAAATCTAAAAGGGTTTAAGGTTCCTTAAAGGAATAGTACACCCAAAACATGATTAGCCTTCATTTTCTACTCACCCCCATGCTGAACAACACTCTGGAGTACTTTTTTGATATCTGAAATGCATCTGGAGATCTGGGAGGCTTCTTGCTGTCTGCTGACATTCAAATAATGGAGGTCTATGGCGCCCGAGGCAGATAGGTCCATAAAAGTCCACAAAAAACGTGTCAATATTCCTCCATACTGCTCGTCCAATGTATTCCAAGTGTCCTGAGTGGGTAGCGTCCAGAATTTACTCGAAACGAAGTCATTTAGAATGTTTTTAGAGCATAAACAGTAGTGTATAGGATTTCCTGAAAGCGCGTTCACGAGTCTACGGAAACCGCGGCAGACCGAACCAGATGAAAGTGCACATTCAGCTCGGCAAAGAACTCATGCTCTTCCTCAACACTGAAGTCCTCAGACATTTTTCTTTCGTTGTTTCTTTCTTTGCACAGGTAAACAGCACATTTCTTCTTCTACGCTTGCATTATCGGCAGAGCAGACGCTGAATGCGCACTTTCATCCGGTTTGGTCTGCCGCGGTTTCCGTAGACTCGTGAACGCGCTTTCAGGAAATCCTTTACACTACTGTTTATGCTCTAAAAACATTCTAAATGACTTCGTTTCGAGTAAATTCTGGACGCTACCCACTCAGGACACTTGGAATACATTGGACGAGCAGTATGGAGGAATATTGACACGTTTTTTGTGGACTTTTATGGACCTTTCTGCCTCGGGACGCCATAGACCTCCATTATTTGAATGTCAGCAGACAGCAAGAAGCCTCCCAGATCTCCAGATGCATTTGAGATATCAAAAAAGTACTCCAGAGTGTTGTTCAGCATGGAGGTGAGTAGAAAATGAAGGCTAATCATGTTTTGGGTGTACTATTCCTTTAATGTCCCTAGAAAGGGAAACACAATTAGAACAGGGTCCTTATGGATAAAACATTAACCTGCTTTTCATCAAGTGCTTCGTATTTAGCGACAATGTTCTGGACTTCGTTGACAGCATCATCTGACTGGTCTTCTGTGAAGGGACTTTCTTCGTGGAACAAGCCGATGTTGAGATTAGCAAGGCCGCCGTATTCGTGCTGCAGAAGCTCCAGGTAGTATCTAGAGAAAGTAGAGCTGTTTATAATCAGGACATAAGGAGCTGTAGTTTAATGAGTTAGGAAACTTTCTTACGGTTTTCCTTTCTCCAGAAAAATCACTTCAGATCTTTGGGACTCCAGCTGGAAGTAGTCTCTGACATATCTTGGCTGAAAAGCAACTTTCACCTGGAATTAAAAAGTCCAAACGTCAAAGCAGGACAAAATATGCAAAAGCTGCTAAACTATGTGACAATCAGTAGGTATCACCTTGTCTTCTGGCCGACTGGAGTTGCTGAGGTACAGATCACAGCGGTCATCACAGTGCAGGTATATGTTGAAGTTTCCGCTGACCGCAGGCACAAAGAAGCCTCTGGTTCGAGTGGCAAACAGGTCGTATTCATTAGGAAAGCTGTAAGGCAGCGAGTCGATCCACTGTGACCAGTAACCCGTTGTGTTCTCATTGTAGCTCCAGATTTCATCCAAGGAACTTGGCCGTTTGTTGCTCCACACTTCCATCTTCAGTCCTCGCCCACCTGCAAGAACGGCGGACAAAGCTGAATGTAAGTGTCTCTCATGGTAGAGCCAAGGAGAAACTTTGCTCTACCTTTCATATACCTCATCTAAAATACTCAGGTTATCTTGAGCTATCTCTATAGTTCTGCTGCTATAGGCTTAGACTGCTGGAGGACATAGGGACCCCTTTTTCATCATTCTGCTTCATTCTATCTCTATTCTCCCACTCTGCAGAATCTGTTAGTTCAATCTCTAACGTTCTGCTCTCTCTGCTTTTTCTCATAGTAGCTTCATCTGGTCTGTTCCTGTTTGGCTGTGACTCCATCCTGGAGAGAAATATCAGCTGTGCTGCTGCCATCAACACCTTTGTTTCTAGATGTTGGAGCTTGGCCTGTTTTCCAGTGTAGTCCTGTTTCTCTGACTGTGACTAACTGGATGTGCTCTCTTCATCCTCTGACATGGGAGCTGGCTCGGAGCTCGTCTGCCTGGCTGTGTGTTTCCTGGACGGGGTCGCCTGTGGAGCTGGTTGACAGTTGCCTTTTGTATCTATGCTTCTTTTTCTATGTCTGCTTCTGTCTCCTTGAACCCCAGTGGGCCTCAGCAGATGGCCGCTCACACTGAGCCTGGTTCTGCTGGAGGTTTCTTCCTGTTCAAAGGGAGTTTTTCCTCTCCACTGTCGCTACAAGCATGCTGAGGGATTGCTGAAGAGTCAATGAGTCGATGCAATCAGCTGGTTTTCCTTAGATAGAAAACTTTGAATCAATCTGACTGGATGATCTGGTGAACTGGAAAGTGACCTGAGATGACATGATTTGAATTGGAGCTATAGAAATAAACTGAATAGAATTGAATTAAATGATTGACAGGTTTTAATGCTCTACAACCACTAGGGGGCAGAAATGCAGCAAGTTTTGCACACAGTTCTGAATCGATTAAATATAACAGCTTACATCACGTTCTCTATGTGACATCAGCAGGAAGAGGTGCTGATGATCCCGCCTCTAAAGAGTTATCAGCCAATCAGAATCATTTTAGATAACCTGTCCGGACCTTTAATCTGAAAACAATCCAGGCTATGTGGTCTTTAAAGATAAGCTGAAGCTGAAGGTAAAACCTTCTGAGTTCAAACAGTGAGTCTAACCAAGGTAGAAGAGGTCATTGGTGGTCTTGTTGAAGAACCAGTCTCCGTTTTTGTTGCTGTGTGTTTCCTGGACACCTGTGGAGCTGGTTGACAGTTGCCTTTTGTATCTATGCTTCTTTTTCTATGTCTGCTTCTGTCTCCTTGAACCCCAGTGGGCCTCAGCAGATGGCCGCTCACACTGAGCCTGGTTCGGCTGGAGGTTTCTTCCTGTTCAAAGGGAGTTTTTCCTCTCCACTGTCGCTACAAGCATGCTTAGTGTGAGGGATTGCTGAAGAGTCAATGAGTCGATGCAATTTGCTATAGAAATAAACTGAAGTTTTCATACAGATTTTATGGGCCGGCCTTTAGCGGTCATTAAAGGGGAACGCCGTTTTTTTTTTTACATCGGCCCCTTGATTTTAGGTTATTCCATCATGTTCTACTCACCCATATGAGTTTTGTGTCATTTGGAGCCGTTCTGAAGATATTCCGGATTTTATACCCTTAATTTGTCACAAATATTAGTTTTATGTGTATTTAAAGAATAAAGTAGATCTTAAAGTCTACAGGAAAATGTCGTTCCAGAGTTTTTGGAGCGGCCGAGCTCTGCGCCTCTAGGCTGCTCTGCAGTGGGTTTCCCCTCTCGCCGTTGCCATGGTGTCATTCAGTCACTCACTGATTTGTTTACGGTGGTTGAAAGTGAGACAGGGAGTGTTTAGTTTGCATTCAAGCTGTAGTGTTTTCAACCAGGCAGTTATTGCAATATAGCTGAGTAAATAAAATAAACATTCAACACGACGAAGAGGAATCAGATTTGCTCTTTTTATCTCATCGTTCAGATGAAACTGCTACATCTTAGCGTAGCTATTAGCCTAGCATCTTCCATAAAACAGCCGATTACTGTTAAACCTTTGGAGGATTTCAGAGTGACTCTGGATGCTGTGTTCTGGATCCAGCTCCCTTCCTGGGTGAAGGAGGGCATTAGGTTTGCCTCTAGTTGCTCTAGCTCTATTCCTAGTCTCCTAATTTCCTAAATATCTACTTGTTTAAAAACTATTTGAATATAATATGACTGATCTCATATAGCATTTGTTGGATAGGCAGCCATTGTGTCATTAACTCATCTGTTTTTCTTTAATTAGCAAAAAGTCAAATTCTTTATGTTATTGTGATTTTTTATAAATTTAATTTAGCAGATTTTTGCTTTCAGCTTTTTTCTATCATTGATCCTACATTCATTAATCTTATATCAAAATAAGATTTTAGCACCGCAGACACATAGACTGAATAGTAAAGCTGATAATTGATTGAAGTAGAAGAAACAGGACATTAATGAGACGTAGTGTTGACAGTCAGAGACCATGATGGTACCTTATTCATGCTTCTCTGTCCTGGAGGCTGTAACTGAGAAGTAAAAGCTATCTTTACGAACAGACAAAGAGGGAAGGTGACATGAACGTGGAAACAGCCTGATTGTGTTCTTGTGACAACCTGAACAAAGATTCATGCATCTGCAAGACGATTAGGGGATAACTGGGACCGAGCTGAATAAACCGGGCTAAATGTGCTGATGTACTGGAAGGGAAGTCGATCTTATATTAGCCTCAAGGATGGACACATATCTACGATTAGGGCCGGGCTAGAGATTCTTTTAAAATACAAGAATAAAATCATAACAAAGACGACTGTAATGTACTCTGTTAAAAACGTGCAGCTGCACATCTTCTAACTGGTAGTCCAAACCCAGAATCCAGCAGCCTTCTTCTGGCCTCCCTCCACTGGCTGACTGCGCATTTTAGATTTTAATGTTTTTTTTCTGATTATTTGATGACATTTTTTTCTTTTTTTCTTCTTCTCCATTCCTAGCTACCTTTGTGGCCCCGCGGGTCAAATCCACAGCAGCTCATGCATGTGCTGGGGTCTTAAATGAAGCTCAGGGGGCGGGACCAACTTTAAATACATTCTGTTGTCCATAATGAGATTTTATTTGATCTTTTTGTTATACATAGTTTTTGTTCTTTTAATGTATAGTTTTAGCTGTATGACAAAAACTTTGTTTTAGCTGTTGTTAAAGCTCTTTCTAAATAAAGTTGGTAATTTATGTTATGTTGTGGTCTGATTCAGTTACTGAGGTGTGGTACGGTTAGTGAGGTGTACAATTAGTGAGCTGTGGTACGGTTAGTGCGGTGTGGTACAATTAGGTCCGAGTTACAGTTAGTGAGGTGTGGTACGGTTAGTGCGGTGTGAAACGATTAGTGAGGTGTGGTACGATTAGTGAGGTGTGAAACGATTAGTGAGGTGTGGTACGATCAGTGAGGTGTGATACAATTAGTGAGGTGTGGTACGATTAGTGAGGTGTGAAACGATTAGTGAGGTGTGAAACGATTAGTGAGGTGTGGTACGATTAGTGAGGTGTGAAACGATTAGTGAGGTGTGGTACGATTAGTGAGGTGTGAAACGATTAGTGAGGTGTGGTACGATTAGTGAGGTGTGTGAAACGATTAGTGAGGTGTGGTACGATTAGTGAGGTGTGAAACGATTAGTGAGGTGTGGTACGATTAGTGAGGTGTGAAACGATTAGTGAGGTGTGGTACGATTAGTGAGGTGTGGTACGATTAGTGAGGTGTGGTACGATTAGTGAGGTGTGAAACGATTAGTGAGGTGTGGTACGATTAGTGAGGTGTGGTACAGTTAGTGCGGTGTGGTACGGTTAGTGCGGTGTGGTACGGTTAGTGAGGTGTGGTACGATTAGTGAGGTGTACAATTAGTGAGGTGTGGTACGGTTAGTGAGGTGTGTTAAGGTTAGTGCGGAGTTACGGTGAGTACGGTGTGGTACGATTAGTGCGGTGTGGAACGATTAGTGAGGTGTGGTAGAATTAGTGAGGTGTGGTACGATTAGTGAGGTGTGGAACGATTAGTAAGGTGTTGTACGATTAGTGAGGTGTGGAACGATTAGTGAGATGTGGTACGATTAGTGAGGTGTGGAACGATTAGTGAGGTGTGGAACGATTAGTGAGGTGTGGAACGATTAGTGAGGTGTGTTAAGGTTAGTGCGGAGTTACCATTAGTGAGGTGTGGTACGATTAGTGAGGTGTTGTACGATTAGTGAGGTGTGGAACGATTAGTGAGGTGTGGTATAGTGAGGTGTGGAACGATTAGTGCAGTGTGGTACGATTAGTGAGGTGTTGTACGATTAGTGAGGTGTTGTACGATTAGTGAGGTGTTGTACGATTAGTGAGGTGTGGAACGATTAGTGAGGTGTGGAAAAATTAGTGAGGTGTTGTACGATTAGTGAGGTGTTGTACGATTAGTGAGGTGTTGTACGATTAGTGAGGTGTGGTACGATTAGTGAGGTGTGGAACGATTAGTGAGGTGTTGTACGATTAGTGAGGTGTTGTACGATTAGTGAGGTGTGGTACGATTAGTGAGGTGTGGAACGATTAGTGAGGTGTTGTACGATTAGTGAGGTGTTGTACGATTAGTGAGGTGTGGTACGATTAGTGAGGTGTGGAACGATTAGTGAGGTGTTGTACGATTAGTGAGGTGTTGTACGATTAGTGAGGTGTTGTACGATTAGTGAGGTGTGGTATAGTGAGGTGTGGAACGATTAGTGAGGTGTTGTACGATTAGTGAGGTGTGGAACGATTAGTGAGGTGTTGTACGATTAGTGAGGTGTTGTACGATTAGCGAGGTGTGGAACGATTAGTGAGGTGTTGTACGATTAGTGAGGTGTTGTACGATTAGTGAGGTGTGTTAAGGTTAGTGCGGAGTTACGATTAGTGCAGTGTGGTACGATTAGTGAGGTGTGTTAAGGTTAGTGCGGAGTTACGATTAGTGCGGTGTGGTACAATTAGTGCGGTGTGGTATTGTTATTGCGGTGTGATACGTTTAGTGCAGTGTGGTGTGTTAAGTGTAGGGTGATACGATTCATTCGGTGTGGTACGGTTAGTGCTGTGTTAGGGTCAGTGCGGTGTGATACGTTTAGTGTGGTGTGGTACGATTAGTGAGGTGTACAATTAGTGAGGTGTGGTACGGTTAGTGAGGTGTGGAACGATTAGTGCTGTGTTAGGGTCAGTGCGGTGTGATACGTTTAATGCAGTGTGGTACGGTCAGTGCTGTGTGGTACGGTCAGTGAGGTGTTATGCTGCGTTGTGGTAAATGAAGGAATAATGGCTGAATGTTTCACGCTGAGGATCAGAATAGACTTGCTCTGGGTCACTGTCAGATCATCAGAAAGAGACCGAAGCTACCATCAGGTCTTTGAATACGATGAACGGAAATTCCAGCTTTTCATTTCTGCATAGTTTGAATAACATTCAAATCTTATCAAATTCATTTGTATAGAAACAGTGAAACCATTACAGCTGGCAGATTTGCATGTTGATGACTGTTTACGCCTTGTTTTAAAAATATCACTGAATGATCTATTTGGGCCAATCAGGAAACAGATTGTTATCTGACTCATAAGTAGTTTTTGTATTTTTTAGAAATGTTAAACTATGAAGTCATTCACTCTGCTGCTACACTCTATAGCAACCGTTCTGTGTGATGTAAGGTCTATAACTTGTTCTTCCTCTCTGTCTGATAATCTTTGGATGATCTTTTCTGGTCCATTGAAGCCCATTGATGCTTTACAATCTAGCAACAGTATGATGCTGTGATGACAGAACAAATTCCTCAAATAGTCAAGCTAGCTGCCGTCAGTCTTTTAACGGCCTAAATCAGCTTCAGATCAGCAGACAGAGAAGGTGCTCTGTTGTCACCTGGATACAGCTTCCTGTCATCGTCCGCCGCTCGTTCAGCCGTCCTGCATGTGATTCTGTCGTCGGTCACAGTCTGTACTTCACAGGGCCGGCCTGCAGATCAAACCACCAGATCAGACATAATAACAGGGTTAAAGGCGGCATTCACCTTCACCGCTCCATAGACCACTAATGGGTCTTCTGGTAATTGGGACCATCATCCATCCATCATTCATCTATCATCCATCCATCATCCATCATCCATCCATCCATCCATCCATCCATCATCCATCCATCATCTCCATCCATCCATCCATCCATCATCCATCCATCCATCATCCATCCATCATCCATCCATCATCCATCCATCCATCCATCCATCCATCCATCCATCCATCCATCCATCCATCCATCCATCATCCATCCAACATCCATCCATCCATCCATCCATCCATCCATCCATCCATCCATCCATCCATCCATCCATCCATCATCCATCCATCATCTCCATCCATCCATCCATCCATCATCCATCCATCATCCATCATCCATCCATCCATCCATCCATCCATCCATCCATCCATCCATCCATCCATCCATCCATCCATCCATCCATCCATCCATCCATCCATCCATCATCCATCCATCATCTCCATCCATCCATCCATCCATCATCCATCCATCATCCATCATCCATCCATCCATCCATCCATCCATCCATCCATCCATCCATCCATCCATCCATCCATCCATCCATCCATCCATCCATCCATCCATCCATCCATCCATCCATCCATTCATAAAGCTGCTGATTATTAGAAGTTATGATACATTTGTTTTTTTATCTTAGATTGTTTCAGAAGTTAAACTTTGATTTCTTAATCAGAAATAGGTTTTAAGAGCAACATTGCTATTTTCACAGGTTTCATTTTTTAAATTTTTCTCAAATCATATTCTAGTTTTTAATTTTTATTTGTTACAATTTTTTATATTTTTGTTTTTAATTAGTCTTTTTCAGATGCAGTTTAACGAAGCGCATTATTTTATTAAACTAATTTCTACGGATCAGATTCTCTTCCCTTCTGGAGGCGGGCCTTCCTCTGGAGAGAAGAGAAAAGCTGCATTTCTATTGGTCTGCTGAAAATAAGACACAGTATTTTTATTGGGTTTAAACAAAGTCGTGATATAAAATATATATATAAACTAAAGGTTCTGGGTTTAAGGGGAAGATAATGAGATCTGTAAAACACAATTTGAAAAGAATGACATTTGTAAAACTTAATCTAAAAAAATAAATTATAAGATAGAAGATCTGTAAAAATAAAAAAAAGAAGTGTGAAGTTTTTTATTTAACTGAATTTCTAAAAATCTAAGAAAGTAAAAAAAAATGTTTTGAGAGTGATCTTAATCAAAGAGCTGTTTTTTTTTGGATTGCAATTTTTTTTTATTTCCTTTTTAAAAAATGTGTTCTTTTCAACAAAAATGGAACAAAATTCACTCCGTAGTGATTGTATATTACAGAAGTTGCTGCTGCTTTGACAGAACGTTTCCACAGATAAAGACGTAAATTTAATTTCATAAAGTTTCTGCCTGTCTGTCATCAGCGCTGTGTTGTTAGCAGCAGTCTGCCTGCAGCAGCTTAGTGAAAGACAACCTGCTGAATCACTCTGGCCACGGTCTGCTGAGCCTCTAAGACCCAACAGATCATTTCCTTTCTTCTTTGACACTTTTCTTTTGTCTGATGTCTCAATGCATCATGTCGTGTTTTAAGGATTATCTCGGTTGCATGACTTCAAAACCTGTCGACGCTCATCTATTCATGCTGAACGGGTCTGAACATGTCGAGCTTTAAGAGAACCGGTTTTTATAACTCCGTTTCCAAGGTCACGATACCTCCTACGAGAACTCTGGCGGGTTCGTCTGTCTGGTCAAAGAAGCGTCCGTGGATCGTCAGCAGAGTTCCCCCCATGATGCTGCCTTTGGATGGAGAGACTCCGGTCACCTCTGAGCAGGAAGCAGAGCAGAGATTATAACAGTCTGCAGAGAAACAGAGTCTGGAACATGGGGCTGTTCTTTCTGGCGTACCTGCAAACGTTTGGAACATGGAGAGTTTGGACAGAGATGAGATCCAGTACAGGTTCTTCTCTGGTTGGCTCCTAAAAACACGACACACATTGAACTGTGAACAATACAGGTGTGTTTAAAATAAAGGTGCCTCTGCCTCCTTCCATGATGCACAAATACGCCTTAAAATCAGTTAGCAATTAATACTTTCCTGTTGCACATATTTGCTTTCTACCTTAAAAGGCATTTTTTAGATCAGGATGTTGCTTTTTGAAGCCATTTTATGTCAGAACATAAAAATCTGATTCTAAATCCGTTCACTTTGCTGCCTTAGAAACACGGTGTTAGGAAGAGGCCTGAGGAGGAGATTTACTGGCTGATAAGGTCAGTCTATAACCAGAGGGAATTGCTGGTAATAATTGCTGAGGTTTCTTTTGTCCTTAAGCGTATGGAGGCACTTTGCTTTGGGGGGGGCTTCCATTTTTATGGCTGAGTCCATGTTTTGGTAAATGAGTAGCTTTCTTTTATGGCCGGATAAACCTGACTGGGAAAACTGGAGTCTGCAGGCATACGGGAACTCTGGCCGTCCATCATGGCAACAAGAGACAAGAAAGAAAAGACAGACCTTTTATTTTACCAATTGGCAGAAATTCTGACCTCCATCTTTGGCTCTGAGCTGATTGTTTTCCAGACATCTAACGTTGGAACCAGGTTTACCATTAGGCAAAACTAGGCAGTTCCCTGGGGCCCCAAGTTTTTTATGGCACTTGTGGTTCATGTTTTTGAAAGTAGATTGACAGGAATAGGTCAGAATTCGAACCCGGGTCGGCCGCGTCAAGGACTGGGCTGTGCACGCTAACCACTGCGCCACCTGCACGCCCTATAAAACTTTGTTTACCTGTATGGTTCAAACAACTACCAACATATTCTCATTATCAGTGCATATGAAATCGTACAAAAACTTATGCACACTATTTTGTACGTTTTGGACATTTTTTCTCAAAAAACCACATCAGTGTGCATGCGCTGAAAAAAAAAAGCAGATCGGCGGACGGACGGAAAACTGGGAAAAACAGTGCAATCATCACTTATTCATGTCTCTAACTACGTTGCTTGCTGTTTTATACCTTAGGGTCAGGGTTAGGGCTAATTGTAATTTATATTCTAGATTCGTGAATGGTGCGTCACATGCGCATACAACGAAAAAAACGTCCAAAACGTACGAAATTACGGTGCATAACTTTTCGTAAGATTTCATACGAACTCATAATGAGAATAGGTTGCAACTATTCCTTATTTCTGCACATTAATTATGTTTTTGCTAAAAATCTTTTGGCTAAAATGCCATCAGAACGCTGATAATATTAAGTGTGTCTCAGGCCCCCCCTTCAGTGTCCACCATATTGGATCAGTCCATCTGCTGCACATGTTCAGAAAGGTCCAAACAGACAGCAGCAAACCATTTGAAAACAAACCATGCAAAGAGCAGTGTTGCCAACTTAGCGCTTTAGTCGCTATATTTAGCCACTTTTCAGACCCCTCTAGCACTTTGATTTCTAAAAAGCTCCTAGCGCCAAATCTAGAGACTTTTTTCTGCTACTGGAGACTTTGGAGACAACATCTAAAAGCAGCGAACTCTGCTCTCCAGAGCGAGTAGATTGGTAACCCTGCCTCCTGCTCTCCTCTATCTTGTCTGCTGTCATGATTCATGCAGCTATTATTTCATCCAAATGAAAAATGGAGAACAGATAAGCAGATCATGGCTTGTCTACAGTGAAAAGAAGGACTGGGTTATTTACTTTGGCCTTTTTGGAAACACAGGAAGGAGCAATCAGCTAAGTGAGCTTAGTGCTTGGAAAAAATCTTTCATTCCTTTAGAGACAGCATGAAAAGTCAGCTGAGTACAAAACATAGAGAGGAAAACAAGAAGAAAAGGGACAAGAAGAGAGGGACACAACCTAGAACAGAGAATGGATGTCTATTCTATTAACATTTCTCTATCTGGAGAATGGGTTCAGAGGGGCCCCTGCCTGTCTTTTCCTAGGGCCCTAAGTTTCCTAAATGTGCCCCTGGTTGGGACGCATACCGGGGGAAGTAGGACTGGTTTGGAACGCTCCATGTATGGAGACCTTAGTCCTGGACGTGGGCGACCCGGGTTTAACCTGAGCGGTTAAAACTGTATCTGTTGCTCTGAGCAGAACCTCACCTTCCATAATAACCGTCCAGGATGTAGCTCATGTTCTGATGACCTGTGGGAAACGAAACGAAACGTTGAGTTGCTGTTCCTTCACTTCCAGAGGTCAAGATGTATCATTAGTGCAGCATCTCACCAACATATGTCCCCGTCATCATGCAGCTCATGTAGCCCCAGTCGGAGGATTCAGAGTCCAGCTGCAGGTTGTACCTTCACACACAGACATGGCTAAACTGTTTATCTCACAGGTCGACCAAAAAATCACTGAACATCGACAGCCAGACCACTTACAGTTCATCTGAGTTAGGCTTCAGCAGCTCGCAGGGCATCCCTCCCATGTAAGACCTGCAGGTAACAACATTCAGGTGACAAACTGAACTGAACTGAACTTTATCCCCAAACCGTCTGCTCTACAACCGATGGGGTCACTAGCTTCTGACTTTTTGTTCTCAAAAATTATTTCCTGTAGCATGAATGAATAATCTTTGCCTATTAATAACTAAAATGATGTTTATTCCATGTGTCATTTCAAAAAAGGAAAATTAAAATCAATGCACTGGACTTTGTTTCCAGGTCTGAAGACGTTTCTCTTCCATCCAGGAAGCTTTTTCAAATCAAAATGTCAGAAATAGCGTTTAGTTCCAGGTTTTATCCAGCAGCCCAACAAAGCCTGGTTTTAGTTTAGAAAACATGCAAACTGGAACAGACCAAATCTAATTTGAATCCTGGGACTGGACCGGAGTCGGCATTAGAACCGAGCCATCAGGTCCCGGTCCGGATCCAGCCGGGGACGGAAGCAAGGTAAGGCAAAAATATACAAAGGCTTGAAATGGAATAAAAATGAGTGTTTCTCATTTGACATTCATTTGGAGTCAGTGGGTCACATGACCTGGAAGCTATTGAAGAAATATCAATTATTGTTGTAAAAAAAAGTTTAAAGAAAGGCTTAAAATGGAATAAAAATAAATTAGCATCATCAGGCTAATGTAGTTAAAACTATTTCACAAAGAATTTGAATCAGTAGGTCTCATGACCTAGAAGCTACTGAAAAAAGCCCCAAATTTGTCTTTAAAAATATCTTACAAATTAAAAATATCTTAATATTGCCTTGACTACGTTTTCTATTGTACGATTTTATGTAATCTTTGATAAAAGTTCATTAAATACATACGATACAGGTATATGAGGTTGTAAAAAAGGTCATCACCCTAGTGGTCACAGGAGAATAGAACCAGTCCCACTGGATTTTATTTAGGGGAAACAGAGTAAAGATGGCTGAATTTATATACCTCCACACGTTTTAAATTATTACGTTTCTAAAAGAAGGAGAATATATTTTTAAACCAGGAGTTTTGGAATGATAATGTACGGAAGAGGATTAGGGTCAATGAAAAAAAAAAAAAAGTTAACTGATTTTTAAATTTTATTTCAGTTTAGTATAGAAAAAAAGTCAGAATTCTGACTTTTTTCTCAGAATTCTGACTTTTTTCTCAGAATTCTGACCTTTTCTCAGAATTCGGACTTTTTTCTCAGAATTCGGACTTTTTCTCAGAATTCGGACTTTTTTCTCAGAATTCTGACTTTTTTCTCAGAATTCTGACTTTTTTCTCAGAATTCTGACTTTTTCTCAGAATTCTGACTTTAATCTCAGAATTCGGACTTTTTTCTCAGAATTCTGACTTTTTTCTCAGAATTCGGACTTTTTTCTCAGAATTCTGACTTTTTTTCTCAGAATTCGGACTTTTTTCTCAGAATTCTGACTTTTTTCTCAGAATTCTGACTTTTTTCTCAGAATTCGGACTTTTTCTCAGAATTCGGACTTTTTTCTCAGAATTCGGACTTTTTTCTCAGAATTCTGACTTTTTCTCAGAATTCTGACTTTAATCTCAGAATTCTGACTTTTTTCTCAGAATTCGGACTTTTTTCTCAGAATTCGGACTTTTTTCTCAGAATTCTGACTTTTTTCCATTACTAAACTGAAATAAAATTTAAAAATCACTTAACTTTTTTTTTTCCACTGGCCCTAATAATGCCTCAGAAAGACGTAAACTAGATAAACTTGATGTGTTTGCAAAGTTTCCACACCTCAGAAACCTGACGTCGTGGCCGTTGGAGCTCAGCTCTGTGTTGCTTCCGTAGACGTCGGAGTAGATCCGCCCCCGAATCGTGACCAGAGTTCCTGCAGGAGAGGTTGCACTGGATTATTCAAAGTGTAAACACTGTTAGATCCCAGCAAGGTGTGCAGGTTCTACCTGGAAGGCCGGTGGCTGGACTCAGGGAGTAAATTGTTGGAGTACGCCACCATTGGGTCTGAGGATGGATGTAGAGAAATAAGAACCAGCAGCAGAAAGCCAGAGCGGCAGAAGCAGACAGGGAACTATCTGGTCAAACCTACGTAGAAGCTGCAATGGTAACTTTTGTAATTGCCGTTGCAGATGTTGGCGTCAGCAATGGGAACTCCATCCACGCTGACATGGACCACATACTGATCCTGTGGCATCGCTCTGTTAGGGAACAACAGTGGTTACATGTCAGAGGACCCACAGAGCGTCCGGGGGGCCAGGTGTGTTCGTCTACCTGGTGTAACACAGGATCTGGTTGGCGTGCGTGGAGTCCCTTTCCACATCGCAGGGGACCGACAGCGTGTCCGATACCAGAGTCACCTGATTGCCAAACTGGTCATCTTTAGGATTTAACTGGAACTGACGTTCCTGAGCAAAGCCTGGGAAAGAAAGCATTAAAGAGCAGGAATGAGGAACACGTCGCTACGGCGTCCAGAAACATCAGACTGCCCTGCTTTCCAGATGGTTTGGTTTAATGTGTAGATAGAGCTGGACTTTTTTCTAAATGTTACTGTTAGATATTTCCCTTTAGTTGAGATTTAGGTCATAGAACAGATCATGACCATGAGCTCATGGTGATCTGTTTTTTATACATCTACAGTCATCTGTTTTGCTGATCTGAGTTCTTGTAGCTTCTTTAGTGAACAGAAAGCGGCGCTGGTGGTGGAAAGAAACACCTCCACCCTCTGAGTGCAAACAGCAATACTTCACTATAGGTACGCATTAACAGGAAACACCTGTTGATAGTAGATAACACCCTTTTTGGCACATGGATAGTTTTTATTTACTAAGGAGGAAGTCTATGGAGGACCAACTCTGCCATATTTAAAAATAAATACAGAAATAAATAAATGGAGGCGCACCCCTTCATCATTTGCATAATGAGGCAGAAATGCAGACAGAAATAAATAGAGTTGAAGAAATAAAGAGGGTAAAAAATACAAAGAAAGAATAATACAGACAAAAATATTATCACATGCACATAAATAAATGCTTAAAAAAATAAGTAATAAATAAATAAAGTATAAGAATATAATAAATGAGGCGAATAAATAAAGAAACTAATTAAAAGAGATATATACATTTACGTCTCACTGTCTAATTTAATTTGTATCTTATTTATTTATTGAGCATTTATTTATTTCTGTATTTATTTTTAAATATGGCAGGATTGGTCCTCCATAGTTGTCACACAAAGTGAGTTAAAAAGACTTAAACATTCCAAAGAGCAGAACTGAAGTGTGTTTTAACAATCTGTAAGAACATCAGAGCCATTTCTTTAATTTGTTATATTAAAATGTTCAAACTTATTTATATTTTCACATTTGGAGGACCAGAATGTTCACATTTTGGACAAAGAAGACAGATGGTTTGAGAGGGGTGTGAAGGAAGCCATCTTTGTTAAGAAAGAAAAACTAACCTTAAACAGAGCTTTCAAAAACCTAGAATTCAGCGATAGAGTTGATTCCTTCCTGCTATCATCAGAGCCCCCACCCCCATAGAAAGGACCTAAACATCTCAGCTGATCAGCCAGGCCAACAATCCCCTTTAACGCCTCCTTTCAGAGGCATAGACCAGTGTCGGATATTGCAGGCTAACAAAGAACCCATATGACTCCTCATTTCTACCCGCAAATGGAACCCGTTCTTCCGCTTCCATTTGGATGCTTTCTGAGCCAAAACAAGGATTTTATCTGGTCGACTCTATAAAGCTTCAAACTCAAAACTAATTCTGACATTTTGAATCGAAAAAGAAGAGAAACGTCTTCAAACTTTAAATCAAAGTCCAGTGGATTGGCATCCAGGTAAAAGTCATTCCAAAAAAAAAAAAACTTGACTTTTACCTGGATGACTGAGAATCTTTACCAGATATTTTCAAATAATTCTTATATTGTTCTAATGTTGATCTGCAGGAAGTAAAGGACTGGGGAAAACTTTAAGTGAATTAGGGATGTAAAAACTATTACATTACTTATAATGAAAAATGGGTTAAGTTAATAATTGGATTAATTATAATTAATCAATCCATCTTCTCCCGCCTATTCTGTCAGGGTTGAGGTGGTGCCGGTGTTCCGTCAGGTGAGCATACCCCCGTCAGACCAGCATACCCATAGTCAATACGCATACGCAAGATGTCGGATTAGCGTTTAACCCTTTAGTTTTGTACGAAAAATAGACTTTAAACGACCTCAACGGGCGTCTATCTGTTTATAGAAGGAGCGGCCCTCTCTCTGCATAGTGTGGCTCTGATGGACGATTTTATTGTTTTATTTGGCAAAATGTTCATTTGATTTGTGTTTATCTAACTGTCTTCATTATTATCCACCCACTAAATGGAAAAAAGTCAGTATTATTATCTAGACTGTCAATAACAGGAGGTGAAATGCAGCTCCAGACGAGCCGAGCGGGCGGTGATGTCATCATTAAGCTTCTGACTCAGGTTTATTCTGTGAATTGAAAAACAGCCACTGTGTTTTCTGACACTGATTTGCTAAACGATGACCTATAGACCTTTAGAACCAGCTCCATCTTGCCTGTTAGCCATTAGCCATTAGCGCCACAGCTCATTCAAGCCGTCTGTCTGCTGAAAAGCTGCTTTAATAAAGTTTCCTCCTGCTTTTTTCAGGGTTCCTAACCTGTTTTAATTCCCTAAAGGAAAATCACTGCTCAGCTGCAGTAAACTTTATGAACAGTTAATCATTTCTGATTAGTTTTATTATTATTTCATTTTTCTTGGTTTGAAAAAAAATGTTTTATTCACCTTGTGGACTTTTATTGAAGATGTTCCAACTTTTCCAAGCTAGTTTTTAAAGCTACTTTAACTTAATAAATTAAATTAAACTAAACTTTGGTTCTTAAACATAAAATCCATTCTGAGCATTTGTCTTTTTTTCATATTTCAGCTAATTAGTTGAGTTTCCCTCGATTAATTAAGAGTTTTAACTTGTTGTTTAATTTGAGGCTTAATGATTTATGTTAATAAATTATTTTATATTGAATGAATGAGAGTTTTTGTGAATTTATTTGCTTTTTGGCAAAGTTTCACTCAAATTCACCCTTTCATCTCTTGCCCTCACACACAGTTTACAGCACGAAATATGAAAGACCAAAAGTTATCTAATTAAATATTTAACTAAATAAATGCAAATGCCTAAAGGAGTCAAAAACAGGTAATTTAGTGAATAAATGAAAATCCTTTGCAGTAATTAGGCCAAAACTAACAGGAACATTTTTATTTTAGAAGAAAATAAAATGTCTTTCTCTTCTTTTTAGAACTTAAGTAGTTTTAGATTTGCTTTTTTCAAAACAAAAAAAGAACAACTCATGTTAAGAACTTTTGCAATTATAAGATCGATCAACAAATTAATCCAGACAGTAAAAGCTAATTGTTCTAGAAGCAACATCTTATTATTTAAGCAAACATTGCAGTTAAAACATTTCTATAATTCTCTGATTTTACTTTATTTTACCAGCATAATAATAATATTATGATAATAACATAATTTTATAATTTAACTTTATTGATCCCAAACTGGACTAATTCATTCCCTCCATGTAACCCCTCCCCTTGGGGAGCAGCGGGCTACCATTGTGCGGCGCCTGGGGAGCAGTGGGGGGTTAAGGGTTTTGCTCAGGGACCCACAGTGGCAGACTGTGGGAGTTGAACTCAGAACCTCTGAGACCCGAACGCAACGCAATTCAGTAAAACCACTCGGCCACCAGCCTCCATTCAACAATAACAATAAACTAGGAAATAATATTTAAATACAGTATGTTAAAATATATGGAGATTAATATTTTTTAGTTGTTTCCTTTTTAAAAGGAAGAAACACAAATTATTTCCATCGTTAAAGATATTAATCGGGTAATAATAATTTATTAACAATTGTTGATATTTAGGCCCAAAGTGAGTCCAGAGGCCACAGATGGCCCCTGATTTAAACTACAACATCCATCAATATAATCTGGATTTTACGTTTTATTAATTAATTAAAATCTAATTTTATTTTACTTGCATTTTACTTTTACAGTACATGGCCCCAGCAGAGCTCTCCGTTCTGCTGATCAAACGGTTCTATCTTAGGTCCCGGTATTAACAGTGGGGCCATCGTTCCTCTGTGGTTATCGCACCTAAACTGTGGAACAATCCGCCCGTCGGTCTGCATGTTCACACTGATCTGCATCTTTTTAAGTCCAGATTAAAGACTCACTTTTTAAACTGGCTTTTAATACTTAGGACACATTGTTTTATGCTTATCATTTTGGGGGGTTTTTGCAATGTTTTAATGTTTCTGTGAAGCACTTTGATCTTCCTGTTGTTGTAAAGTGCTGTATAAATAAACTTTGATTTACTTTAATATGTCTGTTTTCTATAAAGGCAACTTCTACATCATCATAACCTACCGTCTCCCATGATGGTGAGCCTTGTTGCTCCCGCCGTGCTTCCCACATGAGGAGAGACCCACCCGACCCTCTGAGCACCTGAGACAGAGAAAAACTGTTAACAAGGCAGGTTACATCATCTGAGGTGTTACAGGTGGGCATGTTTGGGAGACTGTGGCTCAGAGTTTCCAGGTTCTTTAACAGGCAGAACATCATAAGGGAAGAAGTTGAGATGAAGAACATGAAGTCTGTTCCTTACAGCAGCAGCAGCAGCAGAGGGTGAGGAGGAGAGCCGTCAGCCTCCACTGGGACTCCATCCTGGACGTTTCTCAGATTTCCCTGCTTCTCCACCTGGACGTCCTGCACTGAAAAAACAGGAGCAATTCAGCCTAAATTAATTAAAAGAACAGATTCCTGCTCCTTTAAATCTGCTGAATATCATCTTTAGAAGTAGAAAAAACAAACCTGTAACTGAATAATGAGAAATTATCTAGAAAAGTATCAGGGGAAAATTTTCCATCGTTTGAATCTCACCTGCTGATGAAAGGATGAGACAGAAATAACCGCAGCGTTTGCATCCATGCAGGTGTCCTGACTCTATATAGGGGGCCGAAGGCTCCGCCCCTCACCTGGAAGTGGGAGGAGCCTGAGCTGGTCCCAGTTAGGAAGGCATGTCAGCAGATCTGTTTTTAACTCTGAAACCAAACCTGAAGTAGGTCAGTGACCCAATTATTTGAAATGTGATTTATTCTTTGGTTTCATTCATAAAAACAAAGAATAATAAAATTCAACAAGGATAAATAAAATAAGCTTTAAAAAAGTCTATAAATCAGAGAGCAGTAGAGCAGAAATGGATGGTTAGTGTTTAGTCCAGTGATGAGGGGAGAAAATGTTGCATTTAATAGGAGCCAAATATGTAAAGGAGCCAGATGTACTCAGAGCCACACCTGCAGACGGCTGAACACTTCCTGTCCCTCAGGGAGGATTTTATTTAATATATAGAATAACAGAACCTGAGTCTTTAGATCATCTTTCTGTCTTTCTGACACATTAGATGGTAAGATGTTTGCTGCTGAAGGTGATGATGAAGATGTACATTAGCTGATAAATATTCTGGAGGTTCCCAGCAGCTGCTTCCTGCTACCACCACCAGGTGGAACCCCCCCCCCTCAGAAGTATAAGATCTACAGAAAAACAGGTAATATTTTAACATTTGAATTCTAATCCACTCATAAATTTGATTACTGCTGTTATTAAATGTTCCCTCTTCACAAAAAAGAAGCGTGACGACAACCTTAAAATGAAAAATATTTGAAACAACAAATTACCAAATAAAAATGGAAGCTTTAACATCATGATAAAACTAAAATAAGAGTTTGTTTTGCTTATTCTGGTCTTAACACAGGGAAAACTAAGGACATGTCCAGACAAGTGGCAGTGGGCCAATAGAGGGCGCTAGGGTGCCGCCCCACCCACCCCACGTCTCGATCAAGACGTAAAAAACAAATAAAAATGTAATTTTTTTTTTTTTTTCGAAATATAGTCATATAAAATTTTTAGATGTGCAAGATATATATCTATATTTAATCTTTAATGACGAGTAAAGCAGTTTCATTCGTTTGGTGAGGTATTTCCGCCCTATAGAGGAAAAATCTTCGAGTCTCAGAATTGAAGCTCCTTAAAGCGAATTAACCAAGAGAAGCTGGAGGTGAAACCGTTTGGACCTGATCGGCCGAACATCGAAACCCAAACCCAAAGACATATGGAGACGGGTCACTCTGGGTTTTTTCAGGACCTAGTTTAGCTTCAAGGCTAGGCTAACTGCATGCAGCGAGGCTAACTGCGTGCGGCGAGGCTAACTGCGTGCGGCGAGGCTAACTGCGTGCAGCGAGGCTAACTGCATGCAGCGAGGCTAACTGCGTGCAGCGAGGCTAACTGCATGCAGCGAGGCTAACTGCATGCAGCGAGGCTAACTGCGTGCGGCGAGGCTAACTGCATGCGGCGAGGCAAACGGTGTGCGGCAAGGCTAACTGTGTGCGGCGAGGCTAACTGCATGCAGCGAGGCAAACTGTGTGCGGCGAGGCTAACTGCGTGCGGCGAGGCTAACTGCATGCAGCAAGGCTAACTGCATACAGCGAGGCTAACTGCGTGCGGCGAGGCTAACTGCGTACGGCGAGGCTAACTGCGTGCGGCGAGGCTAACTGCATGCGGCGAGGCTAACTGCATGCAGCGAGGCTAACTGCGTGCGGCGAGGCTAACTGCATGCAGCAAGGCTAACTGCATACAGCGAGGCTAACTGCATGCAGCGAGGCTAACTGCGTGCAGCGAGGCTAACTGCATGAAGCGAGGCTAACTGCATGCAGCGAGGCTAACTGCATGCAGTGAGGCTAACTGCGTGCGGCGAGGCTAACTGCATGCAGCGAGGCTAACTGCGTGCGGCGAGGCTAACTGCGTGCAGCGAGGCTAACTGCATGAAGCGAGGCTAACTGCATGCAGCGAGGCTAACTGCGTGAGGCGAGGCTAACTGCATGCGGCGAGGCAAACGGTGTGCGGCAAGGCTAACTGTGTGCGGCGAGGCTAACTGCATGCAGCGAGGCAAACTGTGTGCGGCGAGGCTAACTGCGTGCGGCGAGGCTAACTGCATGCAGCAAGGCTAACTGCATACAGCGAGGCTAACTGCGTGCGGCGAGGCTAACTGCGTACGGCGAGGCTAACTGCGTGCGGCGAGGCTAACTGCATGCGGCGAGGCTAACTGCATGCAGCGAGGCTAACTGCGTGCGGCGAGGCTAACTGCATGCAGCAAGGCTAACTGCATACAGCGAGGCTAACTGCATGCAGCGAGGCTAACTGCGTGCAGCGAGGCTAACTGCATGAAGCGAGGCTAACTGCATGCAGCGAGGCTAACTGCATGCAGTGAGGCTAACTGCGTGCGGCGAGGCTAACTGCATGCAGCGAGGCTAACTGCGTGCGGCGAGGCTAACTGCGTGCAGCGAGGCTAACTGCATGAAGCGAGGCTAACTGCATGCAGCGAGGCTAACTGCGTGAGGCGAGGCTAACTGCATGCAGCGAGGCTAACTGCATGCAGCGAGGCTACCTGCGTGCGGCGAGGCTAACTGCGTGCGGTGAGGCTAACTGCGTGCGGCGAGGCTAACTGCATGCAGCGAGGCTAACTGCATGAAGCGAGGCTAACTGCATGCAGCGAGGCTAACTGCGTGAGGCGAGGCTAACTGCATGCAGCGAGGCTAACTGCATGCAGCGAGGCTACCTGCGTGCGGCGAGGCTAACTGCGTGCGGTGAGGCTAACTGCGTGCGGCGAGGCTAACTGCATGCAGCAAGGCTAACTGCATACAGCGAGGCTAACTGCGTGCGGCGAGGCTAACTGCGTGCGGCGAGGCTAACTGCATGCGGCGAGGCTAACTGCATGCAGCGAGGCTAACTGCGTGCGGCGAGGCTAACTGCATGCAGCAAGGCTAACTGCATACAGCGAGGCTAACTGCATGCAGCGAGGCTAACTGCGTGCAGCGAGGCTAACTGCATGAAGCGAGGCTAACTGCATGCAGCGAGGCTAACTGCATGCAGCGAGGCTAACTGCGTGAGGCGAGGCTAACTGCATGCAGCGAGGCTAACTGCATGCGGCGAGGCTAACTGCGTGCGGCGAGGCTAACTGCATGCGGCGAGGCTAACTGCGTGCGGCGAGGCTAACTGCATGCAGCGAGGCTAACTGCATACAGCGAGGCTAACTGCGTGCGACGAGGCTAACTGCGTGCGGCGAGGCTAACTGCGTGCGGCGAGGCTAACTGCGTGCGGTGAGGCTAACTGCATGCAGCGAGGCTAACTGCATGCAGCAAAGCTAACTGCGTGCGGCGAGGCTAACTGCGTGCGGCAAGGCTAACTGCATGCAGCGAGGCTAAGGCTTTATTCTGCTTTCCTGCTTCCCTTTCCAAAGGTCAGGATCTGATCCAGCCTGGATAAAGACAGCTGAGACTGATTTAAAGAACTTTGGAGAAAAGGCAAAGAAAAATGAACAATCTGAGATTCACATGGAAAATAATAGAATCTAGTCTACTTTTTCTAAATGTTTGTTAATTTGCACAGTTGCTCCTAAATAAACACATTATCAGAAAATAAATAATTTATATATATAAAAAAAATATTAAGCTGACTAATAGCTTCTCTATTGTTAAACTGGTCCGTATTTTTTTTAGGTTTGTGACCCAATATCGGACCAAAACACAGATTTACCTTCACAGCCTCAGAAGGACAAGATTTATGGACAAAAATTATACCTGGAAATGAAATTATGTTTGGTTTTTATAAAGTGTTTTTATGTTTTTTTGTTGTTGGCATTCATATAAGTATTCTAGTGTGATAACTCCCCTGGAGAAAACTCCACCAGCAGCCGCTGCATCCAGACCTGCAGGGGAGGCGCCACTAAGAACTTTCTATGGCCATAGTGGCTTCATCCACCTTCTTTGGTGTGGTCTGTTGGAGCAGCAGCTAATCTCCTGAACACAGTGCAGGAGATAGAAAGATAAAAATGTTGCACGTCCTCCCAAGCATGAAGCTGCAGAGCTCATTCAGTGACATAAGGCAGCATCTAAAAAGGAGCGTTATCACTGAATATAATCTCTGCTCCCAACAAGCTAGAATTGTTGCTTATATGCTTTTAACTGCGTTTGTTCCCCTTTTAAAGGGTCTGTTTGCATTTTTGTACGCTTTCAAAATTGTTCCTTAATCTACTATTTTTAATAACTGTGAGAAAAAAAGGGTTATTTATATTCTCTTCTATCTTAAATTTCTCAGAGATAAAATGAAGCTGCTTCCAGCTTACCAACGACTCAGGTTATCCTGAGCTATCTCTATAGTTCTGCTGCTATAGGCTTAGACTGCTGGAGGACATAGGGACCCCTTTTTCATCATTCTGCTTCATTCTATCTCTATTCTCCCACTCTGCAGAATCTGTTAGTTCAATCTCTAACGTTCTGCTCTCTCTGCTTTTTCTCATAGTAGCTTCATCTGGTCTGTTCCTGTTTGGCTGTGACTCCATCCTGGAGAGAAATATCAGCTGTGCTGCTGCCATCAACACCTTTGTTTCTAGATGTTGGAGCTTGGCCTGTTTTCCAGTGTAGTCCTGTTTCTCTGACTGTGACTAACTGGATGTGCTCTCTTCATCCTCTGACATGGGAGCTGGCTCGGAGCTCGTCTGCCTGGCTGTGTGTTTCCTGGACGGGGCCGCCTGTGGAGCTGGTTGCCTTTTGTATCTATGCTTCTTTTTCTATGTCTGCTTCTGTCTCCTTGAACCCCAGTGGGCCTCAGCAGATGGCCGCTCACACTGAGCCTGGTTCTGCTGGAGGTTTCTTCCTGTTCAAAGGGAGTTTTTCCTCTCCACTGTCGCTACAAGCATGCTTAGTGTGAGGGATTGCTGAAGAGTCAATGAGTCGATGCAATCACATGACGTGTTGTGAATTGGCGCTATAGAAATAAATTGAATTGATGAATATCTGGGACTTTATCAAAGCACCAGTCAACATTTTAACCAAAGGTCCTCGTTTAATTCAACACTCCATCTGTAGGCAGGTGCGGCTAACCATCATCAGCGTGAGTGAATGACTGAGTGTATGTGAAGTATTTTGGAGTCTTTAGTGCTACAGTACAACATGTACTGACTGTTTATCACAAATAGCAGATTAAAATGTTTTAGCTGTTTCAGATAAGGCTTTAATAGCAGCGTTTCTCCTCTAAATAACACTGGCAGGAACACAAAGACCAACAGGACTGTATTGTATGAAGAAAATTCACACATCCCACACAACAAAATGAAAGCCTCGCAGCACAAATAACCCCCTGTCAGTGTTTTTCTGAAGCCTGGACAATCAGCAGCGGATGCCTTTCAGTAGAGCGAAAGATTCTCAAAAAGAGGAACAAAGGGAGACATGCTGTCCAGCAGGTTCAGTGAGGAGAGACGTGAGAACATCTCGCTCATCTTCCTCTGATGGACATGACTGTGCACAAAACAGCAGCAGGGGCGGATTTAGGAAATGTGGGGCCCTAGGCAAAGACAGGCAGGGGGCCCTCTGAACCTAGAAGGCAACACATAGAACAGCCCCATTCTCCAGATAGAGAAATGTTAATAGAATAGACATCCTTTTGGACAGTCATTTTGACTGAGAGAGAGGCTCACGGTGAGACAAAATGCCCAATTGGTACATAGGTTAAAAAAAGGTTGGAAAACACCAGCCTAGATCATCATTTACAGATGTTTCACCACAACAACACATTTACATTCAGTCTATACCAGCGGTAACCAATTAAAACTCATCAAGAAAATCATCAACCAGTAAAGGAAACATTTTTAATTATTATCTGTTACTTTAAACAGAATAAAATCTAAAGTGTTTCTTTAAGTAGAGAACAACCATCGTTCAGTTTGGTTTATAGATAATTTCCTGATTCCCATATTTTCTCAAACCCCTGAACTGATGGTTTGTTATTTTCTTTCTTTTTTCTGTCTTAATGTTGGCAGTGGGCTTTAGGCTGCCCTGCAAGGCTTTAAACCTGGGTTTAACCAGAGACTAAGCCATTCTCAAGCACAGATCAAGGAGCTCATTTTGAGCCTGGATCCAGATTTATTGTTGATTCTGTTCATGGTGGAGAATCCTGCTTCACAGCAGCAGGTTGAGCCAAACATCCTCTAAATGTGCAGGGTCATCTTTGAGCACGCCATTTCACTTTTCTTTCACCAGTTCACCGCAGTTCTTCCAGCAGTCCACACTTTCTCTGCTCTCTTTTTCTCATGGTCTTCTCCTTCTTTCCCATCGCCCGGCTTGCCACAGGTTTGCCTGCTGTGTCTAAAAGTAGCAGCAGCAGCAACCCAGACTGACAGCTCATTGGCTCATTTGGATCACGTGCAGCCTGGAGCCGGACGCTCCCCAGGGCTTTACCGTAATAACAGGAGAAGAGGTGCAAGTGAAATTAGACACTGCTGTCAGACAACATGCGGTAATTTATAAATGTAATATAATTAAATCAGGTTGGGTCCAGATTAGCCAGCAGGTGGATCCGGATCCGGACCGCAGTCCGCTGATCCGTGACCTAAGAGAAAAAGAGCTTAAAGAAAAAGTCAGATCAGCAAAGAATAATCATTGGATCATTATTTATTCCTAAAATGAACACCTTCACATAATTTAATGAATTTAGACTTAATCCAAAAATGTCCGTCTCAATCACTGAGTCTGGGTGCGGATTTCCCATTAGGCAATACTAGGCAGCTGCCTAGGGCCCCAAGTTCCTGGGGGCCCCATAAAACTCTGTTTCCATGTCTGGTTAATACAACTATTCCTTATTTCTGCACATTAATTATGTTTTTGATTCAAATCCTTTTGCTAAAATGCCATCAGAACGCTGATAATATTAAGTGTGTCTCAGCCCCCCCCTTCAGTGTCCACCATATTGGATCAGTCCATTTGCTGCACATGTTCAGAAAGGTCCAAACAGACAGCAGCAAACCATTTGAAAACAAACCATGCAAAGAGCAGTGTTGCCAACTTAGCGCTTTAGTCGCTATATTTAGCCACTTTTCAGACCCCTCTAGCACTTTGATTTCTAAAAAGCTCCTAGCGCCAAATCTAGAGACTTTTTTCTGCTACTGGAGACTTTGGAGACAACATCTAAAAGCAGCGAACTCTGCTCTCCAGAGCGAGTAGATTGGTAACCCCGCCTCCTGCTCTCCTCTATCTTGTCTGCTGTCATGATTTCATTATTTCATCCAAATGAAAAATGGAGACAGGCCCCCTGCCTGTTTTTGCCTAGGGCCCCAAATTTCCTAAATGTGCCCCTGTCTTCACCACAAAGACAATCGTTGACAGAGGTAGACGTTTGGCAGTAAGAGGATTTGAAGATGTGTCTGAGGTCACATCTAAGATAAAAGCAAAGTTCCCCCAAAAAAAGTTAAAGAAACTTTGTTTCCAAGTTTGAAGATGTGTCGCTTCCCATCCAGGAAGTAGCCCATCGATTGGCCACTGTATAAAACCTGGAACTCAACACTATTTCTGGCATTTTGATTTGAAAAAGCTTCCTGGATGGAAGAGAAACGTCTTTAGACTTGGAAACAGAATCCAGTGGATTGTTTTTAACTTTTTTGGAAGGACTCTGACCTGGATGACTGAGATTATTCGCCAGCAGAAAAGCAAAGTCAGCTTCGCTGTCGATGCAAAAAGAATCCAAGGAAAAAAATAAACCAACCAACAAACCTTTTCTGAGCTGTTTTTTTTTTTCTGTTAATCTTTCTGTTCATGTTATCAGTAAAACATCTAAAGGTGATCGTCTCTCCTTCCAACTGGCTGATCATTAGAGTCGGATCTCCAGAGTTTATCGGAGGTACGGCTGAATGTAGATGCTAGAAGAGGCGTCTGTAAGATTTTTTATTCATATTCTTTTCATGTTGGACTATTTAATATCCTGAAACAGCTGCTTCATGTCTGATTATTACATTCATCCCTAGTTCCCATTTCCCCTTCATGTCTGTATGGCTTCCTTTATAAATATGGATGTAGAAGTTATAGATTTCCTTTTATTACAGAGAGACAGAGCGGTTCTCCATATTATAGGATCTTTGCTTTTTTTAATCAAACTTCATGTTTAGATATGAAAAAGTCAAAGAGACATATTAAAGCTTAAACCTAGAGGAGTTTTAACGGCTTTGGTGGCTCCTAAGTTGCCGGAAGGCAGCGACCTCTGGTTCATCCGTTCTGCAGCCAGAATCATCATTTATCACAAGCTGATAGATAGAATCTAACACTTTTCCAGCTCTACAACATAGAGCTACATGCCCAGACTCTACTGAGCGAAGAGGAAGCCTGATGTGCAGAGGAGGAGTCATTCCTGTGGCTTCAGAGGCTCCTAGGATGGACAGATGTTTGCTGGAAGGATCGAATCTGAAAACATCTGCTGCCCTCAACACTTCAGCCATTTCTCCGGGTACTTGTGCGTTCTCGTGTCCTCGTGAAACGTCATCATCCTCAGCCATATTACTGTTCCAATTCAAAAGAACAGCAGGCCGAGAACGAACAAAGTCCACGGATGTTGTTACCCAGCAAGCATCAGAGCAGACTTGTCCGTTCTCCAGACTGACAGCTGTCCCAGCATGCACTGCAGCAGCTTCCAGGTTAGCGCTCACAGAGCTCAGAGGATTAAGTTTAATTCTCTTTCCTGTTGCTGTTGTTCAATAAAAGTACATTTTAATATAATTTGAGGAGAGAATATTATACTTTCAGTTTCACTATATGGACCATTTACTGATATAATGCGTAATATAAAAAAATGTTCTAAAGTTGAGAGGACCACGGCAACCAGGACCGAGGCTAACGGTGGCCAGGGCTAACGTTAGCCCGTCTGCAGCAGCCCTCTCTCTGCATAGCTGTGTGTGAAGGGTCGCTGGCTCTGATGGAGGTTTTGTTTTTTGTTGTCTTATTTGGCAAAATGTTCATTTGATTTGTGTTTATCTGACTGTGTTCATTATTATTCCCCCACTAAATGAAAAAACTTAGAATTTACTATTATCTAGAAACTATTAATAATAGGAGGTGAAATGCAGCTCCAGATGAGCCGAGCGTTTGGTGATGTCATCAGTACGCTTCTGTTCTAATTGACCCAGATTTATTCTGCGTGCTCCCGTTCTCCCAGAGTCCAGACTTTCCTGGATTCTTCTCAAGAACAGACTTGGCGAGGACACGAGTCCGTACTTGCGTTCTAGTGAATTGAGAGACGGCCTACTTCTACAGGGACACCCAGAGGACCCTACTGCAGCTGGACTGGCTGAAGTCTACACCGGCTGCCATAGCGGGACAAAGACAATCCAACCACAGCGGACACCTTTAGATACGTCTGGAAACATCTGGAAAGCCTTTAGAAACTGAGATGTTGGGAACAGGAAGAAAGAATTGGAAGAACATCTGGTCTTCAGAGCTGATCTGAAACACGAGATCAAAAGTTTGTGTTTTTCAAAGGTGAACAAATTAAGCTGAAGCTATTCTATAAACTAAAGTCTAGTTTATGTGACAGGAAAGGGAGTGACCAGTGAGAAGACAAGCGCTGCATTCCTAACCAACACTCTGTGAGCCAAATGAGACAGACAAACAATGCATTTCTCTCATAACTTCTATGTCTTTATTTCTGGAACACGTCTGTCATCAGCTTGTCTGACAGAAAAGACGGATCGGCGCGAGTCCAGACAGGCGGCAGGCAGAAGGCTTTATTGGTTTTCTGCCAAAAAAGCAGCAAAACGAATCACATTTATACCAAAACACATAATATCAAATAAAAAGTCCTTTCAAGTGTTGGTCGCATCAGGCGGGGGGCGGGGTTTCAGAGCGGCGTGTTTTGAACCAGAAAGGCTCTGATTCTCTGCAGGAGTTCTTTCTTCACGCTGTCCGGTACGAGCGCTGCAGGTGGAGACAGAACAAGCAGAGATCCATGATTATTCATGATACCAAAACAGAACATCATGATGGGCGCAGTCACAGGATCATAGCTCTTTTAACCTCCAGATGTTCCTATCTGCCCCTAGGAGGCAAACAGCTCCCACAATCCTTTGCTTACAGGACATATAGATGCAGCCTGTCTCACACAGTTTAACAATAATCCATTATTCTGTTCTCTGATTGACTCATCCTGATGTTCTCACCTCCAGATGTTTGAGAGCTTCAGACAATCAACACATTCAGGGAACTTGGTGTCTGAGGCTAACACGCTGTTTGAAGCTAACCTGCTGTCTCAGGCTAACTGGCTGTGTGAAGCTAACCTGCTGTCTCAGGCTAACTGGCTGTGTGAAGCTAACCTGCTGTCTGAGGCTAACTGGCTGTGTGAAGCTAACCTGCTGTCTGAGGCTAACAGGCTGTTTGAAGCTAACCGGCTGTTTGAAGTTAACCGACTGTCTAAGGCTAACAGGCTGTTTGAGGCTAACCGGCTGTTGGAGGCTAACCGGCTGTTTGAAGTTAACCGGCTGTTGGAGGCTAACCGATTGTCTAAGGCTAACAAGCTTTTTGAGGCTAATGTGGTGTTTGAGGCTAACCGACTGTATGAGGCTAACTGACTGCCTGAGGCTAACCAGCTGTTTGAGGCTAACTGGCTGTGGAGCCAAACCAACTGTCTGAGGCTAACAAGCTTTTTGAGGCTAATGTGGTGTTTGAAGCTAACCGGCTATTGGAGGCTAACTGACTGCTGAGGCTAACCAGCTGTTTGAGGCTAACCGGCTGTGGAGGCTAACCAAATGTCTAAGGCTAACAAGAACGTTTGAGGCTAACCAGCTTTTTGAGGCTAATGTTGTGTTTGAGGCTAACCGGCTGTTCAAGGTAAATTAGACTTTTCTTCTCATAGTAGCTTCAACTGCTCTAGCATTCTGTTTAGCTTTGAAACCGTCCAATAGGGAGGCATCAGCTGATCTGCTGCCATCAACCGCTTTGATTATAAGATGATAAAGTTGGGCCTTTTTTTTCAGTGTTTAGTCCTGTTACTCTCCTAGACAGAGTGATGGGCTCAGCATTTACTGTGACACACTGAGACTGTGTCTGCTTCATCTCCTTGAACCCCAGTCAATGGTTGAATCCCAAACCGCTCCCTAAACACTGACCCATAACTATCTAGTGCGACTCGCAATAAAGTCCAACTCACAGCTGTGGAAGGTGGGGGAAGGGGGGTATAAATGTGAATGGGAAGGATCCTTTACTCCAAAGGAAAGGTAAAGCAGTCGTTCCTATGGCAACACAGTGATGTACAGGTGCTGGTCATAAAATTAGAATATCATGAAAAAGTAGATTGATTTCAGTAATTCCATTTAAAAAATGAAACTTGTATATTATATTCATACATTACATACAAACTCATATATTTCAGATGTTTATTTTGTTTAATTTTGATGATTACAAATGACAACAAATGAAAATCTCAAATTCATCATATCAGAAAATTAGAATATTGTGAAAAGGTTCAAAATTGATGGCCCCTGGTGCCACACTCTAATCAGCTAATTAACTCAAACCACCTGCAAAAGCCTTTAAATGGTCTTTCCGTCTAGTTCTATAGGCTACACAATCATGGGGAAGACTGCTGACTTGACAGTTGTCCAAAAGACGACCATCGACACCTTGCACAAGGAGGGCAAGACACAAAAGGTCATCGCTAAAGAGGCTGGCTGTTGACAGAGCTCAGTGTCCAAGCACATTAATAGAGAGGCGAAGGGAAGGAAAAGATGTGGTCGAAAAAAGTGTACAAGCAAGAGAGATAACCGCACCCTGGAGAGGATTGTGAAACAAAACCCATTCAAAAATGTGGGGGAGATTCACAAAGAGTGGACTGCAGCTGGAGTGAGTGCTTCAAGAACCACCACACACAGACGTATGAAAGACATGGGTTTCTGCTGTCGCATTCCTTGTGTCAAGCCACTCTTGAACCACAGACAGCGTCAGAAGCGTCTTGCCTGGGCTAAAGAGAAACAGGACTGGACTGCTGGTGAGTGGTCCAAAGTCATGTTCTCTGATGAAAGTAAATTTTGCATTTCCTTTGGAAATCAAGGTCCCAGAGTCTGGAGGAAAAGAAGAGAGGCACTTCATCCACGTTGCTTGAAGTCCAGTGTAAAGTTTCCACAGTCAGTGATGGTTTGGGGTGCCATGTCATCTGCTGGTGTTGGTCCATTGTGTTTTCTGAGGTCCAGGGTCAACGCAGCCACATACCAGGAAGTTTTAGAGCACTTCATGCTTCCTGCAGCTGACCAACTTTTTGGAGATGCAGATTTCATTTTCCAACAGGACTTGGCACCTGCACACAGTGCCAAAGCTACCAGTACCTGGTTGAAGGACCATGGTATCCCTGTTCTTAATTGGCCAGCAAACTCTCCTGACCTTAACCCCATAGAAAATCTATGGGGTATTGTGAAGAAGAAGATGCAATACACCAGACCCAACAATTCAGAAGAGCTAAAAGCCACTATTAGAGCAACCTGGGCTATCATAACACCTGAGCAGTGCCACAGACTGATCGACTCCATGCCACGCCGCATTGCTGCAGTAATACAGGCCAAAGGAGGCCCAACTAAATACTGAGTGCTGTACATGCTCATACTTTTCATGTTCATACTTTTCAGTTGGCCAACATTTCTATAAATCCTTTGTTTTTATTGGTCTTCAGTAATATTCTAATTTTCTGATATGATGAATTTGAGATTTTCATTTGTTGTCATTTGTAATCATCAAAATTAAACAAAATAAACATCTGAAATATATGAGTTTGTATGTAATGTATGAATATAATATACAAGTTTCACTTTTTAAATGGAATTACTGAAATCAATCTACTTTTTCATGATATTCTAATTTTATGACCAGCACCTGTATGTGGCTGTAGCTCTAGGGTGCAGGTTAGCATAACGTCAAATATTTTGTTATAAATAAATCTAACCAGTCAAAAAAACCTCCTTCCTGTTAGGGATTGATGTCGTCTCAAGACACTTTCCAGTTCACCAGATCATCCAGTCAGATTGATTCAAAGTTTTCTATCTAAGGAAAACCAGCTGATTGCATCGACTCATTGACTCTTCAGCAATCCCTCACACTAAGCATGCTTGTAGCGACAGTGGAGAGGAAAAACTCCCTTTGAACAGGAAGAAACCTCCAGGAGAACCAGGCTCAGTGTGAGCGGCCATCTGCTGAGGCCCACTGGGGTTCAAGGAGACAGAAGCAGACATAGAAAAAGAAGCATAGATACAAAAGGCAACCAGCTCCACAGGCGGCCCCGTCCAGGAAACACACAGCCAGGCAGACGAGCTCCGAGCCAGCTCCCATGTCAGAGGATGAAGAGAGCACATCCAGTTAGTCACAGTCAGAGAAACAGGACTACACTGGAAAACAGGCCAAGCTCCAACATCTAGAAACAAAGATGTTGATGGCAGCAGCACAGCTGATATTTCTCTCCAGGATGGAGTCACAGCCAAACAGGAGAGATTGATTTAACAGATTCTGCTGAATGGGATAAGTGAGAATGAGGAAGAATGATGAGAAGCGGTCTCTATGTCCTCCAGCAGTCTAGGCCTATAGCAGCTTAGACTGCATGATTTAGAGGATTCAGTCAGTCCACCTTTTAGGAATCTAAAACAAAGCTTCAATTCTAGAAATCATAATAACTCAATTGCCTTTTCAAACTGAACAGGACAGTTTAAGGACTGGGCTACAGTTTGGTGTCTTCTAGCTGCACCTCGGCTGTTTATTTGTGTCCTTCTCCCCCCCCTGCTGTCGTGTTTGAGGCTCTGCATTACCTCTGCCTTTGGGCGTCACTTCTGTGACGAGGTCCTCCACCGTGACGTGCTCCAGACCTTTCTCTCTGATCACATCTGCACACAAACAGTCCCAGCTTTAAACATCCAGTCAGTGGGAAGGAAAGAGGAACTTGATGGATCATCTGATCCTCAGCAGGTTCTAAACTGATTTAAATCCAGCCTCAGATTTAAACTCAGAACAGATTTAATCCTGGCTGAGAGGCACAAGCTGGCAGTGAATCGGGTTACGACTCATTTTCCAAGTTTTTCTGTAACATTTAAAACACATTTTAATCAAACCCACATACTGGTGCATTTAGTGGAATGAAAAACTCAACAATTCCAAATTAAAGAGAATAAAAACTGTTTTTCACACCTTTATTAACATCACATTCAATGAGAGGAGCTGCATTTACCTACTGCTACTGCTGGATATGTTCATGATAAATGATTAAAAAAAAAGGAAAAAGGCAGAGAAGATGTTGGATCATGAATAATTAAAAAGTAGATTGATTTATAGCCAACAATCATGAACTATATTCATACCCAGAATACATGAATAGATGAAGCTTTATTGAAGCTTCACAGTTCTTCAGCAAATGTGTTCAAATAAAGCCTTAGGGCTTCAAATGCTCACTGGGGCCATCTAGTGGTGAGCAAAAACCGCTCACATCTACATGTCCCAAAGGTATGAAGATAAAATGATCTAAACATATTAAACCAGTGATGATAGCAGCCTGTCTGTCAGTAAAAATAAAGCTATGAAAACCTAAAAACAGGAGAAAACTTCTCCGTTATTAAGCTGCAGTTCACAGCAAAAACAAACTACTCAGAAAAAACTACAAGACTCCAACTAAATAGTCTACAATTCACTAAAACCGTTTGGCTTTTTATCAGAACATCTTTCCAAACTCTAATCCCTTATCGGAGAATCTGGAATCTGCGGCTCTACATTCAGTACAGACCAGGAAGAAGGCGGTGGAAAGACATCAGCAACCTGAGGGACAACACCAACCATGGAGCAGCTTCTAGAGGAGCAGCTTCTAGAGGAGCAGGTTCTAGAGGAGGAGGTTCTATATCAGGAGGTTCTAGAGGAGGAGGTTCTAGAGGCGGGCAAATCAACCGCTACTATGTTCTGATGAATAAATATTGATAACTAAACCAGAACCTGCTGAGGTCCAGAGGAAACAAACCTTTGCAGTGAGCTTTCAGCTGGTCCTTCCATCCACACTCCACCAGTTTGGCCCTGAGGAGCTCCTTCAACCTGCACACAGTCAGAGTTCAATCACTGGGTTACACTGACTCACCATCATCATCATCATCATCATCATTACCATCATCATCACCACCATCATCATCATCATCATCATCACCACCACCATCATCATCCTCATCACCATCATCATCACCACCATCATCATCATCACCACCACCATCATCATCCTCATCACCACCACCATCATCATCCTCATCACCATCATCATCACCATCATCATCACCACCATCATCATCATCATCATCACCACCACCATCATCATCCTCATCACCATCATCATCCTCATCACCATCACCATCATCACCCCCATCATCACTATCATCATATTATCATCATCATCATCATCATCATCATCATCACCACCACCATCATCATCCTCATCACCATCATCATCACCACCATCATCATCATCACCATCATCATCACCACCACCATCATCATCCTCATCACCATCATCATCACCATCATCATCACCACCATCATCATCATCATCATCATCACCACCACCATCATCATCCTCATCACCATCATCATCACCACCATCATCATCATCACCATCATCATCACCACCACCATCATCATCCTCATCACCATCATCATCACCATCATCATCACCATCATCATCATCATCACCATCATCATCACCACCACCATCATCATCCTCATCACCATCATCATCCTCATCACCATCACCATCATCACCCCCATCATCACTATCATCATATTATCATCATCACCACCATCATCATCATCATCATCATCACCATCATCATCACCACCACCATCATCATCCTCATCACCATCATCATCCTCATCACCATCACCATCATCACCCCCATCATCACCACCACCACCATCACCATCATCACTATCATCATATTATCATCATCACCACCATCATCATCATCATCACCATCATCATCACCACCATCATCATCATCACCATCATCATCACCACCACCATCATCATCCTCATCACCATCATCATCCTCATCACCATCATCACCCCCATCATCACCACCACCACCATCACCATCATCATCATCACTATCATCATATTATCATCATCACCACCATCCTCATCATCATCACCACCATCACCATCATCACCCCCATCATCACCACCACCATCCTCATCACCATCATCATCCTCATCACCATCACCATCATCACCCCCATCATCACCACCACCATCATCATCCTCATCACCATCGTCATCCTCATCACCATCATCACCCCCATCATCACCACCACCACCATCATCACTATCATCATATTATCATCATTACCACCATCCTCATCATCATCACCACCATCATCACCACCATCACCCCCATCATCACCACCACCACCATCACCATCATCATATTATCATCATCACCACCATCCTCATCATACTCATCATCATCATCATCCCACCATCATCACCACCACCACCACCACCATCATCATCATCATCATCATCATCAGTTCACCAGGACCAGGCTGAACTGTGGCAGCATGGGTCCATCTGTGTCGCAGCCTCACCTCTCCCTCTCTCCCATCTCTATCAGCTTCTGGTTGATGGCGGCTCTCAGCTGGTATTCTTTGCTCATGATCAGATCGGAACCGGACTCATGCACCAGAACCGTGGATTTAAAGACGGAAAGCCAGAACAAGCAGTTAAAATCCTCCCTTTGTTGTGACGGACCTTCCGAGGAGGTCTAGCTCGATGGTTCCGCTGAGGCTTGATCCACAATAAAATAACTTCCGGTAAAGTAAGAGACACATTTCACCCAGAAATGCATTTAATAAAATAATAGACATTATATAGAATAATTAACATGATTTAAATCATGTGAAAAAAATGTTTTTGAAGCAAAATGGTGAAGAACTCCACCTCCCATGATGCATCGGGGGGTCCGCTGTGAAGTAGGTCCGTCTGAAAACACGAACGCGTGAATCGCTGGTGACCAGCATTGTTCTGCTGCAGCTCGGATGAGTCCGGTTCTGTTGGGTCTGAAAACTAGTCTTCATCACTGAGAAGTTATGGCTGCAGCTAACTACACCCTGAAGGTCAACAGAGACCTGCTGGACCCCAACTTTGAGAGTTACCGCCTGTCTCTGGACCCCATCCCGACCTACACCGTGGACCTGGACGCTGGTGAGCGGCTTAGCAGGCTGAGCAGCCCGGGTTCCTCCGGAGAACCTGCGCTCTATACAGCCCAGGAGTTAAAACCAGCCTCATCTCCAACTGCTTTAAGGTGGTTCAGGTCTCCTGCCGAACCTCCAGATCCAGATTTAGATCCTGATGCAGATTCAGATCATGATCCAGATTTAGATCCTGATCCAGATTTAGATCCAGATCCTAAACTAGATTTAGATCATGATCCAGATCCAGATTTAGATCCTGATCCAGATTTAGATCCTGATCCTAATCCAGATTCAGATCCTAATCCAGTCTGAATTCTGGTTCTTTGCTGCCTGTAGTAAATCACAGCAGATCAGAGGTTCTGGTGGATTCCTGAAGCCCCTTTTGGGTTTTTCTTTGGACTTTGGCCACTTTTTCACTGCACCGTGGTTCTGTTGGGCCCTTTTATGTCTTTAAATGTAATTTATGCCAGATTAGAAAGAGAAATAGTTTATATGTGTAATTTCTGTCTAGGAATAAAACAAACAGACCTTGTTTTCAGTCCTGAGATGATTTCAATCATCTCCATGTTTTCTCTAATGATTAAAAGTGTTCTTCCAGAAAGTTCTCCAAGGTTCCTGGAAAACTTTCAAGCATTTTGATGAACTTGCTGCCTTGTTTGTTTTATTCTCAGTGCTGAAATATTTCCCAGCCGTGTTTCTCCTAAACCACAGGAGGAAGCTGCTGTGTGAAGCTAGAAGAGGAGAATCAGGAGATCCGATCATAGAAAGGCGATATTAGAGAGGGAATGTCTGACTTCCTGTTGTCTTTGCTGGTTCTTTGGTTTGTTTCATGGGTTTTATCTGCTTTTGATTTGTAGGATTTTAATTGAAGATCAGCTGCTGTGATTATTTTAACATCCTGCAGATTCTCACAGCAGATTTAGCTTTTTCTGTCTACTTTTACGTGATAAAAATGTTACACAAGCCTCATTTTAAATTGAAATAAATCTTTATTAACAAAAAAAACATTAAAAGTGGATAGATGGATGGACGGATGATGGATGGATGGATGGATGGATGGATGGATGGATGGATGATGGATGGATGGATGGATGGATGGATGATGGATGGATGGATGGATGGATGGATGGATGATGGATGGATGGATGGATTTAAAATGCATCTTCTGGATCAGATTCTCTCCTTCCTTGTGGGGGCGGGCTTTCCCCTGATCAAAGACACGTCTCTATTGGTCGGCTGGATGTTAGAGACATTTTCATTGGTGAAAGGTGAGCGTTTGAATCTGACTGGAAGTGGAGAGAATGTAATCGGCGTAATGCTACTTAACAAAAATAAGTAATAAAAATCCATCTGAAAAGCAAATAAAAAATTTAAATTAGAGAAAAGGTTAAAATTAGTCTCAAAACTTTTATTGATTAGGAAATGTTTCAAAGTTTCATGTCTGGATAAATTTTTTTTTGAATTGAACTTTATTGATCTCACATTGGAGAAATTCCCTCTCTGCATTTAACCCATCCTCTTGGGGAGCAGTGGGCTGCCATTGTGCGGCGCCCGGGGAGCACGGTGGGGTTAAGGGTCTTGCTCAGGGACCCAGAGTGGCAGGCTTTGGGAATCGAACCGGGTACTGCAACCTTCTCAGCAGATATCGGCCAATCGGTGCATCGCTCCACCTCCAGCTCTAATAGATATGAATGGTGGTCTGTGGGACAATGATCACAGTATCGGCATCACTGAGCCGACCAACTCCAAAGGTTGTCCTGGTTGTCATGGCGATATTAAGTAATCTGAGATGTTTTGTTGTTTTTCTTTCCTCTGTATCAGCAGCTCAGAATAACCCGATGTTCTGGTTCTGTTCATGTCTCATCCTGCCCAGCTGTGGAGGAGATGCAGCTGACGGACGCTCAGTACACGCTGGAACACATGCAGGCCTTCGCCATGTTCAACTACCTGCAGCTGGACCCGTGGTACCAGGACAGCGTTCTGTTCGTGGACCGCCAGGCCCGGGTTCTGAGCCTCACCGTCACCCTGGTGAGTCTCTGGAAGGATCCCCGGGTTCATCTGGAGGAGCCGGTCCTGTTTCCTCAGTGAAGCGCAGTCACCAGCAGGGGGCGGCGTTGGTCAGCGTTAGAGGGAAGAGGTTCTGTTCAGTCCAGGCTCCATCGAAAGGTCCGGTTCTGATAATGCAGTTAATCATGGGGCTTATTAAAGGATTGAAGCTTGGTTCTGATCCGGTTTGGTGCCGAACCGCTTTTATGTCCAGAATTCAGAGATAATCAGAGACTAACGGAACCAGATCATTTTCATCATCATCTGGGTCGCTGTCTCTGCCCCTCAGCAGAACCATCGATGTTAGAAGGTTCTGGATGTTGGAGCTCAGAGCTGCAGCATCTGGTTCTGATCCGACTCACCTGTCAGGTGAGAAACCATCAAACAGACAGAAAGTTCTTCCTAACGGTCCGGATCATGAACCCAGATTAGACCCTGAGGAAGAACCAGAACCATCAGAACGGGTCGGTCATCTTTTCTGGATAAACAGAACCTTCAGGTCCAGTTTCACCAGAACCAAGCAGAGAAATCTGCTGGTAGTGATGTGGGCGTGTCTCTCAGCGCTCTGGACTCTGATTGGTCAGAAACCGCCAGACCGAACCGAACACTGGACCGATCCAGAAGGTTCTGGATGTTTCACCGGATCAGAACCATAATCATTCTAATCCTCCAGCTTAAACTACCCGAATGGAAACTGGGTCAGAACCGGTTCCAGCTTCCTGAGACCCGGTTCAGCTTTGATTGATGGTTCTGATGGAGATGGTTGCTGAAGGACGGAGGTCCAAACAGAACCTTGATCATCTCTATGGTTGTTTTTCTGATCAAAGCTTCTTGGATCTGATGGTTCTGCTGGGTTCTGGACTTCTTTGTAGGGCGAGCAGCAAACTAAGACCTGTCGGACCTTCTGCCTCCTCCCGGTACCAGAACCCTGCTTGATGGTCACTCAGCCGGGTTCTGGATGCCTTAGAACTGGACCTGCTGGTGCTGCTGCAGGAAACAGCTTTAAACCCGGATCAGAATTTAAACATCAGTGATCCGGATTATCTGGTTCCAGTGGGACCAGTTGGTTCTGGATACGCTCAAACCACAGCTGGACTGAACATCTGGACTCTAAAGAATTGTCTCTGGTTCTGGATGCAGGACACGGCGCTGGGGAAGCCCAAGGAGGTCTTCAGGTTCGGACCAGAATCCGACCCGTGTTCTGAGCGGCTCTGCCCGTCCATCAGCCTCTCCTCAGCGACCTCGGCGGTTCTGTCCGACGGCGGCGGGCGGCTGCAGCTCCTCCGGACCGGCAAGAGAGGAGACGGCTGTCAGACCAAGTGGGAGGTAAGTGGGTAGAAGCGGGTCAGAAACTGTTTAGAAACGGGTCAGAAATATTCCAGAAACGGGTCAGAAATATTCCAGAAACGGGTCAGAAATATTCCAGAAACGGGTCAGAAACGGGTGGAAAAGTTTTTAAACTCGTCATAAAATCTTTGATCAACCTTCTGCTCTGATTGATTCATGGAAAAATAATCGACAGATGAACCGATTTGCAAAATGATGGTTGGTTCTCTGGGTCTGAACAACGCTGGTTCCTGCAGGTTCTGTTCAGCGAACGGCTGGGCGACCCGTTCACCATCCTGCACAGCGTCTCCCACGTCCAGGCCGGCGTGCACGCCGTGGAGGTTCTGCTGCTGCATGTCCAGAAGGACCCCCAGGAGACCACGGGGAGCGGGTTCTGTGTGTTTCTGGAGTGGGTCACTGTGAGCGGCGCCGCCGGACAAGGTGGGTCCAAAGGAAGCTGCTGTCCGGCTGATTCTGGATGGTTCTAGCTAACGAGGCGCATGGCGGCCCGGTTTCACTGTTTGCTTCCCTAGAGTCCGTTTAGTTCAGAACCTTCCACCTCTGAGCGAAAACCTGATCCGAGTCCAGAGAGCTTCCTCATCACCAGAACCTTCATCTCCACCTGCAGGTCCAGAGAAGAAGATGGAGGTGAGGAAGAGGAGGGTCCTGAGGGGGAAGTCGGTGCCTCATTACGCCGCCGTGGAGCCGCAGGGGAGGGGCCTGATGGTGGCGTCAGAGAAACCCTTCGTCTTCACGCACGTGGACGGCCGACCCGTGGAGCAGCCGGAACCGGAGCCCATGGAGGTGGAGAAGGCAGGTGGGTCAGAGCGGCTGATGGGGAGGAAGCTGGTTTGGATCTTTAAGCCGGTTTGATCAAGTTTGGAACTTTTGCTCGATTTTTATCAGCTGATCAAACTAAGCAGGAAACAAAAGGTTTGGTTTGAGAAGCAGAACTCTGCAGAACCTCCTCTGGCTGCAGCTGGAGGTTCATCTCCTTCATGGAGAAGATCACTGCTGCTTTCTGAGCTACAGTCTGGTTAAAACAGGGAGTTCGTTAAAAAGGAAGCCTCGTTAGCAGGATCCGACGCTCAAATCAGAAACGCTGCGTTAATACGATCGATTTTGAACAAAAGTGAATCAGTAAACCAACCTTCATACAGAATTATGTTATTTATTATAAATATAATGGCCCTAACTTTTATAAT